GAATTTAAGACGAGTTTCTCTTCCAGACGGGATTCCCGTCTAACTTACCCGTCTCTTAATTTAGACGGGAAAGTTGGACGGAAAAATTAGGACGAGAAACCCGTCTGTGGGGTTCACATCAGACTAGTTTTCCGTCTTTGATGAGTTTCCCGTCTTTGATAAGTTTCCCGTGTATATGAATTCGGCTAAATGTACATAACTCGTATATAGTCATGAGGCAACAAACATTTCATCTGAAATTGCAAATAAGTAAATATCCAGTTAAACGGACATTAAATATTTATTTCAAGACTGTTCCTCGCCGCTTCGTCCAGCCGGTTCGTCGAATATAAAATACGCTAATCTAATATTTGAACCTTTGCAGTAAAGAACGTCTTAACAACTGCTTGACAACCACATTGTTTGTCGATAAGCTATTGTTCTCTATTTGACTTAATCGTTTCTTCGAAGAACTTTCAAATTAATAATTATGAATCGTTGCTATAATATTGTAGAGCTGCTGTCTGTTTGTTTGTTAGCGCGGTTAACTGCGAAAATTACGCTTTTGAACTGAACTTCTTTTAATTTTTCTTGTTGTCTCATGACTATACGAGTTATATACATTTAGCCGAATTCATATACACGGGAAACTCATCAAAGACGGGGAACTCCTCGAAGACGGGAAACTCGTCTGATATGAACCCCACAGACAGGTTTGTCGTCCGAATTTTTCCGTCCAACTTTCCTGACTAAATTAAGAGACGGGTAAGTTAGACGGGAATCTCGTCTGGAAGAGAAACTCGTCTTAAATTCGCATTTAGAAGGATCAGTAAATCAGACGAGTTTGAGAAATATCAGCACGGTCAAGGACGGAACAAGACTACGAAAAATAAACACAATTATTATCGCAATGATTACGCATTACCCGACCCATCATACGTATAAACTTATCCATATGCCAATTCATATTCAGACGGGTTTTTACTATAAACTTTCCCGTCTAAGATTAGTTTCCCGCCCTAATATGCATTCGGCTATTCTTAATTCTTGTACTTTTTTCTTTTAAAATGCATTGTTAGTTTTGGTACTTTACTTGACTTCACTTCATTAAAAATACAAAAAAATCGCACCGTAACCATTAGCTTCATCTGGGACGCATATAACTAACTTATGGGAATTGGGAAGGTAGTGTTTTAGAGAACTGCACAACTGTAATTTACTTTAGCGACAACACAAATGGCTAATATTGTGTGCGTTTTCGACGAGAAAATAAATCATGAACGTTAAAGACATAATAAAGTGAATTGTTATTCATTTGAGATCCTATACCCGTAAGGTATTCAGTAATATAAAAAAATACAGCGTTTCATCGCAAGATCGTGCGGTTTACTTGAAAAGGCAGTGCTCTCCGAGTTTGATGGCGAAGGTTCGAGTCCCACATGGGAATGATTTTTTTCTTCTATTTCATCAAAGATCGTTCCAAAAAGGATTAAGTAAAATAAAAAACTCTTGGCTTACACCACAAGAACTGGTGGTGTAGTGGTGAAGATGATGATCTGCCAAGTATACAGTCGATGGTTCAAGCCCTGGAGAAACCGAAAAAGAAAAAGGTAACAAAGTGAGAATTTGTGAGTGTGAGAGGAGTAGACCGAGAGGGCGAAAATGCCCTCGCCTTGGGCGAGGAGTAGACTGAGGGGGGTTCTCTTTCCCCCGGCTTTCCTGACTTTCAAAGCAAGCTTTCTTCAAACATTTAATTGTGTTAGGGGGTAGTTAGGGATATATTAGGATAGGTAAAAGCAGGGATAGATAGGAGTAAATAGGAGGATAAATATGGGTAAAGAGGTTTAAATGAGTACAAAAAGACTTAAACATTTTATATACTGTTTTCTCACCTATACCCTCCCCCCGCCCCGGGAGCCGAGGCCGCCCAATTACTAAGTCTTTTTGTACTCATATACCCCTCATTCACCCTATCTATCCCCAGATTTCCCTAAAGATTAACTTTGATTTCTAAAGATTAACCGAATATATACTTCTCTGGAGCAACATACCTCCCGTTTCTTTTCTTATAGCGCCATCAGAATCGTACCATCCTATTCTTGATACCTCGATCTTGTACTTGATAGTCCACGATTTTACCACAAGGCTAACTGGTGATTGTTGGAAGCCTACACCAACTTATTCTCCATAACCTTACCATGTAATATTAATAACGAAAATTTCCATCTAAAACGAGATTCGAACCTTCGACTGTCGACACATGAGACCAACATCTTGACCACTCGACTACAAGATCTTGTGCTGAACGACTGCGGTTATTCAATTTACTTTACCCTTTTCATGAAGTTCATAATGAAAAACAGTTATAGTAGGATTTGAACCATCGATTTACCACTTGGGAGACTTGTCTTCGCCACTAGACTACGAGATCTGGTGCTGAATGTCGATGGTTATTTAATTTTCCTTATCGTTTTCGCGAAGGACATAATGAAAAACAACTCCCTTGGTTTCGAACCAACGAATTACCGCTTTAGAGACGATTGTCATAGCCAATAGACTATACGACATCTTCTGCCTGATGGCTTTAGTTTTTTAAACGACCTTATTCTTTTCTCGAAAGACATAATGAAAAACGGACGTACTCGGACTCGAACCTCTAGTTTGGAACGCGGGAGAGCCTTGCCTTCACCACTAGACCAGCAGAACTTCTGACGAATTCTTAAACTTGTTTGTTTTACTCAACCTTTTTTCGAGGGATTGTACATAATTAATATTCCAATGGTTTATCTTGATGATGATGATTTGCGTTCATGTGTAAAACGCACACTAATAATTGTATCTTATATTTGTAGCTTTAACCTAATATCAACCACTTGTGTTGACGCTAAAATACTATGTACATTATGGAACCCTTGAGCAAAGGAGCAGCCATGATCTCACTCACCATAAGTTACTTATATGTGGCCCACGTGAAGTTAATTGTTACGGTGCGATTGTTTCGTATTTTCAATGATGTCAAGTCTGATTTCACAGGTCACAAATTTGGTAGCTTTATTAAAATGTGTCAACATTCGCAAATAATTTCACGGCTGAAATTGTACTCCAACCTAAGGCAACAGATAGTAAATCAGCAAAATCTACTTCTCTACGCGTTACCATTCGCTCGTCACAACATCTTCGTTTTTCCTTATTAATTATTAGGAATAATGAATGATGAATATGAATGATTATTAGGAAATGCTTATTAATTTGAATGATTTGGTATACAGGGTGTCTCAAAAAAAACGCAACCACTTAAACCCTTTTTCACTCACTGCATTTACTATAAGCTAAGACAGGTTGATTTACTTCGGAAATGAGGTGAATAAAGCACATTTAAAATTTTATTGATTTCATGCAATTGTGCACATATTGCATGAATGACCGCGTGCACAGGACACAAACGTAGATAATTAAAGAGAGTAGACGTACCTGCAGGAGAACGCAAGTCTGCGAATTTCAAATTAGGATGGAAAAAGAAAGTTTTCCAAAGATTTGAACCATAATCTATACTAGTTGCGAGACCGTTAGCGATACCACTAAACAATCAGTGCTTGATGTCAAAGGCTACATTTATTTATTTTACTTAAATCAATTTTCAATTTCATAATCCTTCCCAGTATTCGAATCACGACTAAAAAGTTGCGAGACCATTATTTTCACTATAATAGACCAACAGACCTTGAGATTCACAGCGATGTTTTTCAATCTTACCTAAATATTTCTTTGGGGTCACGATAAAAACACTTTCCTCATGCAGGATTCGAACCATCAATTTGCCAGTTGCGAGACCGTTGTCATCACCCCCAGACTATTCGCTCTTGGTACGTTGACCAAAGTTTTCTATTTTACTTGAACTTTTTTCAAGGTCATGATGAAAAGATATCTCGCGTATAGGATTCGAAACAACGGCTTAAAACCTTATGTGTGGCACATAAAAAAAGACAAAAACCCATAACAAAAGCTTAGTATATACGAGATTTTTCAATGTGGTGATTGCGGGAGTATTTCTAGTTCACTGCGATTGCGCAGCGTCTCTTATGACATAATTTCAGGTTTTTTTTCGTTTTCCAGTAGCGTTTATGCATGTTTTTTAAACGTAAAGTGTCCTTTTTTACTCACTGTATTTACTTCAAGCTAAAACATGTTCATTTAGTTAGAAAATGAGGTGAATCAAGGACATTTTAAATTTTATTGATTTCATGCAATTGTGCACATAATGCACGACTGACCGCGTGCATACATCACAAGCGAAGATAATTAAAGATAGTACACTTAAGGCGGATTTCCACTTACAGCGAAATCGTTCGCTGGCGAAATATTAGCATATTTTCTTTTGAATTTAAACAGCATAAATAAATTAGTGCGACTTGAGTGTTCTCAATTCAAAAGAAAATATGCAAATATTTCGCCAGCGAACGATTTCGCTGTAAGTGGAAATCCGCCTTTACATGCACGACGCATGTCTGCCAAGTTCTAATTGGCATGAAAAAGGAAAGTTTTCCAAGGAGACCATTAGCTTCACCACTATACCATCAGCGCTTGATGTTTAGGACCACCTTTATTTATTTTATTTTACGTAGATCCTTTTTCATTGTCATAATTAAAAATTTGTCTATTTCATGAAATATTGCACGAACATCACGTGCGGCACACATCATACGCGTAGTTTATTAGAGACAGTACACGCGCGCACCAGCCTCGTACCCAGGCGCTTTAATAGTAAAATATATAATGTTGCATTCAGTTATAGTATAGAGGTCAGTTGAATAAAGCCGAGCGCGCGGGGGTGCACCCCCGCGCACTCGCCTTTATTCAACTGACCTCTATACTATAACTGAACGCAACATTATATATTTTACTATTAAAGCGCCTGGGTACGAGGCTGCGCGCGCACCTTAAATTAGCCTATTTCACGATGACGAATATCCGCCATCAATTTTCTTAAATGCGTTTAAACAATAATAGCACTACAAGAAACATTTTTTAAGAGTCTTGGGATCGCAATTTAAAAAATAAGTACCCCAAAAATGGCGGCACATTCGTCATCGCGATAATAGCATAATAAAAGAAAGTTTTCTTAGGATTTGAACCACAGTCTCTCAAGTTACGAAACCATTAAGAAAAAATTCGTGGTCAAGGCTTACAACACATTCCTCCCCCCCCCCCCCCTTATTTCTCACATTCGTCACATTCAGTTACACAAACTCGCTGTAAAAATCCCAACCTCGTACCCAGGGTCTTTCGTATTTTATATAAGTGTATTACGTTGTTACACTCGGGTAAGTCAATCGCTAGGTCTGTTACATTTCATTTGTGAAAGAATATCGAATATTAAAATAACTAGAGTGAGACACGCAATCTGATTGGTTAAAGCCGTGGAGGATGAACGAGGAATTCAAAGTCTTCAACTGTTGTGTCATTGTAGTAATCTTGTAGAACTATTACCAAATGGTTTTTCCGTCCAGAATTGTATGATCCATGATCCAAGTGGTATTGTTATTTCATTACAATTGGTTCAGAAATCAACCATCAATAATTTATGATGGAATCGATGCTCAGTTCTGCTATAATTCTTGTCGAAGATCATTTCGAATCACTTTTTAAATCATTTCCTCGCAGTATGAAATCAAGCTAATATTCCTAAATCAACTCATTCCTTGCTGCACTGGATGACAACTTTGATGCCCTCTCCTTTCTCTGTCGTTTCAAAAGCTTTTATACTTTCCTCCAGTTTAAATCTATGCGTCACCAATGGTTTGACATTCACCGCTCCGGAAGCAACAAGAGAGAGTGCTGTTGGGTAGCTAGAAAAGCGACAGAAAAATTCTAATGCTAAATTCAAATCACTTTTATTTCTGAGGATCATTCCCACAATATGTTTAATATTGGCTATCTCAAAAACGAAAAAGCAGAAATTAGCAGACTTTTCTGGAGGATAGGTTGTTTTTGTCGTCTTGAACTTTTAAGGCCCGTTTACACTTAAAATTTTTGCCCTAAATTCGGATTATCATGGGATTTTTCAACACGGTTGAGTTCCCAATCCATAGGCACGAAACTACACTTTTGAAAAGGGCGCTTATTCTGTCACTACAAAGATTGGTTGAACACGTATTGGTAGGCGGAAAGCGCTCTGCTAACAAGTCGCCAAATCTCATAATAAATCATTTACTACTCCTTTGAAGTGGATGTCGATGGAAAAAACAGAAAATAAACAGTTTTCGAACTCACCAGTTGGCATAGCGAAATATGCCTCGAATATCAACTTCTCTTGCACGAAAATTGAAAACAGGCATTTTGACTTCAGGTTTTCCCGAGCCAACCATAACCACTACACCACCTGACTTGGCTGCCTAGCAAAAAAGAATTTCGAAGAACCATTGTAGAAAGGTCATGAAAATTTCGCACGAATTTTACCTCAAAGTTGAACTGTGTTTTATAAAAACCTCGAGAGGAACATAGATTAACTATTTGTTACTAATCATTTGTTAATTTATATGCTATTTAGGATATTGATTGTAAACTGATTGTTGCCGGCGTTATCTCGCAAGCCACTGACACTAGCATATCAGCAATAATCCGGCAAAGATGGAAGATTTTCAAATTCAAACGAAATATTAAATAGATTAACCAAAAATACGATATGACAATTCTAAAATGAAACTTAATTAACTTATATTACTTTAAAAGATCTTAAGGCTACGAGATAACTATCAATAAGACAAACTAAGTTTTATTGCCTATTGTTTTAAAGTATAATTCATCTAAGTAAATTAGTTTGCAGGTACGTGGTGTAGGTACAATTTACTTATATTGTCATATCACCACGCAAAATTACAAGAAAATCTACTCAAGATGTACCTACTCACATATACACCAGTACCAATACTAGATTCGACTCCAGTGCACTCAATAACTTTGTTTGGAGCCTCTTTTAAGAGATGTTTAATATGACAGGCAATCTCTTTAGCACTCTTTCCTTTCTCCACTTGAATTGTGAGATCTGCACCGAGGTTTTTCGCCATTTCAAGACGTCGTTCATCTAAGTCTTTGGTGAGAAATGCCGTTTACAAAAAATAAATATAAATCTTGTAAGGCTATTAAAACTTTCAACTTCGCTACGAATTTAGATAGGATTTTTTTCCTTTAATGGATGCGAATGAGTGGACATCTATTAAAGATGAAAATCGCAACGAAAATTGCTATTGTGCACCAGCTATTGGTAATAGACCTTTCTTATAATGACGTCAAACGCGGGAAGTCTGATGTTACACGAAATTTAATTGGCTCCACAAAACTATCGAGCCAATCAAACTTCATGTAACATCAGACTTTCCGCGTTTGACGTCATTATGAAAAAGGTCTATTTGGTATAATAATTCCATGACCATTATAACAATTTTAGTATCCACGAATATAATCCTAACTTTAATCTTAAACCTGACCCAAACCCTTAGCCAATTACATTAATCTAAGAGGATTAGATTAGATTAATTACAATCGTGGATCTATTTTAAATATCTTCTATACAACACACAAACCTGTTATAGCAACACGACTTGCCCCACAGGCCTTTGAGACGAGAAGATTCACCAATCCAATAGGACCTAAAAATTGAGTAGATGCAGTGAACTTGCTCAGTATTACGTAAGTTTTAGCCAGATACTTGTAGGAAAGAGAGCTCTACCTGCTCCACAAACCAGAACAGTATCTCCCATTGTTATACCAGCCCTGCGACACGCGTGGACAGCAACAGACAATGGCTCCAGTAATGCTCCTTCTTCAAAACTCACAGAATCTGGTAACCTGGTATCAAAATGGAAAATAGAATACTATGGCTAATTTAGGGACAGTTTGACCACTGACTAGAGATGTATTTGTTGCACAGTGTCACATGTTGATATATGATATCACACAGTGTTATCTGGTGCTGCAAAGTATTACCTGGTGTCACACAGTGTTACCTGGTGTCACACAGTGTTACCTGGTGTCACACAGTGACTTATTGTTACATGGTGTCACAGTATGTTACGCAGTGTTATATTTCCATATGGTGCCACACAATGTTACCTGGTGCTGTACAGTGTTAACTGGTGCCACACAGTGTTACCTGGTGTCACACAGTGACATATTGTTACATGGTGTCACAGTATGTTACGCAGTGTTATATTTCCATATGGTGCCATGCACACAATGTTACCTGGTGCTGTACAGTGTTAACTGGTGGCACACAGTGTTACCTGGTGTTACAGCAAAATATTGTGACATGGTATATCACAGTATGTTACGCAGTGTCATATTTCCATATGGTGCCACAGTGTTACATGGTGTCACACAGTGCAGAATGCAGTGGTAAACAGTTTTCCACAGTGTAACTTTGCATAATTACACATTTGCTGGTGTCACAGTATTATGTGGTGTTAATTTTACTGTGTTACATGGTGTCATGCACACAGTGTTTTGAAGACACACTTTAAATCAAATGGTATGGTTGGGATTAAATTTTGCAGTTAAAAAAATTGTAATGTGTTACCAATGTAACTTGATTGGTACCTCTCTTGGAATTATAAATCTGTTAATTAGACTTACTCACTTGTAACAGAAATCAGCCGGATGACAATAGAAACGACACAAAGTACCATCGCATGGTGGTGTTGCTGCAAATGCCATTTCAGGGCAGAGATTGTACCGACCAGCTTTACAAAAATCACACATCCTACAAGGATATCCTGGCTCAACTGCAACACGATCACCTGGTAAAATTTGGAATAATTTTGCATTGAATTGTTTGCTGCCTTGATGCTGTAATCAGCCCAATGATTCACTCTCAAAGACAGCACAAACTCTTACAGTTGAAATAAAGAACACTCACCAATTTTTAGGGAAGTGACACCTTCTCCAACAGCAGTTACTGTACCACTTGTTTCATGGCCAAGAACCATTGGTGCTTTTACAATAAAGTCACCAATCCTTCCTTGGCGAAGATAGTGCACATCAGAACCACATATTCCAACTGAGTGCACAGCAACTTGAACCTCTGTTTTTAATGATACAGAGAATTCAAATAGAGCTCACAATAAGCAAAACCATGTACTATATATTTCATAATATTTATTTTAATATTTATTTTAATACCACCCTAGTATGCATGTAGACACAATCTGTAAATTATTTCTACATCGTTCTAGGAGCAAGTATGAGGTACCAATACCCCTCCCCTCGGGGATTTATTACGTGTATTAGTCTGATTTTTCTATATTGCACCCTCCCCCCTGCGAACCACAGTCAAATCTACGGAATTTCATCTTCATATAGTTTATCGGCGTTATTTGCTTTCTGCATAAAGATTTTCAATACCTCGCTATTTATTTGAAATTAATTATTGCACAACTTTGTAGCACCAGCACAGACTAACCTCCCTTGCCAGGTTTCACAATCTCGCGTTGTTCCTTAACCAAACGCAGAAAAGCATCATAAGAATTAAGAACCGCTTCATTTGCAACAGAAAAAAAATCAAAACTTACCAAACGCAAATCGTCTTGTTTGTACAGCACAGCACTCAGATTGTCCGCAGCCATTTCTACCACTTCCTTCTCTCAAAAAGACGAACACCCCCCCTGGGCTAAAACTGCTCTAAAGTCACAGAGATTGCTCTTTATAAGTAGGTAGGAACTCGCATTTTGGGCTTTAGAAGTTGGATAAAACTATTATTATAATTTTTCGACGGACTCGAACCATCGACCACTCCCCACCAACAAGTGAAAAAATAAAGACTATAACTTTATCAAAGATACTGTTTTCAAAATTTCTACCGTAATATTATGAAATATATTAATCTATGTGGTATCCACATTGTAGTGACATGGATTTGTGAAAAAAGTTAAAGTGAATTAGATAATAACTACAATGAGACACGCAATCTGATTGGTTAAATGCAAGGATGTGACAATCCCGCAGGAGGAATTTGGGAAGTTAATTTTGTGCACGGAGTTTTAAAAAGGTTTGGAACTGTGTTGTTTCATTGTAGCGATCTTATAGAATTATTACAAAATGGTTCTGGTTCTATGCGGGAGGGATATTGCAAGACAAGGATTATTGTTAATTCACTTATTCCATGAGTAATTTCTTGAACTGAATGTAATGGATAATTACATAGTCCTGCTGTAATTTCCGCCGAAGATCCACTGGTACAAGTTGAAATCAATTTTAAATCATTTCCTCGCAGTATGAAATCAAGCAAACATTCCTAAATCAACTCATTCCTTGCTGCACTGGATGACAACTTTGATACCCTCTCCTTTCTCCGTCGTTTCAAAAGCTTTTATACTTTCCTCCAGTTTAAATCTATGCGTCACCAATGGTTTGACATTCACCGCTCCGGAAGCAACAAGAGAGAGTGCTATTGGGTAGCTGGGAAAAGACAGAATATCGATTAACGCTTAAAATCACTTAAATTAGCCTTTCTCACGATGACGAATGTGCCGCAATTTTTGGGGTACTTTTTTTCAGGGCGGCCGTCTTTAATTTTAGGTATAATTTATTGTTCACATGTTCCATTGACTCCTAAAAAATTCTTCTTACATTGCTATTATTGTTTAAACGCATTTGAGAAAATTGAAAGTACCCCAAAAATTGCGGATATTCGTTATCGTGAGAAAGGCTAATTCACCCTTCCCGTAATTACGTCACAACTTTACCGTTTCCAGTTTAGAACTAACTTGAATGAAACGGATTTCAAGTTTTACTTTCACGAGATATAGTATGTGCAAAGATGTAAAAGGTGTTGGCCCCTGAGACTCATTCTCGTGTTATGGGGTTTTATTTCCACATTAATTGGTAAAAATGAAAAATTCTTTCTGACACATGTTTTATATCTTTGCACATAGCTCGTAAGTGTAAAACTTGAAATCTGTTTTATTTAAGGTGTTTTTAAACTGGAAACAGTAAAGTTCTGACCTAATTACCTAATTACTTGAAAAAAAGGAAATAAACTATTTCTCTGTAATATGATGACCTGGGCTCACGGGCCGAAAGCTTAGAATAAACTTATTATGGTGTAGACGACAGAAATTTTTGTCAAATAAAGTGTTTGTCAACTTACCAGTTAACATAGCGGAATATTCCTCGAATATCAACTTCTCTCGCGAGGAAATTAAAAACAGGCATTTTGACTTCTGGCTTTCCCATTCCAACTATAACCACTATACCACCTGACTTGGCTGCCTAAGCGAGGACGTTAAATAAAATCACTTTGAAGAACTATCGAGTATCGTAAAAAAGGCATGCAAATTTTGCACAAATTTTCCCTCAATAGGATGTCCAAGTTATACTCTGTTTATGAAAATCTCGACGGGTAGGCATCAAATGGACTTTGAGGTATTGAAATAAGTCTTTTTGAAACAAAACAAGCACATGCTATTGTTAGGATAATTACACGACTACCAAGATCATGTTATTTACTCATTTCAACACCTCAAAGTCCATTTTACGCTTCGTTAAATCTTGGAAACCAGGCTCATGTGAACACCCCCTAAAATTACATTGTATCTACTCACAAATATACCAGCATTAATACTGGACTCAACTCCAGTGCATTCAATGATTTTGTTTGGAGCTTCGTTCAACAGCTGTTTGATGTGACACGCGATCTCTTCCGCAGTTTTTCCTTTTTCCACTTGAATTGTGAGATCTGCACCAAGATTTTTCGCCATTTCAAGACGTTTCTCATCCAAGTCTATGGCAGGGAATGAAGTTAACAAAGAAATTAATAAACTTGTAGTTTCAGAGGCATCTTTGCACTTGCAAATTTAGTTGTGGTTTTCTTATTTTGACAGATGCGAAAAAGCAGGTTAGTTAAGGATACCCAAATGTAGGAGGAAATTGTACATGAAATATCCATAACGATTTGCACATTTAGATCCATCAGAAAAAGAAAAAGAAAGCAAAAGTTGCAAGTGTGCACTGGTCAAGTAATACCACTTCAACAATATAACCCTGACCATAATCCTAAATCTGACCTGAAATCAAATTAGATTAAGGATTAGATATGTGGATTCTGGACATGGAACTATCTTCGGTACACAAACCTGTTATAGCAACACGACTTGCTCCGCAGGCCTTTGAGACAAGAAGATTCACCAATCCAATAGGACCTAAAAATTAAGTAGATGCAGTAAACTTGCCCAGTATTATGTAAGTTTTAACCAGATACTTGTAGGAAAGAGAGCTCTACCTGCTCCACAAACCAGAACAGTATCTCCCATTGTTATACCAGCCCTGCGACACGCGTGGACAGCAACAGACAATGGCTCCAGTAATGCTCCTTCTTCAAAACTCACAGAATCTGGTAACCTGGTGTCAAAATGGAAAAGAAGAACATGAACTGTACGTTTCAGGGATGGTTCAACTACTGTAGACATTATTTGTTACCATGTCGCATATTGTTACATGGTATTAGTCACACGAAAACAGATGGATTCAGTAATAAACCTCCTTAAACCATTATCCAGAAATGCACACACAAATATTCATCTAGAATGTTTTTCCTAAAGGCACTACTAGACCATTAAACATTGCAACTTACTTGTAACAGAAATCAGCCGGATGACAGTAGAAACGGCACAAGGTACCATCGAATGGTGGCGTCGCTGCAAATGTCATTTCAGGGCAGAGATTGTACCGACCAGCTTTACAAAAATCACACATCTTGCAGGGATATCCTGGCTCAACTGCAACACGATCACCTGGTAAAATTTAGGAAAATGCACATGAAATATTTTCCTGCTTTGTTTCTGTAACTACAAGCTTCAAGTGATTTTTGAAAATCGATATTTGGTAGCCTGAGGAACTCTTATAACTAAAATGGAGCACACTTACCAACTTTTAGAGAAGTGACACCTTCCCCAACTTCACTTATTGTGCCACTTGTTTCATGGCCAAGAACCATTGGAGCTTTTACAATGAAGTCACCAATCCTTCCTTTGCGAAGGTAGTGCACATCTGAACCACATATTCCAACTGAGTGCACAGCAACTTGAACCTCTGTTTTGATGAACATGTGGTGTTTAAATACACACAAAACAGAAAAAAAGTATAGACTATATTACATAATTACAGAACACTGGGCAACACATTTAATCAAAACTGTGGAGACTTTACAAAACTTTGACACAGCATCTCGGCTGATCTATTGTTTGGCCTTTCAAAAGTGCTCCTTGAAGCTTGTGCCTCCAAATTTGAGATGCTTCCAACAATACTGCAGGTAATCAAGTACTGTAGCTAATTACTCATTTACATTACTAATACCACGCACAAGGACATAAACATGATGCACAGAGGCTTTTACATTGCCAGCTGATGCTCCCTATAATATACTTGCTTTTTGCGTGAGCCTTTTGAGTATTAAACAGACTATATAGTCTATGATATTGGAAATTATTGACGTTTAGAACAGCAGTACTGACCTCCCTTGCCAGGTTTCACAATCTCGCGTTGTTCCTTAACAAAACGCAGAAAAGCAGCGTAAGAATCGTATCATTTCAAAGAGAAAAATAGCATCAAAACTTACCAAACGCAAATCGTCTTGTTTGTACAATACAGCACTCAGATTGTCCGCAGCCATTTTTGCCTACTTGACTACTTCTGAAAAAATAATCCTTAATCCCCCCAGGAATGTCGAGAATTATTTTTGTCGTTTGCACTTACACTGGTCAAGAGAAGCACAAGAGATTTCATCATGTTGGACTATCCCGTTTATTTACAGATCAGTGAATCTATGAGTGGCAGTTACATGTAACATAATGCACCCAAAAAAATCATTGGTGCATGGAATGCATTGTAATGTTCTAAAATGTATTTTGTTCATTTTGTAAAAACCACTTGACTCAGGGACACAGATCCTGATTACAACCCCCCTCCCCTTTACATATCCTCTATGCTCCATTTATATGCCTCTTCATTGCTTGCCCCCTTATTGGCCAACATAGAGAATCGTTTCTTTTCAAATCCATTTGATCTGTCCACACCATCCCAACGGTAACCTGGGAGGATGTTGAATCTGTTTGGTGGGGGAGCTGGTCCTTTGTACCTTGGTTTCTCTGAAACAAAAACAAGAAAATGTTTAAAAAATGATGAAAATGGACCAAATAGCTTCATCAGTTCTAAACTAGGGGAAAACCAAAACTAAACTAACTTTATATATACTGGATAGTTCTAACAGTTATAAGCTGTTCTTCCTAGAGGTCCAATAAGGATAATCTCTTATTGTCTACATGATTGTCATCAAGTGTTCTCCACCTTTCTTCCCAGCTGAAACATCTTGTTTCACTTTCTTCTTCTGCACAAATGCTAACATAGGATCCTCAGCTCTCTCTCGATTCCTTAGCATTTCATCCAAATCTTCATCATCCTTGTACCTTGCCAGAGGCTTGCTCATCTCGTACAGGTCATCATCAACTTTCTCTTTTGCTGTTTTACTTTGCTGCACCCTAAAGGCAAGAAAACTCTGAACTTAAGAGAGGTTTTGTGGCAGTAATATATACTGTACATTGTTATTGTGTGATGTCTTTCAGCATTTAAGCTTGGCCCAAACATAACACTTTTCATCAAGATAGATTAAGATTGCTTATTACCTAATGTTCATAATGCATTAGCACATCTTCATAGCTTACCCTTTGCCCCATTTCATGAACTTCTCATTTTCCTCTTCTTTCTTCCGTTCTTCCTCTCGCTTTTTGACTTTTTCCACTTGGAAATCCCTCTTCCTTCCTGATTTATCCCGATGTACTGTCTCTGCACCCTTACCTGTGGTACTTGAGTTCATTTTGGAAAACATCTCATTTTCCCTCTGCTTCATTCGCTCATTCTCCTCTCTCAGCTCTGCAGCTGAATGTAGACCTGCTTTACGTTCTAGCCATAACAAAAGAACACAAAATGAGAGCTCACACAAAGCTTCATTGTAATTGCAGAAATACTGAGTTAAAACCTTCAACCACCATCGCACTTCTACTAAACTATATAAAAGCATGATAAAATTGAAATCCGGATCACACAAAAAGTTACCTGAATTTCTTTGCTTTCTTGGTGGAGACAGATCAGGTCCTTTATGATCACGTCTACTGCTTTTTCTGGGTGGGGAATGATCTTGGGGTGACCCTCTTGATTTACGAGGAGGGGAGAGGTCGGGAGAATTGTGTCTCCCTCTAACTGATGAACTATTTCTACTATCTAACGTTCTTTGTTTTCTTGGAGGAGATTGGTCGGGTGAAATGGGTTTATTTAAGGCTTTTCTACGAGGTGATAAGTCTGGTGAATCATGTCTGGTCCGTTTTGGCACATTGTTAGTATTTTGATTGTTTCTTGGAGGTGACTGATCAGAGGATGAATCGTGTCTGTTCCTTCTAGGTGGAGACTGATCAGGGGATCTTGATCTGTTATTTCCAATTTTACGTGGGGGAGACATGTCTGGAGAATCATGTCTGGTTCGTCTAGGCTGGTTTCTGAATGGTTGGTTACTCCGTGGTGGTGACCTGTCAGAGGAAGAAGAATCATGTCTCTTTCGTCTTGGTGGTGATTGGTCCGCTTGCGACCTTGACTTGCCGCTTCTCTGAGGCAAAAGTTCAGGGGAATCGTGTCGACTTAGTCTTGGTGGTATTTCCTTTGCCAATCTTCTTGGGGGTGATTCATCCGAAGATGAATTGTGTCTGATGGGTTGTCGTTGCGGTGACAAATCTTCAGAATCATGTCGACGTCTATGTTTATCTGCTTTTCTGGAAACTGCTTGTCCTTTTGAAATTTTTTTACCATAGTCACTTGATTTCTCAGGTGAAGTTCTGCTTCTCATAGGAGATAAGTCCTTTGTACTCTGATGACTTTTCCCCACGTTTGACTCATCTTGAACGGTTTTCACCGGCGCCCACATCGCCTTTCTCTCATCTTCTTTCTTCTTAATGCTCTCTAAATCTTTCGATAGCACAGTAGTTCCCGTTTCGTTAAAAATAAGCGGAGTTTCGTCTGCCATATCAAGAAGATTTTCCGCGGTTCCAGCATCCTGCTTCACTTTGATATCCCTTAGATTTACATCGTCGTCGATAATCAAAGACTTTCCGGTTTTTACCCCAGTTTTCACCTTCTTTTTTCGCCTCTTTTTCTCCCCAGAATCCGCGTTTGACAGATAACGTTTTAAATACTCTTCCTTCGAAATGGCCGCCATTTTGGATTTGTCAGGATACTTCATGTATCTTTACTAATAAGTGTATTTGTTGCAAATTAACTTCATCTATGCAATTAACACTTCATTAACCCTGTTCCATCCAATCACAATCAAACGCCTTTAAGGCCACAGAAGAGCAAACGAGAAGCAAACTTTTATCATGTAATACGTAGTAGGTGAATCACACCGCCACAAATTTCTTAAAAATTTTCATTCAATTTCATTGCACAGCAAAAATTTACAAAAGGCACGGAAGTACAAAATTATATTCTTACGATTAGGGATTTACGAATGAATGTAGTCGTCCTTTCAATTTCATATATACCATTTACAACGTTGGTGAAGATCAGTAACATTGTTTAATTAGAAATTTACAATCTTCTGAAGCTAAAAATACCAAAACCAGTTTAGGCTGATAAACAAACAACCGGTTCAACCAGTTGTTTACCTGAAAAACAGGGCTTTCAAGAAATAATGGTTCTTTTACGCAAAGTTTAATCCGCGTAGTTCAGAAGATATTTTCCATTCATTACTGAACATTCACCATTGTTTTTCGTATATATGAAAGATGGAAAAGGGTGTGTGTTAGCGAGCCAAACTTTTGACTATATAAATAATCTATACGAGAATAAATTAACTCTTAATAGACACTAGTTGCGCAGTTTCAGACTTCAGTGCAACCAATGGTGGCCATTTCCAAGGTACGTTAAGTTCACCACCATGAACTTCAATAACGATTACGATAAGACGCGTTTGCAAAGAAAATGAATATTTTGTGGATTTTTGCAACGTTTTTCGGGCAAAGTAGTGTGTATATTAGACAATTTAGTCACAGCCGTAGTAATATTTTGTTTCATTTCACCTCGTGGTTGGTTGACCAGTATTTGTTGCACAGACAGAATCAAACCACCAGACATTAATTTACATAATCCATCATTTTGTACGCTTTACGGCGCACCCGGCCTCGACTAGAGACGTCCAATCGTCTCCGCGAGTTTTCATCGTCACTTTCCGAAGCGCTATCGTCGTATCGCGACGACGACCGAGTTCTAACCGGTCGTTTCGAGTTCACAACCTGTTTGCCCTTGCCCACATTAGATTTCTTTCCCGTAGTTTTCTTCGCTGGCATCTTACCAGACCGGTTCGACCGGAGATTCTTCCAGCGTTGAGGTGAGTCCGACTCCTCACTACTCTCTTCCCCAGTTTCCTCGCTACCCTCCTCCTCTTCTTCCTCCTCCTCGTCGTCATCTTCGCTCTCATGGTCAGCAGATACTCCATTCAACTGCAGCCTGGTCGGAGGAACCCGCGAACGGGTTGAATACCTAGATGGCCCGTTTAGGGCGCTTGTGTCAGGCGTTTCAGAGGCCACTGAGCTTACGCTACTTATAGACTCCCTAAATGACGTTCTTGCCGCACTTCTGGTCCTTGTCCGCTGATTAGTTGAATCATCAAAGTTATTAGCTTGAAGTCGATTTGATGTCCCCGATGAACTACTATTACCCCCATCTGTACCCTCAATTCCCGTAGTGCTCAGCACTGATCCCGTAGTTAATGAAATTTTCATTCTTAAACCATCACTATTACTAGGCCCCGCTTCATCGTCGCGTCGCCGACTCGTGGACGCTCGCGCGGACACCCGCGGGGCCAATTCAGGTTGTACACGAAGGGTCGGCCGCCGGCCGGGACTTGATACGCCGCTCGTACCAGGTGTGTCTTCTACTGCGCGCCTGGATCGCTGGCGCGTACGACGCCCGCTTCCACTTCTATTACGGTAGAAGTTCATTAAAAGTTCGTCAACTTTGTTTTCAAATAACGCCGATAGTCGTAAAGTCATTGAGTAGATCTGGCAAAGAAGAGATGAAAATTAAAGATGGAATTTGTCTTGATACGACAAACTAAGTCTATCTGTACTGGATAGCTCCATTAAATTCGCTTCTCTTTTCTAAAGGTACAGTAGGGAATTTATTGTCTCACCCTTGACTTCGGATTCACGTTGTACTTTCTGGAGTTGGAAAACACAAGTCGAATATCCTGGATGAACTGCTCAGGTTCGTTGTAAAAATCTGAATCAATACGAGAACGTATGGTGGAGAATGCAATGGGTTCATCCACATAGTCTGTGTAATCCTAAAAGAAAAAATAAATTGTAAGGGACACTACATAAACCTACGTTTTCCTTGTTTAAAAAGAGGCATTCCTATCTTGACCGACTGTTCTTCCTAAGGTCCAGTAAGGAACATCTCTTATTGATTCAGTGATTCAGTCATTCATTCATTCATATTGATGTTCTAAACTGTTCTTCCTAGAGGTCCAATAAGGATGATCCTCTAAATCCTCTTCCCCGAGGTTGGGTAAGGCTAACGTTACTATGATGGAAAAATCCAAATTGAACTATCTGTAAAAGATAAAATATCCATACCGGGAAATCAGCAAGATCAACAGGTTCTCTGAACGGCTCGGCATCGCTTCTTGTCGCGAGCATATTAAACAAAGCGAGAATCTCTTCCTTCAAAGAATATTCGACCTAGAAACATAATCTCAATTTAGGTGAAAAATGGCAAAAGAGACCACATAAAAATCGACCTCAAGCATTTTCATGATAAATATCTCACCACTGCTTCCACTTCATGTCTTCTAGTTTTCTTTCTCATTGGGCCTGCAGGAGAGAGACTGGAATTCTTCCTTTTACTGCTACTGCTGGCACCCTAAAAAGAAAAACCGTCGTTGGTAGATATTGAAGTTGAACGAAATCACTTTAAATCGTGCGATATTTAAGGATGTTACTTTACCTCGTTGGATTGTCCTTCCCCATCTGACTCTTCAACGTGCTAAAAAAGAAATTACAGATCCGATAAAACTTGTCAATCAAATATCTCCTTTATTGTCCACGAAATTACTGTCTGGTTAGTGTTTTAACAGAAGAAGAGTATACTAGTATTTTGGAAATAGTGCAAATTAGGTTCTCAAAGTTCTAAGAGTTTAGAAATGAGACATATAAAGTTATACAGTTTGAAGGTTCTTCGCTGTTTTGAGATTGATTGCCATAATTTAATTGCTATTTTTATTGATTAAAATATTTTTGTTGTTATGATTGAGATTGAAATATTTTTGTTGTATTGTAAGCATCGCCTATAGCGAACCATTGATAAGAACAATGACCGCCTCAAACTGATACTGTTTAATATCGCAAGGATCAGGAAGGTCTGACGAGACGTGATTGAAAAACCCATAGACCTGCTGAGATCTTGCTGCATGGACAATGATGTTATTCTGCATAATATAGACTGTAAAAATCGAATATCAGTCTGGTGAATATCGATTTCTTTATTGAAAGGACAGTGGTAGGCCTGTCTACTGAGAAGAAACAGCATACCTCAACGTCCACCTCGGCTGTTTCCATGTTCGCATCTTCACAAAGTGCAAGTGGGTCAACACAGGAAGCATTCCTTGGAAAAAAAAAGCAAGGAAGAGAAGTTTTAGAAAAATAAGCCGACAGCCCTGGATATCTGTTTGTTGTTTGTTTGTCTGTATATACCAGCTCTGAATGTGGTGTGAGAAAATTCAATTTTTAATAGCAGTTCAACTGGAGGACGTACTTGATGAATGCGGACAGTACAGAGACCAACTTGTCGGCGTTCTGCACAATCTCGCTGTCCTCTTCGTTGTAGGTCTTCGCATTTCGGCCCGTTTGACAAACATCCCAGAGTAGAGCTGTTTTTCGCCTGCAAACGAAAAGACCTTGTAATTTGACGATTTGAGATCTTTCTGATCAAACTAATCAACAATACCTGTAGTATTTGTTTTCTAATCTGTCAATAATCGCCTTAAGATCGACCGGGTAAGCGACGACACTCCAGTAATCCGGATACGATCTTACGTCAACGGGGTAAGCAAATGGACCTGCGAACGGGAGCTCCGAGATGAGGCTCAGCCCGCGGGTCAGTCTGGCCACGGCGGCGTCATATTCTTCGTCAGGCCATTCGTTTTCCTGCGGCGTATATTTGACCAAAGCTTCGTGCTCTTCCTCCGTGATGGGGATGTTGTTTGAGTCCACTCCAGAGGTGTTCGTGTCAGGGACCTCGGTAGTACCTGTGAATAAAGGAAAAGTTAATGTTTACTATTCCCCCCTGTATATCTATATATAATACATGTTTGACAGGGGGTTATACCAGAGCCCTCTGGAGTACTGTTAATGAAGAAAAAATTCCATACCTACTTCACCCCCCGTACGTCTATAATATATGTTTCACAGGGGACCATTCATGAGTACTTGTGAGGAAAAAGAGAATATCTACCTGACACACCCCTTACATTTATATGTCAAACATGCTTGACAGGGGGGGTGAACCGTTGGAGTCTGATGTTACCTACCGTTATCAGGAATAGGCTCCAGATCCCATGGACTCATTCTCTCCACCTCACCAGTATCCCAACTATAAACGTAGAAGTTGGTATTTATGTAAAAACAAATGTAGGCATAGCAAGGGAAATTGGGTGTTATACCAAGGGAGGGGAAGGTGGCCCACCACCCGAGGGAAGGTAGGCCCCCACCTATGCCAACTACCTACCCACAACTCTACAAAACCATAAAAGTATGGACGACAAAACTTTAGGAAACACTCGACTAACCTTACAACATAGCACTGGAAGTGGCTGTCCGGCAATTCATCTTCATAAGGACTGACTTCAGTGATAACACCTGACCACCAGTAGTCATCAATAACACTGCGGAATCTGCAGCCTGCGTGGAGATAAAACAAACAGTATCAACGCTGTCCATTGGGCAAATTTAAACCGGTGAACTCTAATACAACTGGACCGTCGGATAATCGATGATAACTTTTGATTTGTTTGAGACCAGTTTAACGTTGCTGAGAATTCGCTAGACTTGGAGCCAAAAATAGGGTAGAGATGCAATGAAGAGTGTATGATTACTACACCACTAGTCTATATCTGTCATAAAGAAGCTCTTACCAGGCCTCCAATCCCGTTCGAGCGACTGATCATAAACTTGCTTCAAAACGAAAAAATCCACAACATTCTGCATATCATGGTATCTGAAAAAAAATACCAGTTTGATGGTTTTAAGGTATGTTCACACGATCCAACTTTGTCGGATCCAATTCACTTCTGACGTATGGAATATAGTCAGTTATTGATAAAGCAGTACTGCATTGGCTTTAGTGGATTTGCTGCCTATAAACATTGTTAGGCAACAGACTACAAAACATCCATCAGAAGTGAATTGAATCCAACAAAATCGGATCGTTTGAAAAGACCTTTACTAGTCTATTTTTGATCTTGTTTGCAGCCGCTGAAATTGAGCTGGAACGCTTATTAAGCTAGTATGTTGTAATATTCCCCTCTTCAGATAAAGATTCTTCTTACTAACATGTAAAGTTTGTCTTAAGAATTCAAACTGTTTTATTCATGGGATTTATGAGAGGAAATGAACTTACTTGACCGTAAACGAACCACCAGTATTTGCCCCAGTCTCGGGATTCAGAATTGCTAAATAATAACAATAAAACGTTTAAATAATACTGGGAGTGCCGTAAAATTTTGGGTAGTGTCGCAGCTCCTCGCAAGAATGATTTTCATTGGTTGAACTTTACAATACATTTCTGTTTCAACCAATAGCATAGCTTCGCTCTTTAGAAAGCATAGAAAAGCACTATCCAATTGGATGAAAGCTTCCGAGAGCTGCGACATGACCCAATGTGAGATGTGAACGAGTAATTAGTTACGAAAGCCCTGATGTATTTGAGCTCTTACTTGAACACATCGTGACTAATTCACTCGTTCACATCTATCAAAAGAAGAAAATGGTAGAAAAATTGCAAGTGTCAACAAACGGGCCTTAAGCATACTACATCGTGCATGGTGTAAAATCATATATTTTATTCTTTAATATTATTTCTATTTTCTACAAAAATTCTTTAATAGTATTTTTCTTACCGAGTTTCAGGGATACGAGGGTTGGTGGTCCAGTGACATAATGAAGACTCACGACTTTGCAAAGTTCCTCCGCCTTCAGATCGAGTTTAGCGAAACACTGTTTCTTCGGGTTTATTTCGTACGATTCTTGACTCATGACCTCCTTCACGTACATTTCATGACCTTGCTTGAAGTAGTAGACCTGGATTTACGAAGGAATAATGAAGGCATTATACGCATGTTTATCAGTAGTTACGGTTGTTCAAAAGCCGCTTAACATTAACCCTGCGTTAAAGCAAATCTTTCATCAACTTTTAAATCCCTTGTCTACAAAGTTTAATATATTTTTCAACCAATATTTTATGAACCGATACAAGTTTTATTTTGTAAAAGTTTTAAAACGTACACCAGCTCTGACAGACATTAAAACTCCGTTAAATTTTACTTCGCCATTTTGGTTTATATGCTTCTGCACCGCTGTTTGTTTCAAGACTTTACAAAATAAGACTTCTATTGATCCTAAAACTATTTATGAAAAAAACATGTTCAACTTTATAAACTTGCGATTGAAAAACTGATGTGAAAATTTGAGTTAAAGTAACCGGCTTTTGAACAACCGACCCCAAGGATTTAACCCAGGGTTAGTGCTAACCTAGCTTTGAACAGCTGGTTCCAGTTGTATATAGAGTTCCCTAGCCTTACCTCGTCTCCGACTTGCGGAACATAAGGAAATCTTTGCAGTTTCGTACTGGTCATCCATTCCGGTGGTCGATGGTATTCAAGCCATTCCTCAATATCGTCCATCCTTGGTTTGCGCGGGACCTGGGCAGGAATAACAGGGAAAGTGATCTTTTGATTAGACAGTTGATGTGGAAGAACAATAAACGCATTCCTAACCCAACCATAGCATTAATTTCGTAAATTTTCCATAGCGATATGATAAAATTACAATTTTAAAAGCTCTCGTTTTGTCACTAAGTAACCCAAAAGAAAATATATCGAGTTTCATTTCACAGTCTTTTATGAAAATACATCACAGTCACAGACCGCAATATAAAACTGGACACAAACACTTCTAGGCTACCTCGGCTTATACTAACTTTCCAACATATCCTCGAAGTTAAAACACTATTATTACCTTCTTTCTCTTTTTCTTTGACGGTTTTTTCGGTCTATCATTTTCCTTCTTTCTTGCTTGCTGTGTCACTGTCTCACCATCTTCATCGCTTGTACTTATAACACGACGTACTCGGCGACTTGGTCGCTGGTTTCCCGACTGTTGTCTCGTGTTCATACCAACTTCTTCGGTCCAATCAGAGTATTCACTGGTCTCACTAAAATATAGCGATATTGCCTAAAGGAAACTTAACTAAACTAACTTAATTTATACTGGATAGTTCTATCAGTTCTAAACTGTTCTTCCTAGAGGTCCAGTAAGGATCATCTCTTATTGATCCAGTGTTACTACAGGAGGAAACCTAAACTAAACTAACTTAATTTATACTGGATAGTTCTATCAGTTCTAAACTGTTCTTCCTAGAGGTCCAGTAAGGATCATCTCTTATTGATCCAGTGTTACTACAGGAGGAAACCTAAACTAAACTAACTTTATTTATACTGGATAGCTCTATCAGTTCTAAACTGTTCTTCCTAGAGGTCCAGTAAGGATCATCTCTTATTGATCCAGTGTTACTACAGGAGGAAACCTAAACTAAACTAACTTTATTTATACTGGATAGCTCTATCAGTTCTAAACTGTTTTTCCTAGAGGTCCAGTAAGGATAATCTCTTATTGATCCAGTGTTACTAGAAAAAAAAACCTTCTATATTTTTTGCAATCTAATTTTAAACACATGGATTAGTAGACAGTAATGAATGATTTTCCCACCTGCTGCTGCTATTCCAAGGAAGATCATCATCATCACTATCACTTGGTGTGATCATAGCTTCTTCCTCACCAGACTCATCAACATCGCTCTCCGTGTTTGCTGCTGCACGTGTATTATATACAGAACGAGACTCGTTAGCACGTGGACGAGGCTCGCTGGCACGTGGGCGTTCGCGCCGGTTACTTGGACGGGCACGACTGCGCAGGAATCTCTCGGCCTTCTTGTCAGTTTGACTGACAGACTAGATAGAAGGACACAAATAGCCTTTATATACTAGATAGCTCTATCAGTTTTAAATTGTTCGTTCTAGAGGTCTAGTAAGGATCATCTCTTATTAATCCAGTGTTACTACCTCTTGTAACCTAAACTGAACTAACTTTATTTATACTGCATAGCTCTATCAGTTCTAAACTGTTGTGTGAAGAGGTCCAGTAAGGATCATCTCTTATTAATCCAGTGTTACTACAGGAGGAAATCTAAACTGAACTAACTTTATTTATACTGCATAGCTCTATCAGTTCTAAACTGTTCTTCTTAGAGGTCCAGTAAGGATCATCTCTTATTGATCCAGTGTTACTACAGGAGGAAACCTAAACTAAACTGGAATGTATAAAATATGTACAAACCCTTGAGGTCGAAGGTAATGGACGTTTCTTTTTCTCTTTCAAATATCTAAGAAATTCCTGTCTTCCCAGTAATTTGCGCCTTTCCTCATCCCATCTGAAAAACAAAAACACAATTACTGTTCGATTTCACCGCTGAAACCCATAGAAATCCACTCAGTAGTATTCAATTGATTAAATTTTTTGTTATTCTTTTATGAACTAGCCGAAATCTTTTTGACTTTGTTTAGTTATAAGAACCATAGTATATCTCAAGAAATATTAAGTTGTTTCAACCAGGAAATTATTCTTATTTGACACCTAGGCCTAGTCCTTTCCCGCCATTTCAGATCACTCGAAAGGAAACTGACAAGAGCTATGTATGTATGTATTAAATAACTACATGATATTCAACACGTACTTGGCTTGAGACTCTTCCAACTTGGGCACGATGATCCTGCTCCTCCAGGCATTTATATCGGCCTCCGTGGCATCCTGAATGATGGGAATGTTCACGTTGAGCTGTCTCACTCCCTCGATATCACCATCCTGAAGCAGGCCCCTGTTGCGGCTTCCCACCCCCGGACTGCCAAGAGATGGCGCATTCTGGCCGGGGGGTGGTGATTGAATCACTGCAAGATAACCAGGAGAGCGAAAAATATTATTCAATTAGGAATTTTAGAGACTTAGAAAGTTATGGAAAGGCTAAACACGGTGTCTCGGAAAAACCCGACCAATATCTCATTAGGTTGAACGATTTCATTTTAATAGTATAACAAAACTACTATATTCTACTAATCATTACTAACACTGGAAAGAACTTCCGGAAATTAGTAAGATTGGTTGCGAAATATTATATTCTGTAAACTAGTATTACGTGCGAAAAAGGCTTGCCACTAATTTGGGCAGAGCTATATTTTTCCAAACTAAACTTTCCAAACTTATTAACTCGAGGATGGTCTTTCCAGCATTACACTTTTATACAGTTTCCTAGTTTTAAATTTAGTTTAAAGGAGGAAAGGTCTATTCCCGTTTCGTTTCTTGAGATATTCCTACGAATTTTATTTTGTCCTGAGGATGAACCACTGATTGCGGGAACCACTGATTATTTTCATAAAATACACAACAATAGTAACTCCGAATAAAGTAAGCATGAATGAAAATGCTTACTTTATTCGGAGTTACTATTGTTCTGTATTTTATGAACCACTGAGCTATATATATAATAAGGAATTATTATATAACTCAGTGGGATGAACACAGCATGCTTACGTACCTTCGGGATCAGGGAATGCAGCACCGCGTTCGAACTGTTCTATCTGTGCCAGGAGAGGTGGCAGAGGCGAAGAGGGCACAGGTGGAGGACTGGTAACCACATGACGTCGAGGTCTGATGTTGCTACTGTGACCGGGGATAAGGCGTTGGTAGAACACCGGGTGGGGGTTACCGTCCACATCGACTAAGAACGGTGGGGGCATGAGGTGAGGGGCTGTTTGTGTCTAGAGAAAAAAAGGTAACTCAATTGGCGAACGTCGGGGGAACGTTGGGGGTTGGTTCATTCAACGAATTCTTATGTATCAAATTCTTAGTTTCACATCGGAGCAGGGCTGGCCCGTGGATGGGCAGAAACGGAATGACAAGGCGGGGAGAAAAAACCTGACAAACCTGTTCATCGAGCACGTGGTTATTCATGTCTCTCATAACAGGACGGTAATCTGAATGGAAAAACTGTTCAGCGGGAACCTAAACGAAAAAAGTTGACGATAGATTAAAACTTTCTCTAGAACTAGGGGAGGGAGGGGAGGCATGTACGTGTGCATTAAACGGTTGTACCCCCAACCATAAAACAAATTGGGCAGTCGTACCTTCTGATATGGCTCGCTAGATCCAAAACCATAAATAGCAAGATGACCATGACTGTCAGTCGTCGCAAATCTTTGGCCATCGGGAGAGAACTTACAGTCAAATACAGCACCATGACCCTGGCCTTCGAGCTGAAAACAGCAAACACAACAAATGATCAAGAATTACACAGATTCGTATCAGAATTAGTACAAGGTTATAATAAGGTATGATAGGTAAAAATGCCTTTTATTCCTAGTCACTGATTTATAAATAACACTGATGTGTGTTGACGGTGAAGTTAATGTGAAAAAAGCACTACCATACTATATAAAGGGATGATTATTTTGATGGTATAGTTATTTTGAAGCGCGTGGATCGTGACCCACGAGGATTATTATATACTGTACAAAGCTTTGTTAGGTAAGATTATAGATTTTCTGGGCATATTTTGAAGAGGCTTGTTAATTTGATCTTTCAAAAAAGCTTAACTCACGGAGTTGTAGAATTTTTTTACGATTTTTCCAACGGTGAGGTTCCACAGAATGATGTAACCGTCGTGTCCAGCGGTCAGAAGAAGTTGTGGGTTGGTTGGATGAGCTTCGATGATAAATATCTCATCTTGATGTCCCTGAATTAAACAAGTAACTGTTACTGTATTTAATTTAGATGTGTTTTTACGAGTTCTGAGAATTGTCGTTTGCTAGGCTATGCTAGACAGATGTAGCTATTTTAATCAAGGGCAGTGGTATCACATAGTTTCGAAGAAGCTCTTCACATAGCTTGGGATCCCACTGGAAGAAGAGACACTGCCAAAATTGGTAAGATTTGGAAATTGGTAAGTGAACTTTTTAAAACTTATTCAATCATATTCTCTTTGATCTAGCAATGCACAATTGTAGACTGATGATTAGATTTTCAGGTTGAAAGATTGTCTGCAACTCTGTAAAAATGGCGTACCTTGAGAACGTAGATGAGCTTGCCAGTCTTGGACTCCCAAACTTTCACGCTGTGGTCGTTGACAGCTGTTACGACAAACTGGTCTGATAAATCCCAGCCAACCTGCCAAACAAGCCAAGAATTTAACATGATGGATTGAACCAGGTCAGGGAGCCCCAAGCAAAAATATAAATAGCCCCCCCCCTACATTGCCTTCTGGGCAGAAAAGTGGGGGGGGGGGGTTGAGCCTTTGGTAGTTCCGCCATATTTTATAGGGTACTTCTTTATAAATATGTAAGCGTGAAGTCCAACTTTGTCGGATCCAATTCACTTCTGACGTATGGAATGAAGTTTGTTGTGAATGAAGCAGCACAGCATTGGTTTTCGTCGAATTGCTGCCATATACTTTGCAAGAAAACAGACAATAAAACATCCATCAAAAGTGAAATGGATCCGACAAAATTGGATTGTGTGAATAGACCTTAAGACTCGCCACAGCGACTGTCTAATTTTAGGCTTCATTTATTCCTCATACGGTCCGTCGACTGTAAAAAAATTGTTTTTTATATTTTCACAATTGTTTCATACCATTGTTACTCGTATTTTCGTTATTTTGTTTGTTTCTTCGTTCTGCTGAGGCGATGAACTAGAGGAAAAAGAACGTGTTTCAAAACGTCAAACGGCGCTGTTGAAAGTGCAGCGGAAATCTTGACTCGATCGGAAAATATCTGTCTTGTTTACAGGAAATCGTCATTTCCTCGATAGACTGGGCTGTACCTTCCCAATTGTTCTTGACTGTTCAGGATGATGCTCTTCCATTCTGATCGTTGATAATACCAAATTCTGGCAGTGCCATCCTTTGACCCACTGAGAAACCTGAGGTTGATTTAAATGAGATTTTTATAGGTGACATACTGACGACAAAAAAGTTCCTACTGTACACTAGGTTTCTGCGAAGAACTGAGTTTCATTTAAGCCACAGATATGGTGTTACTGCTATGAATACAATTGCACTGTAGTTTAGTTTAGTTTAGTTTAGGTTTTCTTCTGTGGTAACACTGGATCAATAAGAGATGATCCTTACTGGACATCTAGTTTAGAACTGATAGAGCTATCCGGTTTTAATAAAGTTAGTTTACTTTAGGTTTCCTCTTGTAGTAACATTGTATCAATCAGAGATGATCCTTACTGGACCTCTAGGAAGAACAGTTTAGAACTGATAGAGCTATCCAGTATGAATAAAGTTAGTTTATAAGTTTAGGTTTCTTCCTGTAGTAACACTGGATCAATAAGAGATGATCCTCACTGGAGCTCTAGGAAGAACAGTTTAGAACTGATAGAGCTATCCAGTATAAATAAAGTTAGTTTAGTTTAGGTTTCCTCCTGTAGCAACACTGGATCAATAAGAGATGATCCTTACTGGACCTCTAGGAAGAATAGTTTAGAACTGATAGAGCTAACCAGTTTAAATAAAGTTAATTTAGTTTAGGTTTCCTCCTGTAGTAACACTGGATCAATAAGAGATGATCCTTACTGGACCTCTAGGAAGAACAGTTTAGAACTGATAGAACTATCCAGTATAAATAAAGTTGGTTTAGTTTAGGTTTCCTCCTGTAGTAACACCGGATCAATATAAGAGTTGGTCCAAACGTCCAGTGGGACCAGTTGAGAGAGAGTACTGTATACATGCACAATTACAAATTACAATTGTTCAGTACAACTACAAAACAAATTATCATCTTGACTAAATGTCAAATTACCTTTCACTTGAATGGCTGAACTGTATGCTATCAACATGATCCTGTGTTATTAAAAACAAAAGACAATCATTTCAAGTTTTGCTGAAAAGTTAAAAATATACAACTACCAGCTGTAGCCATGCAATTGAAACAAATATCTTACCAAGTGAGAAGACAGCTCAGCAATTCTCTCTGGGGGTCCAGGTGAAATTTGGTATATTCTGATGTTGTGATCTGTATTGCCAGTCACCAGGAATACTCCGCCTGGACTGAACGAGGAACAGATTATCTGTGCTCCAGGCCTTGATTTCTCTTGAAATTTGACTGGCACATTGCTAATACACAATATCAAGTTATTAATCATTTCTATTCTTTGTTAAATAACAAACAACAGGATTTCCACAATGAATAAACTATTCATAGTATAAGAACTTACTCAAATTTCTTTGTAGAAAGATCATATTTCCAAAAAGTGACAGTTGCATCACCTCCAGTTGACATTAGGTATCTGAAAAGGTTTGATTTAAATGTTAATTTTTGTTTTTCATCCAAATATATGCACTTTGATTGGAAGTGGTTGCTACTGGCTAACTATCAGCCCATCTAAAACACTGCCAAGACACTCTGTTGGCAGATAATTGATAAGAGATTAAGGTACCTAAACATAAGAGTGAAGTCTCACCTAAAGTCGCAAGAGCAGGATGGACAAAACTAAAAATAGAATAGAAGTGTTAAATAACAATTAGGATCTAAAGTGCAATTAATTCACCTGAGATTATAACATAAAGCACTGAAGCAGGCATTTGGAAGGGAAATAGATTTGCTAAACCAAGCTAATTTAAACCTCAAAAGGAAAGTGGGAAACAAAGAAATGTCTAGTTGAGAGCATGCTATACGTCAAATGTCATACCTGGAGTGATGTAATTGATCCAGTGTGACCTTGCAAAACACCAACAGGTGCTGCTGTCTGAATGTCCCATACACGAATGGTCTGCAAACAAGAAACAGAGTATATAGTACAAATGTACAACAGGAACTCCATCATCACCAGGGGAAGACTATACTTTTTTCTAAATGTGAATTTTTAATAATTATTTTAAAATGCTTTTAAAAGGATGTTCATATTGTTCTATATTTTATCAAGATATGCAATGGTCCCTGTGGAATCAGAGTGTTATCAATTATCTTTATCATTTTATCAATCAATGATTTTTAGCATACAACAAGGAAATATTGTTTCATATTGTTTTTATATGGTGTGTATAGTTTTTACCTTATCACAGCTGCCTGCAGCTAGCAATGTGTTTTCACAATTTACGGCAATATCAGATATCTCAGCACTATGTCCTCTTAACGTAGCTAAGAGCCTGCCATCAGAACTTGACCAAATTTTCACTAAATTATCATCTGCACCCTGATTGTTGAAAATGAGAATGAGAATCAGGTTTAAACTTTACTTCAAAGTGCTCTGAAATCATTTGAAGTGACAAAGATTTAAAGTTGAGAATCATGCAGGTTCTGAAATTAGGAAACTTACAGTTATAATGGATTGACCAGTTTGATCAAACAGAACACAGTAAACGGCTGATAAATGACCCAAAATCCTTCGGTGCTATTAAAAAACAAGTGAAATGTTTATGAAAATAAGTGAAAATGCAAGAGCAAGTAAAAAATTAATCACCATTTACCATTGACATTTTAGAATACAAGCCATGTTGGATAAAATTTCGTTTAAAAGCTGTTCCGCTTGCCTGTCTCGCACTGACAACATTTGCTGCAAAGTAATTCAGAACATTATAATGAAAATTATTTTGAAGTGTACATTATATAATAATAAAAAGTCAATAGGAGTAAGGATGTATTTAACCACAGATTGACATGACTCACTCAAGTTAAATGTGTTCTTGGTTTTAAATCCAGGTGCAATTGGAGCTCCATGTCGACAAACTGTGAGATGATTTGAGGTGAGGAGACAACCTCGATCTACAAGTAAAATTTTAACAATTTACATCATCAGCATAAATTAATCTATGCATGTTATGCAGTCTAACAAACATATACTAGTTACTAGCCATAAATATCAGTACAAAATATCTAAGGGGGAAGGAACCAGACATTGTCTATCTATTGTATTTGTATCAGATTAAAAATATAGGGGATATATGCAAGTGTTATACCTTTACGATATACTACCAGCATGTAGGGATTATGACCTGACTAATGTAATTTTTCTAAATCATGGCAAAACTTTCTAGTTGACTGACTCTCTGTCCCCAGTCACCAAAAATCACCAGTCTATTGCTTATCTCAAATCTCAAATTATCACAAGTTGGCATTACCACTTGCAGTTTATTATTTAGATAATAAAAAGGCATATACTGGTGATATTTTGTCTACCATATAGGTAATCTGTAGATAAATTTTGTAATAAATTGTTAATGATTTTATGAAGTGCCAATTGTTCTGTGCTGTGTGGAGGTAACTACATGCTATACTTTTACTATATATATTATATACACTCTAAGTATATTCATTGGTTAATTACCTTGGGCTGGCCTCAATAACGAGTGCTTCCCGGCACCAAGTAATGACGAAACGCCTTTGACACTGGGTGGGATTGTCTGCTCGAGCAAGGGCAGCAATCGCCCACATATTTGTTGCAAGAAATTACCCGGGATGTGAAGATTTTTTGATGCCTACAAAAATTATAACAACATTAGCTAGTGTTGCAGGATTATATTGAAACAGCTAAATTCTAGGAATTCTGCATTCATTTCAGCAAAATATTCAATTTATTACAATGTTTGCACAGTATGCTGCAAATTAAAGCAGGCAGCATGTTAAGCTCTTGAATGTCTGTATTTCGTGGAAAAGATATGGAATATTTTTGTAAAGCATCTATCTTGTGGATGGTAAATTACTTTTCATGGACTTGCCCAGTTTGTTAATAATTTGTGAGCTGATTAAGCCTGGTGAAACCAAACTAAGTTTCTTCCACAGTATATAAGCCCTCAGACATTCAAAATACATGAGTCAGATACAGACACAGCTGGCCTTAATGTCATTTAGAATGCTGCTTGAGCTGGGTCAATATAGCTAGTGGACCTTCACTTAATACATTAGGATAAACTGTTTCAACTATAGCATTTAGCATTTCCTAAATTGAGCCCTCCAGCTCTGCCTCGTTTCACAAAATACTTAAAAAAAATTTTGCACTGAAATGACTGTTTACATTTCACAGTTTTCAAACAAAGATCTTCAGGAAGTATATTATACAAAAGTACAACAATCCAAAACGTAAGAAATAGTGGTTGCGTTCACAAGAGGACAGAAGACGCAACAGACAGACAGAACCAAACGTAAGACAGAAGTCACGATTTGCCAATTAGACCGGAATTTTATACCCGTTCAAAGGTGTGAATCTCTTCCTTTCTTCGATAAAACTCCAGGAATTTCACACTGCCCAACGAGTTTTAACTTCGCCGTGCAAGAAATTCGTGAGCTTGAAGCGCAATTTGCAGTTTTCAAGCGCAAATTCATATCGAAATATGTTTTTAATGGGGCATTCTTTCCGAATGCAAATCGTTCATGTGGTATGTCAACAAATACGATTTCCTCCTCAGCGATTGGACGAAGGGACAATGGAGTGTTGACCTTTATGGAAATTGACACCGTTTAGTCATGCGTAGCGTCGGCCGTGTCGATTTCATGCGAATATTTTCAAGGACAGATGATGCCATTTCAACTGGCCGTTTATGTCCCTTCCGAATCTTATCCCGCGCTCCGGAGTTCCCCCTCTAAAACCCTCCTCCTATCTCAAAGTGGGTTGCCCCAATCACACGTTTGTCTCGGATAACTTTCCCTCAATTTTTTCCCCCGTTTTCTTTGAATTTCCGCAAGGAAACGTGCGAGATAGCTGTGACTCCTAAAGCATACTCTACCGTGTCTGCATAGTTTCGGGGCGTTGTATCTCCCAGCCAATTCATCCCTCTTGGTAGAAGCTGAAAATATAAAAACACCGAGTTTCAGTCGTGTCAAAAACGTTCAAAAGATGAATTTAAACGCGGTTCGAAGCCGCCAAAACTTTCACAAGTTTTGAGGGAAATGTGCACGAGGCATTTTTGGGTGTTTACAGAATAAAGGGTGATTTTTACCCCTTTTCGGACGCGAATTAGAGAAAATGGGAGCTCACCTCAAGTGATTCGACTTCGCGTTTTAAAACCTGTTAAGACATGACAAATTGTGAGCGGTTAAAATCGTAAAATTTGACGAAATTTAACGGAGTTACCTCGGCTGCAGAACTGCATGGCCCTTCCGACAAGAACTTGATTATCAGAAAGTACAATTCTATGGAGAAAAGGTGAAATAGAACATGAAATAGGACTTGGGGTTTCTCGGGTCTGTATGGCACGATAACACGGCCTTACCTCGGCTCAATTTTTCGTCTATACAAGCTTTCTCCTCAACGTTAGCCATACTGGAGGGCTCACTAAAGCCTTGGGCTTCTTTTTTATCGCTGTTTGGACACGTAAAAACGAGAGACTTTTGTTTAACATTCAACGGTAGTTACATGACATCGTTCATCTCGGCAACAGCTGTGAAAATTAATTCAAAGCCATTGAAATTTTACCCAACATGACGTCAGGGAAGTAGCACGGCGGACTGCGCATGCTTGGCGATGGGCGCCAAAAAATTGCTTCCACTTTTCTTAACTTTACAAATATTACCATTACATACTTTAAAATAAAGCATTAAATAAGGGCAAATGAAGTGGAAATCTCGCCAATTTATCATAATAAATAAACCCCGGAAGATACATTAGCCGTGTTTGCCCTTAATTTCAATGACAGTTTGATTTTTCTGACAAAAATTATTTATATATTTTTGGCTAGTTAGGAGGATAAACCAGAAGTTAATTTCTTCGTGTCAAAAATTTAAGATTTTTTCGAGCAATTCCGTGGGACAGTTTTACCTACTTTAAGTTGATAATTTATTTCGCAAAGGCGCAAATCATCATAATTATCTGATTTATGTCACATAATATTACACCAATGACCTATGCAAAATATACGCAAAAATTTCGAATGCAAAAATCTTAGAAACAAAGTGGAAACAGACATTCGACGTGGTTGTCAACTTGTCATGTGTGGAAATAATTAGAGAGAACTTCTTTAGAGAAAAAACGCCGGTTTTTTGGCTATATTTTTCCGGGAAAAATGTTTTTGGCTGGCGAAGGCGGTCAGCAGACGAGCTGGGTTCGTGATTTCTTCAACAACGTGCTAAAATGTGGCGAAATACCGCGTCACGTAGCGTTTATCATGGATGGAAACAGACGCTTTGCTAAGGAAAGACAGCAACCTCGCGCACAGGGTCACGAGTCTGGATTTCAAAAGCTCGCGGAGGTATACCAGAGATCTGCAGTCTCTTTCTTTGGACCTTCAGGGTTATATTGTCAGTATAACATAAAGTATAATGAATATTTGAATCTAATCATGTAGAAATTACTCAAATTAGCCATTCATATAGTATTAGGTAATAGGTATCACGTCATCAGTTGAAATATACACAAGGGATACCAGTCTTACAATCTGTGATTTTCATGCAAAAGTAATGGCGAGTGAACCAGTTTACCATGTTGTCGATTGGAAATCCCAATTACACAAATTTGATCCTTGAGATTAGGAACCTTAGGATTAAGTTTGATTAGGGTTAACCCTCATCCTAAATCTAACCTAATCTCAAGGATTAGGGGTAAAACTTATTGCCTATTGACTGACCAGAGTAAAGGCGTACTATTGTCACCTATACATGTTACTAGTCTGCATGAAAAAAATTGAATTGTAACGTTAAGCATAAATGACAAAACACCTCAATTTAGTTGACGTTAGAAGACTAGAAAGATGCATAGGTGACAATTGTCACAAGTGACATGTGTGCATGCTAACTAAGTTCACCAGTTTGCACCAAGCCTAATACTTACCATATGATTGATATCAACCCAATTACTAAAAAAGCTAATATGGGAAAAGCAAAGAGGTCCACAGTAATAAAATGTTGTGAATTATTTCTAGACATTGCAATGGTGTTTGGAGTTGGGGATCTACGAGGTGACTGTGTATGCATTCAGTATTGAAAACTTCAAGAGGTCTAAAGAAGAAGTAGATCAATTGATGGAATTGACTAAACAGAAAATTGCTAAAATTATGGAAGAAAAGTAAGAGCTGATCCTGATTGATTTTAGCATTTAAAGGAGCCAATGTTGTAAAGGAAGTGGATCTGAAATGTTTTCAGAAACTTTCAAAAAACGTTAAAAAGTTTAAGTCCTCTTATATTTCTAGGCTAAACTATCTTATTATATGTAATACATGTCCAATTTTCACCTCGCGTACCTAATAATACATGTAATGTCTGAAATTTCTCCATAGAGAAAAGATAATGGATCGTGGGGTTTGCATCCGAGTGTTGGGTGACCTTACCCTCTTACCTCCAGACACTCGCAAGGCTGTCGCTGAAGTGGTTCGATTCTCAAAGAACAATACAAAGTATGGGAAATTTTTTAGCATCTAATGTGACAAAGTTCTGTCCTTATCAAAAATACAAACACATCTTGTGTACCCCAGTGGAATCCAAACCATGGACTAGCTCGGGATGATTGAATAACAGTCATCACACACAATATTTTTTAATCTTTAGATGTTTTTTAAATGTGTGCCTTGCATACACATCAAGACATGAGATTACAGAGGCTGTTAAACTTATGGCTGAAGGAGTAGAGCTTGGAATATTAGAACCAAGGTACTCTAGGTCACTATGTGCCATAAATCCTAAATACATAACTTAATCCTTGAGATTGGAATTAGGATCAAGTCTTGGATTAGGTTTAAGGTTGATTAGGGTTAACCTAAATCCTAAGTCTAATCCTAACCTACTTCCAAGGATTAAGTTAATGTATTTAGGAATTACTGAATGTGGAATTATTTCCTCTAGATTGCTTTCATGATTTCATTTATTCTGGTTTTAGTGATGTAACAGAATCCTTACTAGACAAAACATTATACACAAACAAGTCTCCAGACCCAGATTTATTAATACGGACATCAGGGGAGATTAGATTAAGTGATTTCTTACTTTGGCAGGTAAGTTAAACGCAGGTTTACCACTACTTCCTTGCACTCTGTTTATTACAGTAACTGTAATACTGTTTGTTTTATTTTAGACATCTCATACGTGTCTAATATTCGAGAAGGCTCTGTGGCCAGCATTTTCAATATGGGATTTTTATCATGCTATATTGTGTTACCAATGGAATTATAATAAACTAAAGGTAGTTGCACCTGTTTATCTTGTTATTGACAGCATTTATCTTGTTATTAAGATTGCAATACATCACATATCTTCTCTCCCAACCAACAATTCCACATTTGAGAATGAATAAGCAAGTTCTAAAGGTACTATTTCTCTGACAGATTAACAAGGATAAAACTGAACAGTACAAGATAACAAAAGAACTTGAATCTCTGAAGAGACATATACTACAAAATGAGGGACATTCGCGAAATGTAGAAACCCTGGTTATAGAATCAAGAACTCAAAATGAATTAGACCAAGCCTTAGAAAGGAGAGAACAAAGACAACAAGCATTTGCATCATTTGTTGATGAAAGACGAAAAGAAATCCTTGAGTCATGCTGCTAGTGTTTTAACCAGACAAACAATGAAATTTTTTACCGAATAAATTGGGTGTTTTCTGGTTATGCAAAATCCATATACCCACAAATTATTCACATTATCCAATCTGGGAGATTCATATAGAAAGTTAGATAGATAATTTATTATTTTACCTTTTGCTTGTTAAAAATTAAAATAAATATTTAAATCAGGTATAAAAAATAACATGGCATCTTTATATCTTTAAATGTCACTTAAAAAACAGTCTGAAAAATAACTTTTAAATATATAGTTTTAATCAGGCCAGCCTGATTGTAATTAAAATAACTTTTAAGAATAATTACAAAGCTAAAACAACATTTCTAGCATCTACAACAAACTACTAGTTTTGCATAAAATGTTAAAGTTTTCTTTGACTTTTCAGGTCTAATTTCTAGACATTGCCCACAGTAGAAAACACTTTAACATTTCCTGGTGAAAAATGTTTCCATGCACATTTGAAAATGGGTTTTGTTACCTAGCTAGTCACACTTCAGATGTCAAATGTTGTTGCAGCTATGAGCACATTTAGAGGTGCAAGTGAATAAATACAGACCTGCATGTGGTATGTGGTTGCTCTGCTTAGCTTGATCAACAAACAACCATCAAATCACTTTGTTACCTTACGCACAGCAAACCTTTGACATTGGCGAGGAATGAATCCAAGTTTTTGCGAAATGTCTCTTTGTAGTTCTTATCATTTGCAATATTGGCATCTGGTGGTATTAGTTTGTTGAACGAATCTATAAGTCTCTGCCGGACTGCTGCATCTGTTTGACTTGCCAGGAGATTTTGAACGAGATTGGTGTATTCCTCCTGGAATGAGACATAAAGATATGAATTTTGTGCAGTGTGGGTCAAAGAACCAGATCAACCAATTCAGCTAAGCTTTATCCAACTTTAATATTTTCTAAGTCTTTTAAATGGTGTCAGATAAATTTATCAGAGGTTGTGAGTTATTATATCTGCTAGTCATTTGCATGGATTTATTGAAAGCATTGGCCTGACATGTCACTAAAGGCACCCCTACTAAAATGTTTACCTGATGACAACAAATTAGGTAACGAAATGCATCAGCAGCTGGTATGAGAAGATCAACCACATCAAATGTTTCATACAGCAAAAAGTTGAATAGAATCTGTAATAGAGATCATTGTTTTAACTTGACAAAAGCCGCACTAGGTTAGTTCTAGATTACTACAAAAAAATAATCTAAATTAACTTTCTCATAGGATCATCCCTTATTAAGTGTTATTGAATGAGCTAGTGTGTTAATACTGCAGGATGAAATGAAAACCAAACTACTTTATTAAAGCTGCCTGTTCGTATTGGAGCAGACAAAATCCCAATTACAAGGATGACAAGGCCAAAACTAAATGGTGTATGCCACAAAATACTAATTCACCCACACATTCAGATTTTCAGTTCTGTTACCTTTAGCATAGATTTTAATGCTGCAGATCGCTCAGTTATGGTTGTCTTCTGTTGTTGATCCCGAAACAGGTCCAATGCCATGCTACTCAGAGCTTCAAGAGTTGATTTAGCAATATCACTACCACATCTTTATACTGTCAAGGAATGGCCAGCCAATGCAAAGACAGTGTTACAATACTACTTCCTATTTGTTATTGGGTAACTTCAAAAGCCAAAAATTTGTCACAAGAATAATCAAGGGATTTCATTTGTAGCATGGACTATTTGATCTATTTTAGAAAAACACATACTTAGTCTTTTACTAGATGAAAAAGGGGAACTTTCTAGCCATAACTTTATGACTTGAATTTCAAAGGATACTCAGTCAAACCTTTCTCCAATGATACCATCAGGTTTGCAAACAAATGATCTGGCATTAGGCATACAGTAGGAAAATGCTCTTCACAGACAAATGTTATCAATTTAAAATATTCCTCCTTTAATTCAGGAAACTATAAAAAAGAATGATATAGTATTCTCAATTTTTTCATTGCATGTAACAAATATTGCTCCACTTGCTGCCAATAACTATCTATTTCACCAAAGGATTTTGGTTTGCTTTTGATATGCATGGTTATATACAGTAGTGGTGGGGGGTGGTTAATCCTATCTTTCACATAATTCTTCATTCACAGAAGATTTGAATACTTCTGATTAACAGTACCTTACCTTCAATAGTTCAGGAGTGATAAAAGGCATTAATATATTTAATCCATATAAAACAACATTGGCACCCCCATCCCCAGGGGTGTATTCACCATGAACCTCATCTGAAAAAGCAATACGTAAGTATGGAATTAATATTCTCTGTGAGTTAGATACAAAAGTTGTCATTTCAATCAGTAAAAACATTGCATCATGCATGGCCATGCACATAAATTTAAGATGTATATGCACATGTGCAGGCATAATTCTGCAAATTCACAGTGGTCACTGGTGGAGAAAATCGGCAAATTTGTAAGCAAGTGTCAATCATTAATTTCAAAAATTTTTTACCAACAGAAAAGTCAAAAAATTCTTTGTTTACGATGGTTGATAAAATCTTGATAAATATTAAAAGATCTAAAAATGTCTCTTCTTCAGCTAAAATGCTTCTATTCAGTCTGCCTATAAAAACAAAGGAATATTTAGTGCACAAATGAAAAAACATTAATATCCCATGGTAATTTGCAGCTAAAGTTATGAACTATTCTCTGTTCAAAGAGCGATGACAATTCCTGTGTACAGTGTATTGCTTGTGCCTGTAGTACCGTATTATAAACCATGCTTTGGTTATGATGTCAAATATTTTGACATGGATAACCACGCTTTTTTAATGGTCACATGCATGTTCTATGTAAAGTTACAAGAGTGTTAGGTGCTCATATACAAACATTAAGCAATATAACCATGCTTTGCAAATACAGATGTCAAATATTTTGATGTATTTCAGTGTATTGCTTGTGCCTGTAGTACCATATTATAAACCATGCTTTGGTTATGATGTCAAATATTTTGACATGGATAACCACTCTTTTTTAATGGTCACATGCATGTTCTATGTAAAGTTGCAAGCATGTTAGGTGCTCATATACAAACATTTACAGTAACAATATAACCAAGCTTTGGTTATGATATCAAATATTTTTATATGGATAACCTGCAATTTTAATGGTTAAAAAGTTGCAAGCATGTTTCGTGCTGAATCGTGCATATACAAACATTAAACAATATATGGCCAGGCATGACAGTTCATCTGTCTTTACTCACCTAGACTGTGCTTAGAGTAAACTTCCATTAAACTAACACATATCTTATGCAAGGTTGGCCATTCAGCCTGTAAGGTAAAGAAATGGAGGTTTCAATCACAGTTGCTTTTGGTGATGTACATGTATATGACACAGATAAACCTTTTAGTACTAGGACTTAGATTGATTATTGTTGAACCAAAATTAATAACACACAAAATTAGCTCACCAACCTTAGTAAGAAAGCCCAACTGTGAATCAACAACGTCTAACAGCAAGGACAACAGGATTTCTACAGTCTCAGAACAGTTGTGATACAATTCAAACAAAGGTACACAATCCTCAAGTACTGGCACAAGGAAGGAAAAGAGGAAAGACACATTCCGTCTGTCTGTTGCCTTGGCAGCACCACGAAAGCACTGCAGCAATCTTTCTACTTCTTCCTTGAAAGCTTCATGTTGGCATTCTTTTCGAAACATAGGAGCTTGGACGACAGAAAGAAACCTGGCTTTGATTGGATTCAGGATCTGCAAAGATATTTTTGGATGTTTTAATTATCATACTGTATTAAAGTCTTCTCTCTAATATAGACAACACTCTTTGTGATAGCGGATATCACTTGGCATGATTTTCATTACAAAGACCTATACATACTGTAGACAGGCATCCTTAAGATGGACACAACTAGAATGTGAACACCTTTGTAACTTATGTAACTTAAGCACCTTTCTATATTATATACAGGTAAACATTTAATACATATTCCCACGTATATAACATTGATATCTTTCTACTTTCAGAGCCACTTGAATGTATGTGCATACTGTATACCTTTCTCATATAGATGCATATTTGATCATATTCTCACCTGACTGAGATATTGTTTTCTGCTTGAATCATGTTCAATAGCTGATCCAGCAATGACCAGTGCCCGAGAAAGTTCCCTTTGTACAAGAGCAGGAAGGTCTTTTACATACGAGTTGTTTTCTGCATAATCTTTTGCAAGCTGAGCAATCACATCACAAGAGATTGCTGCATGGGCACTGTTGAAAAAAATTGAATTGGAAATTTACTACAGCATGCATCACAAAATTTCTACATCAAGTAGTATGTTGCCTGATGATGTTGTTCTATTATTTCTCAAGCAGTCCAGTTGAAGACTGGCAAAGCTGATAAACTCTGTCATAGTCGGTTCATCGGGATCTCCAATGTGCTAGCAATTTTACTGGGAAATGAGATATATCATTAGGAATTTTGATGAACTAGTAAGCTTTATAAAACTTTTCTTACTTTGTTTTGTTGCTCATTAATGTGACAAGCAATTGTGCTGTATTCTCCAACACACTGGGCTCACTCAACCAACCATGCAGATTACTCAGAACCTTGCCAAGGATGAATTTCACAAACCACTGCGCGCTTTGACTTCCCTTTCCGAATGCTGCCACCAAGGCTACGCTGATTTGACCATAGTCAGGCTCGGAAAACATGAGGTATACATCACAAACTTTTCTCAATATCCACACAATATTTCCACCAAGTTCTGGGCTCAATATTGGTCCAAGTCCTGCAGCAAGTGCTTGCTTTTCAAGGTCCGCCACTCTCAACATCAATGTTATCAACCTGGTGACAGAATCAATCCTTTTGTCCCCTATAGGTAATAGAATAATCAGTGAGTACTTCACATATAACACATATATTACAAAAAATTGGGTTCGCAAACTTGTTTTGGTACTAGGGTTATCAATCTTAGGGGCTGTTTATGGTTACCCGAAACACTGCTAGGATCTAGCTTGTACCCAGTAGGTGCTTTAATAGTAAAAAAGTATATAACGTTGCATTCATTTATTATATAACTGAATGCAACATTATTTTTTTACCATTAAAGCACCTGGGTACGAATCACCGGCTAGAATCAAATTTGTTACTCAGTACCTCAGAGTCATCTCACACTTTGTTGAATCTTGGATAATCATGTAAACAGCCGTTTACAGGTCTCATGTGAAGATCACCATAAGCTTACCTGTGTCATCAGTCCCAAGTGATGTCAGATATTTCACAGTGGATTCCATATGAACATTTTCAGACTCAGCAACAGAATGCATCATGATTTCATCAGGGATTAGTGCCTTCTCACCAAGAACGTCATCGCTAAGTATGTGGCCAGCAATCAGGATAATCCAATGCAAGTCTTCGTACAGGTTCTCTGTTTTTACCGTATCAACAGCTAGTGGTCCTAAATGGATACAGTTTCATGTATAGACAACTTTGTAAAAGACAGAAAACTTTGTAAATGTCGTAAATGTACATGGGCATCCACTTGGGCCAATCACATTCTAGTATATGCATAACACAACCCACAATTCCTCTACATTAAAACCATTTAAGGTGATAAATATGACAATGGTCAATTGATATGACAATGGTCAATTGGGATCAGTGAATTAAAGACTGTCCCTTTCAATGGTGGGTTGTATGATCATCCAAAAAATTCTTGGAAGTCTATTGTGTATCTCATTAATCATATTATGGCTGTTGTCAATCCTATGCTTTGACTATCAGTAGTTGCGTAAAGGATGTTGTTCTGTAAAATGACTACATATCTTTGGCACCTTTTTCCTTGAGTGTACACAGATGTTCCATGAATGTAGCTATCTTGACTTCCAACATGTGATTGAGAAATGGCAGAGCATCCCCAAGAACATGCCGTGCCAGCTTTGCAACTGCGGATAACTGCTCATCAAACTCTTCCAAGTCTGTGTCTCGCAGCTCAACGAATTCTTCAAGATCTTGTACGCCTTGAGGGTTTCTGGTACCTTCAGGTGCAGAGATGTGCGTCCTGATGTAAAGATGAAGGATCTGAAGGCAGGGAGCCGAGAGAAAGTCTTTAGGAAATGAGTTGGAGCCGGATAATATGTTGACCCATGCTATCAAGAGTTGATCAAATGCCTCCATGTGCGATGTGTCATCATTGTGAAGCTATAACGGGATAATATAAAATATGCTTGATTGTTTAAACTTTAAACTGGTTGACAGGTGCTGAAGAATCATTAAATATAGGCAGGTATAACTAGATTTAAGTAGGAAAGAAGTTTAAACAGGTATCATTGAATACAAGAGAATATTGAACATTGGGCAATCTCATTGATATAATTTTTTATGCATTCCAATTGTTAGAAATTGGGAGTTAGCTTACCTCTTCATTCCTCATCGCTGCTTGCAAGAAATTTTGTGTGAGTAGAGACACAGCATGGAGGTATGTTTTTACAAGCTCAGTTGGAAGAGTCGCTACCGATGAGATGGAGAAAACAGTTGTAATGCGATTGACAACAGAGGCAAAACCACAGGCAATCACACCGGAAACTTGACTGCTGTAAAAGAGGTGATGTATTTTAGCATTGTGTGCTTGGAGTATGATGCAATAGCTTAGTCACAAATTACCTGAATTGATGTACAAGGTGCAATATGCCTTGCAACAAATGACCAAGATATTGAACTATTGATGAATCGTCTGAAAAAACTGTGCCAGTCAAGGAAGCAAATTGTGTCAGGCAAAGAAAGTATCGATGAAGAAGCTGTTCATTGTCATTCAAACAGGATTTGAGCTGGAGAAAAATGAATAAAACATATAGTAATTAGGTTGCCTTGCTTGATGAATAAGTCATAATATAAAGTGATAGCATAAATTATATGACTTGTGGATGTATGAATTAATATTATGATAATGCTACTCTACATAGCACCTGTCACCTTTGGTCTGTTCAATACCTAGGGTAGCAAACCAAAGGTCGGAAGTTCAATCCCCACAATCCTCAAGCTAATTTTTTTCTGTAACTCTGGTAACTCCCACACCTGAGTACACAGGCCAAGTACATTGGATCACACATATAAACAATCAAAAACACTTGTGAACAATAAAGTACTCACATTAAAGAAGATTTCCAGAGCATTTCCATTCACCATACACTCTCGCCAGGTTGGGCCAGGTTTGAATAAAATTAGAGTTGCAGCTTCGTTGCCTCTGGAGTGAAACGCCCTCAAAGGTACATTGCAGTTAAGGAAAATTACAATTATAGCAAAAAAAAATTAGTGTGGTGATATGTATGTACAATCATTGGAGTTTATAGCCCCACAATAGCTTTATATCAGTTTTGGTCTGCTTTTCTTAGAGATTCCAAATCATTTCTCATTAAATAAATATGCTAAAACAGGAGGAAACCAAACTAAGATAACTTTATTTATACAGTTATGGCTGCTGGATAGCTCTAATAATTCTAAAGTGGACTACAGGCTTAAAAGCAAAAGCTTTGGTGTAAAGGATATGATTTTTAGGAGAAAAAGTCCATGATAAAATACTTTCAGTAACAGACAACAGGTTGCCCAAAACTGCAATGTGTTCTTTGGTGAATGGAGTTGAGATGGAAGTGAATGTCTGTAAGGCTTGTATTGTTGTTATGAAAAACTGCTGAAGGCTTTGAGTCTAAATAATAAAATTTATCAAATTAGAAATCTTGAGCATTACAGACATATTGTATAACATGACATGTATATATATATATATATATGTACAACATATTAGTAGTAGTTACATAGAGTAGTGTGTTTACACAGTATTTAGCACGAGAATGGGGAATTGGAAGATATGGGTGTTCCAGTTAAATACCTCAAAATGTGCCTTGCACTTGCAGTGAAATTCAAAACTCATCTTGATATCACTGGACTGACCAACTGAAGAATATTCAAATAACAATGCTTTCATCATTGAACATCCTATCAGTTTCTGGAAACAAATGAAAAAGGAGAGGTTCATATATCAACCACAAAGTCACAAAAATATAAACTTCTAAAAAACAAAACTATAGAGGCATCTTGTTAACATTAAAAAGAGAGAGCACCTTTAAGTTACTATAACCAGTAATATTATTTATAACCATGCATTTATAAAAATTATTTTGCCTGTTTTCATTCGGTTTTTGCTCTTCAAGATACGAAGAAGAGTGGCAGATCCAATATATGTACAGTGGGATTTGCCAAACTAAATATACCACATTGTATATAAGCAACAGGTATATATACACTAACCAAAATCCATAGAAACCAGCAGAGTAGTGTAATAGAGTTCTTTCTAACCAAGAGTTGATCATGCAAATGTAGCTTGCTTTACATATCTAATCAAACCAAGACTGCTCTATGTATTCCCGTCACTATGATTGATATAGGATATTATAAGCTCTTACCATATGCAAGTCATTGCTGACAAACAATTGATGTACATTTCCCATAAGACTTTGCAGTGAACTGTATCCTGCTGAATCATCCAATGTACCCCTCTTGATTATCACTGCTATGCATTGCAATGATTTCTCAATGACATACTTCTGTAGACTAAATTTTAAAAAAAGTAAAAAATAGTTTAAAATATCTTCACCCAGAGAAACCTTTTGTTCTTTAGCTGGGAAGGTTTATGCAATATTTCCATTGATTTCTCAACAACATATCTGAGTAACTAAAAGATCAATGCATCATTTTTTACACACAAATTTGCCACTTACTTTCTCCTTTCACAGACAAAGGCGAGAAGAAAATTGAGCCAGAAATCAGTCTCAGTTTTATTCAAGAATGACCACTCCCTCACAATGGCTGCTTTCAAGGTTGTCACAGCTTGGTAGAGGACGTAATCATTGTTGCTTTGCTCTGGTAATAAAATTAGACAACATTTCTTTTACATACATTGACCACATATACATAAAAAGATTGTTGTGTCAGTAAATTAGCTTGTAGGTACCCCAGGGGCCGCTTGTATAAAACACATTGCATAGTAACATGACTGACCAATTCCGCCCTTAACTACAATTAAAAGTTAACTAGCCTTTTATACAACTGGCTCCTGGCAAGTATTTACAGTAATACTGCAAAGCTTTCAGTCTGTTAACCCAGGCCTTCATCAGTGCAACTGCATGGTGTACCTACACGCTGGTTTACTTATATTGTGATATCACCATGCAAAATTACAAGAAAAGTTATATTCTTACGAAAGATTTCTTGGCAAAATTTGTAAGGAGAAGCTTGTGCTTTGAAATTGAGAAAAACTTGCTCAGCTGCATGGTGCTGTTCAACACTTACTAACTGTGATGCCTGGAAAATAATTTGAATGTGATGAATTTATGCTATAGGCCACTCTTTTAGACTTATAACATGTAACATTTTGTCTCAAATTTTTTGAGAGTGTAACGTCTGCCATCTAACGAAAGCACACACAAGCGCTATGGCGCATAGTATCCAGTTTGTATCTTGCTCACAACATCCTGGAGTGTGCCGGAACTTTTTGATGGGGGTGAATAGCATAGGATGGTGAAATCAGATGCATGCGCTTCTGGAAAATTTCAGATACAAAAACCTAAGCAAAATACAAAGAGTGAGACTTCTCCTATAATGTCTATTCTGTGTTTATGATGGGTGATATTTAGCTGGAGTATCTTAAGGACCTCTCTATTGTTAATAACCAAGGTACAGCCATACTGGCATCAAAATTAATAAAGCCCTCTCATGTTAAATCTCTGTTCTTCAGCCGGTTGAGAATAAAAAAAGAGTTTTCTCGTATATTTCAATTTTTGACTTTGTCTGACATTTATTTAATTACAATTAATGTAGTAAATGTAGAAGTCTAGAAACATTTCATATATGGCAAAATGAAAAAGACAATACACTAAATGAGAAGAATACTTACGAATAAAAGATGTGCAGCATATTCCAGTTCTTGTAGTTTCGGATTCATCATGAAATTTCCTATAAAAATTAGTTACACGTGGACTAAACATTTCAACAACTTTTTCACAGAAAAATACGCCATGTTGAAAACAAAACGTTGCTATACTTCATCTTACAGAAATATTGTGATACAAGTGCTGAAGTGCCTGGTATGAAACACAACACTGGTATGACTGTCGACCGCATGCGCAGATCTGTCGAACAAGTTTTTTCGGTTTTTCCATTTTTCCCACCTCATCCCCAGGACCCCCCAAAAAAATCACATTCACAGAGCATTCTGGGTCTGTTTAGAAGTATCAAGTATCTCTGCCTGAAATACCTTTTCAAAAAATATGTGACACCATTGTTCTTGATAATTATATAAAGGAGCTAGAAAACTCTTTCTTAGTAACTCAAGGTTATTTTTTAATTCATCTCAAAAACCTGCTCGCAAGCTTGCTACGAATGCTAGCATTTGAATGCTTAAATGTTTTCAAGTTTTAAATTCAAATTAACACAAAAGCATTTGGATTGGATGAAAAAAATCGCAGCAAGCGAGCCAGCTAATAATTGCGAATGGTGAAAACACTATCAGTGAAAAAGAGCCTTCAATTACTTATCCAATTCATTAGTAATCTGGCTGAGGATGTTTATAGGTGTGGGCTATGTTTCCCCATTACTATGATTCCTATTTTACGTTAAACTTTCATCAAAAGGAGAAAACGTTTCTCCGTGTGGAACCACATATACGCTGGGTTTGACATCAGGAACTTTTTCGGGTCAATTTCAGTGACATAACCGCAGAAAAAATCTCACAGCATTGTCTATAAGAGAAATTTGTTTTATTTGCTTCCACAACTAATTCTCTAAACTACTTTTAATGCAAGTGCTTGTGTGCATAAAATTTATTTATGAGCAAATTTGGCCGATAACGCTTGTTTAGACAAGCAGTAACCAATAAACCAGGGATTACAAAAAAGCAATTGTTACAAATAAATTAACAAGACCACAGACCATTAATCACCACACGTCACTACCCAACCGGTCCGTATGCCAATTAGACCTAAATATAGGTTTTCTAAAAGCCCTGAGCAAACTAGAAACACTGTTGCTGAAACATTCATACATTGTTGTGGAACTGAAAAAAACTGTTTAAAAAACGAAGCAAATTCAGCTTTATCGAATTTAGAAACGTTTTCGGTTTTCTAAGAGTGGTTTTTTCCCACAAGTTCGGCGTATATATTACTGCCCATAATGTTTACTATACCACCAAAAATAATTTACAATGAGTTATGTTTCTGATCGATGCTTGCTAAGGTTTTCCCGCCTTGGAAATCAGACAAAACGGTGTTTCGCGACAGTGTTTCCGGGTTTACCGAGGGGCAGGGCTTAACGGAGCCGTCCCACGTCCAGGATAGTCTAGTAACAACGTAGATCAGTCTCTAACCAAACTCACCAATGATGTCACGACCTCGTCCGAAACCTGCAGAGGAAGTCACTTTGAAGCAGACGTCTACAAGACGTTGCTACCAGGACCCAGTGTGAGGTAATATGGGTCTGACAAATGGTTCGTTTCTAGTTATGACAACTCGCGTGTTAGGCCCGATCACTGATCTCATAATACACTGAACGGAGCGACTATAACGATCAAAAACCAAGCCAAAATGAATGAAATTCTGGAGCGTAAATTGCTGCGACACTCGATATTAGTATTTTCCTTAGTTCAGGGTCTCCAGAAGATCATTAATTCTGGCTACGTGTTTAAACGGTATACGGTTGCTACATTCAGTGTATTACTCGATCAGTGGGCTCAATCCAACCCCCGTTTTGTCCCCGACGGCAGGATCCAGCCAACCTGACGTGTACAAATGGATACAGCTTTTCTTCGGTCACGAATACACTATCAAACTCTGTCCAAGGGTAAATATTTCGTAAAATACTCATGGAAATCTTAACTTGAAGAATGACTGAACTAGAGAGTCTTAAAGAAAAATACACTATGCAATGACGTTTTGAAACTTTGTAGAACGCGTTTGACAGTCAGTTTGAAGTCCGGCCTAGGCGAATCTGAAAACTTGAAGGATGAGAAACTTAAACAGTGAAAAACAATAAAATGCGATGATTTCTCAAAACTTAGAGGAGAGAATTTGACAGTGAAAAGGACCAGGCAGAAAACTGTTACCCATAACAAGTATCTGTTTGGTTGGGTTTGATATTCTCGCACAGTTATGGCAGAAATGATATTCAAAAACACGGATAAACAATATGAATAATTACGGTATTAAGATTATCTAATTCTATGAGGTTTTCACGTCTGTGTGATTGCTACCAGGTGATCTCACGCTCATATTTTTAGCCAATACGCGCTCGGAAGAGTTGTCGTAATAGAAATCCATTCAGCAGTATTTAATCGATGATATCCTTTGTTATTCCTTACGAAACTAGTCGAAATTTTGTGATCATGTTTAGTTATAAGAACTATAGCTCTGACATAAATTTGAAAACGAAATTAAGTTAATTTGAAGAGATATTAAGTTCTTTCAACCGAGAAATGGATTCATATTTGACAACTAGTACCAGTCCTTTTAGATCACCTGGTATTTTACTACGGATAAATGCGTGATTTGTACTTACTGCGCGCGATTCGCGCATTACACGCGCGCGATTACACATGAATTTACCAAACGAGCTTCATAATACAAACTGCGTATACATTAGAAAAGTTAGGCGGGAATACCCTACTAAAATTTAGTCATTCAATGCTTTCGTGTTCCTTTCAAATGATTCATTAACAATAGACCATTCCGCTGTTAAGGTAAATTTTGAACTACGAATCTCGATAAATTTAGTATATGAATTAAGTACTTTTACACGCGCAAAAGCAGTACTACTTTTGGAAAACACCAAAATTTGCGAACTGCGATAAAAACTCGTTTCACTAATTTTGACATGCATTTATTTACTGCCTACGAATTCCACATTACAAGACCTCATGTGAGGTTTTTCGTGTAGTTCAAAATTTAAATTTATTCGGGAGATGGTCAATTATTTCGCCACAAGATTGGAAAAATTGAAATTTTTTTGAAAAGCATTGAAACTATCGTAGACAGTGTATCCACTTTTCGAATTCGAAATTTTTTCGAATTTACGTCAGGGAATTTTTGCCCCCGTCCCCTCCCCCCCATATCTAGGTCACCACATAATTGTATTATTGTACTATAATTATGAAGCTCAATTATCGCATTATCTATTAAAATAATGGCTGGTTACCCGGGACGGGTCCGCCGAAGGGGTCATTCACAGGGGGGACTCTCTGTTGGGGAAAGAGGTTAGTGTGCATTGCACCTGGCTGTTGCATCATGGGTGGCTGTCCGTACGCCATGGGTTGACCCGCATACATCCCGGGTTGTACATACGGCGCACCAGCTTGAATTGGCATTCCGGGGGGTGGCACGCTGGGCCCAAGGGTGGAGCCCATTTGGAAATTCGCTCCCCCCGTTTTTACCGTCGGTTTTGGCGGCGTCCATTGGTGACCACGTCCCGTCGTACCCGGCGCTGGTCTGATGCCAGAGACATTCAGGTTGTCTAAGAAACAAATGATTGAGGTGGTTTAGATTTTCAACTAAAAATTTAGAGAGGGTTATTTAGGTGGACATTTAGGTTGTCTACACTTGCAAATTTTGCTGCTGTGATTTTAAGAAAGCTGATACAGTCCATGACAAGACAATCAGGTATGTATCACTCACCGATTGAGAGTGCAACTTTATTAAGACTGGAGTCCAAATCCTTTTTATGCACACCATTTTGTGTCGCTTGGTTTACCTGTGTCTGCGGTTTGTTCATAGGTTGCAGCAACTCACCAGGCCCCCCACCGCTCAGCAGGTCTCCACCAAACATACTACCGGCATCTAGCGTTAGAAAAATACGTAAATATCACAGGCGGAAAGAGAACTGATCTAACAATTTACTGGATATAGCAGCTGTACGTACCAAAGGCCAAGCTAAGAACTTATGCACTTTTTGAATACGAGTACTATTACTTGCGAGGCAGCCCTGGGGCCGGTTGTATCAAGCCCGTTTAGCTTAAACGGTGGATAAGTTCAAAATAGAAAGCAAGTCTATCGTTTTATTCAAGAAGCAAACTAAATGTTTTTAACCTTAATACAAAGATACTGTTTACAACTACATATTGAGTGCATATTATTCACTCATTCAAGAGAGATGCAAGAGTGTTTAATTTTGACTTATCCACCGTTCAAGATAAACGGGCTTGATACAACCGGCCCCTGGAGACGCCAATCCGAAACAGGATATACAGGAACTTCTGGGGTTTTAAAAAGTGCACATTTTATATTTCAACAGTTTAGAAGTAACAGTTTATCCTACTAGCTTGATTGGGGCCAGGACTCCACGGACTGGGTTGAGCGGTGTCGAAAGCACCCCCTGAACTGAAAGGTTGTCCACTGGATGGAGGAAACGCGGAGCTTTGTCCGAAATTTGGAGAGAACGAATCGGCAGGCTATAGAAATCAAAAGAAAAAATTATTAGCAATGCAATATATTGTGTGAAGTATTGTATCAATTGTGGAAACACAACATGCCGTCCGTACCTTGGGCGCAGAAAAGACTTGATGTAATTCAAGTAAGTCGTTATTATTGTTTGCGCCCTGGCTCGGCGTGTGATTGGCTGCGTTGCTTGTTTCAAATGTGGTACTCCACGCGTCTTGTCTACTGGATGGCATCTGCCTGGAAGGAGCCGCCTGTAACACCACCTCCTGCTGCTTCTTTACTTCCTATGGCGAAGGAAATAAACACATTCCAGATTTTAGATTTGAGTGATTTAGCGATAAGAGATGATCCTTACTGGACCTCTAGGAAGAACAGTTTATAACTGATAGAGCTATCCAGTATAAATAAAGTTAGTTTAGTTTAGGTTTCCTCCTGTAGTAACACTGGATCAATAAGAGATTATCCTTACTGGACCTCTAGGAAAAACAGTTCATAACTGATAGAGCTATCCAGTATAAATAAAAGTTAGCTTAGTTTAGGTTTCCACCTGTAGTAACACTGGATAAATAAGAGATGACTGTTACTGGATCACTAGGAAGAATATTTCAAAACTGATAGAGCTATACAGTTAGTCTATTGAATTACCCTATGGATCAACTTGAGGAGCTTGAATATACCTTGAATGACTTGAGTCTCTGTTCTTCCTCTTTAATCAATTCCTCTTTTTTGTAATCCTCAAATTTGATTGGGTTGTTTAAACTTTCCGTCGTTATCGGAGGCACGTTGATTGGCTGCAGGGTGGGCCGTCTGAGAGGAAGAGTGAATGTGACAAAAATCAAACACGAAGTTACAATACTCAAGGCTGCCATATAATTCTGTCACACAACATATTGTCATAATAAGCAATTTACAGGAATCGAAAAATTCTTACTTTGAAGAAGCGACGGGGACTTTGCCTTTTTCAAGAGACTGGTAATGACTTTCCAGCGCTTCCATTAGACTGCTTGGAGCCTAAAAAAAAGAAATAAAACTGTAGTTAAGGCTGATCACAGTCAATCTATACGGTGAAGATGGAAGCCAATCGAATAGTATCTCAAAATGTCGTCTCAATTAAAGGTCGGCTACACGGCCGATTTTCTCCATCTGGTGCACACGCCTAAAAACTCCGAGCCTGCGGTTTATCAGCATGTAACAATGTTGTGCTGCCATTATTGTTCACACTTGTCAACAACATTGAACAATATTGTATGACCATACCTTGGTAAGATCTGGTATATCTGATGGATTGATTCCGACATCCTAGAAATTGATGGTTGTCAAGAATTGATATTAGAAGGGACAATTCATTTAGGTATTATATGCCAAAAGGTTAAGATTTCTGGTCTCAGCACTAACTCTGTTCAACAAAACTATTTCTTTCTGCCTTCCTACTGATCACTTTCTGCTCTAAAATTTCTCCCTGATAAACAACGAAATAGGAACTCACAGCGACGTCTATGAACTTCAGAAATATTTTTCACGTCAAAAACGGAAAGGCAAATGGAAAATGTTTGTTGAAAGAGGAGGTTGGACGAAGTTTTGTTTAATTTTGATCAAATCAATTTATTTAGGATGAAATGCATGCATTTAGCAGATTTTATGTTGAAAAAGAATGACAATGAAGATAAAATCAGTCCAAGGGTTTAAGATGTTTAATTGCCGTAATTCAGTAGATTACCAGCAAATGATGACTACGATGTTTGTTAAAATTTTATTTTAATCTTTTACGGTTTACTTGGATTATTACTTAAGAGGTTTTATTATATTCTCAGTGTTATTTCATTAGCTTTTAGGTTAAATTATCATTGACACAAGGGTCTAAGCTGAAACTTTAGCTAGTTTAGGAAGCTCGGTCTCTGAAAATTTCATATTTATTCCATTAACGTACTCTAATTTCGTCCTTTATATCTTTATTAAATCATCATGATTATTATTTATTAATGGCATCAATTTTATCGATTATTTAACTTTAGTCACCAATTTGTTTTGGTTAATGCGTTATTAATCATAATTTGATTAAATAATTTATTTTATCGTTTTATTTAATTCTTTTAAAGGTTTACCTTTGAGCTCTGACCTTTCCCCATAATCAGTTCTGTCAATCTATACTCCTGTCACGACAACCAACAAGACAAAATCATGAAATATATTGTCTCACATGGAATTATACCACGAATTATATTGAACAACTTAAAATTTTTACTTGGATTTTTCCTTAGGCCAAATAAGTTAACAGCATGCGCATGGCAAATATGTGAGTAGTACAGTGCCTTTTGGTGGAACCATTTGTGCTAGCAGAATATCTCGACTTAGTCTTAGCTTTTGGATCAATTTCATATATTAGACAAAATTGTGAAAACGCATCTCTAAACTTATTATTTTCACTAATAGCTTGACAGAGCATCCATAGTTTAGCCTGCAAAGTTTCGTAGAAAAATGTTGTGAAATATGGAAAATATAGCGCTTTGTTCTCTGAGGTTACCCAATTTTGAATACGTTTGTAATCACGCGCGAAAATTAATGAATGAAAAAGTTTACTAAACTTGCTCACGTTACGAAGCAAAACTTTCAACATAAATGATACAATATTTCGCCACCAAAAACTACATTTCAGATACTCTTTCTAAAATATTAAAGTATTAGTTTCAAGAGCAAAGTTTCCGAGTTAAATGACATCGGAAAAAATGTTTCTCGTCCAAATTTAAAGCTATTTATACGTCCAAAGTTAAACCGTCCACCATTAGTTTAAGATTCGTTTTCAAACATTTGTCTAACACACAAAAGGTTTAGTCCTCTCTGGAAAATAAAAGCTGTCTACTGAACAACAGACCGCAATGGGTCCAATATACGCTGATTTCTAAACCTGAGCTGACGCAACAGATATTTGACTAATACTGGATCTATATATTCTAAATGTAGTGAAGGTAAGCTTACCACAATGAACAGTAGGTAAGATCTATTGGTATGAAATTGTGGGTATGAGGGGGGGGTGAAATTGGGGGAAGGGGGGTTGAAATTGGGGGAAGGGGGGTTGAAATTGGGGGTATGGGGGCGGGTTGTAGTTAGTGATGGGCGATACCAGCTTTTTCAAATCGATACGATACCGCTTCGATACCAGACAATTTGCAGTGGTATCGATACCAAATTTCGATACCGATACCAGAAATTTGAGCCGTTTTTTACCGTTTGTAATTTCATATACCATACCATAATGTGCATTTATTCACTCATATTTTTGGTTTTTCCCTTTTGGCAGAAATTATTTTGATTGGTAGCATATAATTAAAGAAGAACAAAAAAGTGACGAACAAAAGAAAAATAAATAAAAATTTTTATACTTTTTGGTAGAAAACGCTGACCTAAAATACTGTAGGCTCAGTATCGAAATTTTGCGACCACTTGGTCAAGTATCGATATTTAGTGCAAATCATAAATATCGGTGAGTATCGATACTTGGTATCGAAGTATCGCCCATCACTAGTTGTAGTGCAGTTCTATTCTACAATAAGCTGTCTGGTTTACAATTGATCGACCTGAAAATGATTAACACAATTCAATACAGTCGACTGTCATAATGACATTATGACATCAAAGGCAGGAAGTCTGTTCTTACATGAAGTTTGACTGGCTGTTCAAAACAAACCAGCTCCATGTAATATTAGGCTTTCAACTCTTGAAGTCATTATGAGAAAGGCCTATTCATTCATTATATTCTAAGCTTTGAGTAGTACTTTCTAAGAGGTGCAGTTTAAAAACAGGTGCAAAAGCTTATGGTCAAGGTTTTTTCTAATTTAGGTAAGGCAAAAGGTATCCCACAGAAGTTACACCTAATACAATTCTGACTGTTGAGTACAGAGTACCACATGGCTAGAGAATTCAAACAAACATGAATGGGTATAGTGGCAGACCTGGGCATTGGGGCATCCTTAGAACTTTGCATCAGGGCACATGCAGGGGCATCTTACCTCAGCAACCTTGAGGAATTCTTTCACACTATCCATTCTTGACAGAAACTTTCTGTAGATTTCCAAAGCCTCTTTGCAATTCTTCTTGTTCATGTCAAAAAATTTCTCTACAGATTTACAAGAAATTTGTATAATAACATTTGAAATTGCAAATGAAAGCTTTGCAATTAAACCAATAGACGTTTTCCCTTTTAGCTTTCAAATGCACAATGCATGATGGTATAGTTGATTATCAAGGTCAATTTCAGTTGTAAGTTTGCAATGTTCAAGAGCAATTTAGTTTAACAAAGAAGCAAAATAATTGGCAAGGTTTTCTTACAAACAAAATCACTTCTAAGCAGATCAAGCGATATTGCAACTCAAAGTTGCTTGATAATCAACTGCTATCACGCATTGCGTGCTTGAAAGCTAAAAGGGGAAAGGTCTATTATCTGAGGCTCGTATATCTTAGGTTCACTGATGTCCATATGGTCTATTCTGATATAATTAAACAAATACAAACCTAATAAGTTGATCATTCCATCATTGTAACACGCAAAAAGCTTCACCAAATCCTAAATGATATACAAGACAACCATTCAGTGATAGCATTACAACAATATTTATGTTACTTATGCTATCAAACAAAAATCAAAGTTAAGGCCTGTGTGGCTTTTGCTGTGATTTTATGTGTAATTTTCTTCTTTTGATTGATGTTAATGAGTGGATATGTTACAGATGTGGAAATAAGGGTACTTCAGACCATTCAAAACTTTCCCTAATTCATGTCTATCAAAAGAGGAAAATTGCACCTAAAATCACAGAAAAACTTCAGAGTTTCAGAGTAAACTGGACTTTATGTTACCTTGAATAGCATGACAAATGCACTGTTAATCACACCATTTCCCAGCTCAATAGATTGAACCTAGAGCATTGAGAAAACAGCATTGATTAGATATTGAAAAGTAAATTATTTTACATACAAAAAGATTCAAAAACACTACACATTACATCGACTTCCAATAAAGAATCAACTTGCTGTTGGACTTGTGGAAGCGCTTTCAGAAGCTGAAATTGAAACAGTATGTTAACCAATATCATGGATAGGTTATGGATTATAAATATTGATATTGAGTCCTGAGAGATTAATTAGTGAGTTTAAGCAAGTGACGTTTTTGACAACACAAACGGCATGAGCAACGTCAAAAGACTGGGTCAAGGATTGTGACTGGTGAAAAACAAAAACTTTACTTCCTGTTGACGTACGTGTTTTTAAAAACGTCACTTGCTTAAGCTCACTATTATCAAATGGTTTCCCATACTGTGTTTCCTCCCTCCTATCCTCCCCTTTACCCATGGAGTAACATCCCAATTGCATGGATTATCCCATCATTGCACAAAAAACTAATACTGCTCAATAAAATTATTATTGTACAACAATGTTTAAACTTTGTTAAAACCCCATGCAGAAAGGCAATTAGATTCCTTGTGTAAGATTGTTTCAGACATGGCTAATAATTAGCCAACTATATAGTTTATATATGTTAGACTTATATCCACAATGAATTTATTTTTTACACTCAAATTATACCTTTAATCCATCCATCTTTCTAATAAGTCCATTTTGTCTACAATATAAGAAAAACTAATAAAAACCTGTTCTCATCACATGTGGTTAAGCAACTGTATAAAATATACAAAAAATTCCGAAATTTTATCTAAAGAAGGCTCCATTGTTTTAATGAAAAAATACAACCAACATAAATGTAAAGGTATTTTCTGTATTCTAATTTAGAAATTGATGGACATTCATGTCTAAGACACAAACACATAAATGTGCATATCATTAGTTGATCAACTAGCCTTAGGGTGTTTCAAATAATACATACCCACGGGCAACTCTGCAAAAATCATAACCCGTCTCTGTGTAGGTATGGGCTTTCTTTGTCAGATAATTTGAATATCTCCTGATAAATGTTGACATATCGTAACCTTGGTGAGAAAAAACCAACCATCATGAATCTTCTCTAAGCGAACAATATTTGTATTATAACTAAAAGTGCCCAACGTGGTAATCATTTAAAGTTTATACCTTTAACTCCGGACTTATCCAGGAAGTTTTCTAAGTTCCATAGAGTTGATCTTGATGCCAAGTACTGAAGAAATCTCTATATATCACAATAAGCACATAACATTCTCTCAAAACGTTTTGTTAACTATATATAATAAAACATACTGAATGCATTGCAATTGAGGTGATGAAAGTTTAGTTTTAGGAAATACATGCCATTACTATCATTGCTATGTTACAAGTTTAGTTATTAATACACAATCTATTGAAATAGAAATGAGCTATTTAGTGCTGGCCCTCAATGAAAGACAACTCTTTGCTCATTCACCTAACTTGAATTCCTAATAGTTGATTCTATCATTTCTATGCCTTTTAAGGTTTAACTAAGCGTATTGGGGTAAGATCATTCAAAAATAACACATTTTCTATACAAATTTATATCAAAATCAAGTTTACATATAGTGCATGAGAATGAATTTGAACAGAAATTTTGTTAAGATGTTTAAGCACAGGTTCTCTATGTTTGTATGCATTAATTTAATTTACCTAAAATAAAAAACTCCAATGCAATAGCATAAACAATAAAATATGCTAGCATTTTACTTAGACAGAGTTGAGATCCTCCCCTTAGTTACTATGAAAAGAAATTGAGCAAAATAGATATATGCTGTAGGTAGGTATGTGGTTTTGTGGGTGCTACAAGTGTTTGAGAAATGCAGATTAGTGTCTTTTTGTATACAAAATATCCATTGTATATCATACTGCATTTTTATTAGAGAACTGCCGACTTCATTTTAATGACTTTATGAAGAAATAATTTGAATAAACATGTACATTGGTTAGAGACACTATTTGGTAGTCGTATTGCGTTGGAAAAATAGTTAAGTATTGAAAATTGAAGGTTTATCAAGGCTTTTATGCCAACAAGCCACCTTCAGTGCAAATATTTCTATATGATAAAAGTTGATTTAGAAATCTCTCAGCATAATTATCCACAACAAACAATGCATGCATGTTCTATATATTATGCAACATGTACAATATATAAGAACCACCCTTTGAAATATGTAACAATTATTATTGCTACAGGTTCAATTTTTTGTATCATTTTTTTCACACATTGTACTTTGTACAATCATTGTTCCTAGCAAAGTATTTTTATGCGAGTCCTCTCAAAGGAAATTGGATAATTTTTTAATATCGAAGCAGAAAGCGCGGGCAACACTTCTGAACACTATATTGGCATAGGTCACTTAAAATGATTGGGAAATATGAAACGTTTGTAATTTAATAACCGTTTCGACGTTGAATGATTGCTCGAACGTTTATACGACTGTTTTAATAACAAAACACGGAATGATTGATGAAGAAATCTTAGAATATGCCGAAGTATTTATACAACAAGGCCATCGTTAGATATTCGAGTATGCCTACGGTTTTTGAGTGATTGTTTGCCGGCCAATAATCAAAAATCGCTTGTCTAAATTTGGCTTGAAGTTGGACGGATTTGAAGCCCTCGCAGATTAAAAATACTAAAGAGCTTTAAATGAAATCAAACCTCGTTGCCAGCCGACATTAAATTATGAAAGGTAACGAGTGATTTGGACACGATAACCCAGCTTGACATACGACTTCTTTCAAATAACAGTTCTGCCAAACTTGGTACTGATATATTGTCAGATTCGGTACACCTTATCAAATCTAGAAAAACGAATTAAGATTAATATAAACTTGTTTAAACGATATAATAAAGTCCGTTTACATCATACGGAATAGTACAAAAGCCTAAAGCGGGAAAATACGATCTACGTTTCGCGATATAACGACTTGTACTTGCCATGCAGTACAAAATGTACTTACATTCGAGGTGCTTTTTTTTCGGGCCAAAAGTCTCACGACTTGACGCTTTGCAGACGATTTTTGAGACGTTTGAGCCGGTGATGGAATGCCTCGCAGCATCAAATTTGTCGGCAACATACTCTGCCATGTCTTGAGGCTTTAAACAGGTTTAAAAAATCGCTTTTTACCAGAGATATTCTCACTAGAAGGACATTGAAGTTTATAATTAGTTGTTAATATGCATGAACGACTACACGTCCGGGGGAGATGTTTGTTTTTCAAGCCCAGACCTCTTCTCGATGTGTTGAGAATTCAGAATTTCCCCCCTGAATTTCAAAGTGGGCGAAGTTCTTCGCCTATTTCAATTACGGAAATTTGACTCCACTGCCGGTAGCAAGGGGGGGTGACGTTGATCACAATGTATATTTATTGTTACCACTTAGGCACTTACCAGCGCTAGCTGAGAAGTAGCAAAACAGGAAAAATTTTCGCATTAAAACAAACAACAGTTGTTTAATACAGTTATAACAATTGCAGTCAAGTGCTGTAAACAAACTTATACTTTTTTTGATAACTCAAAAACCTCAGCTGCTATAAATGTTCACAAACTTTATGCTTAAGTCTTTGTATACATATTCTTGGCTTAGGTGCCGTGTCTTTCATCGCGGGTAATTTCATGTGGCGGCATAACTTCAAGTTGTAACCAGTGGTGGTATTAACAACCACACTGTGAGTCAACTCGAAATGGCGACACAGAAATCGTAATGAGGTGATTATTCGTGTTTTGCTTCGTATATGCAAGTAAATAGGTGAAATTTCGCATTGTTGACAAATAAACCTTTAATAAATAAACCTTTGATAAATAAACCTAAATAAATCTTCATATCTTATAAACGGTCCCTTTGAGAGAAGCAGCAACTTCCTCAAAGACCTTGGTGCCTGGGAACTGTGTTTTTTTTTACCAGGCCGCTTTAAAACCTTCAGGTTGCACCAAAAAATTCATATGAAATTTTAAAAAAAGTAGCTATGATCCCCGTCAAACTGAAACATGGCGTAGTACATCTGTAAATACACTCGGTTCTTTTTCACATTAGATCATTTCATGTACAATTTATTTAATCTTACTAATTTACAAGTTTTTACTCAATTGCTGATTCATTTCTAATTTACTTTTACCACTGTGAATATCTGAAAGAAATCGGGCATTGAAGTGATTGAACAACGCCACACCTCTCTGGCCACACTTATTGCCCTGCCACACTACAGTCTCGTTGCGTATATATTAGATCAGTGCATCATTGCGTATGCAAGGGGAGATTGGTATGCAAGATAACTATTATCTTGCTCTACCGTATAAACGAGACCTAGTAAGGAATCCCCAAAGAATTCATGCTCATGTTGATATACGCTTTTGACTGTACTTGTTATTCCCCATAGTGTGACAGGAAACAGACGTCATACTTGAAACACATAATCCGTCCGTGTCACTGATCTGATTATACACTGAATTTAGCAACTATACCTAACCAACACGAAGCAAGAATCTGGTACGTAACTTCTAGAGACACCATTGAAAGGAATCAATATCTCACGCGAACCGCAAGAGGGGCTCTCTGAATAACGATTGTAAAAAACTCTTTAACTACATTTTGCATAGATAAATCCTAGTTAACTCTGAAATACACGACTCTGATTGGCCAATTCTGTCCTCAACTACAGTTAAAAGTTAACTAGTGTTTTATACAACTTGCCCCAGGAATCAATCTTAAAGTCGTGCGTTGCTATGATTAACGGACGTAAACATTGGTTTTCACTCAGAAACATCCATCAGATAGGATCCAGTGGTAGGATCGGACATGATTGTTTTGATTGTGTTTTAGCCAATTAATTCTCATTGAAAACACACAGACAAAAGGACTCTTTCTTGTCCGATCCGGTCCAGACGAGAATTTTTCTGAACGAAAACCACTCAAAAGTGATATTCTTTTCTCTTCTGGGTCCCCGGAAGTTCATCATTCTTGGCTTCGTTTTTGATACGCATGGTGGCAGATAGTTGCTATATCCTATGAAATATCAGATCAGCGATCCAACTTTACCAGAAAGAGAACCAATTTAAGAAGTTTTTTGAAAAGAAATGTGTGTTTATTCCTCATTAATGTCGCTGATTGCATTTGTCATTTATTAAACAATTGATCGAGATTCGGGTCATTCAATCGTTCAGGACTCAAAACATGGCTTGGTTGCGTGGAGCTGGATTGCCAAAAGGATTCGTATTCGGCCGTGGGGTTGCGCCGAACATCGCGTTCTGTGGCTGCATCATTGCCTGCTGACCATACCCCATCGTGGGCCTTACCCCTACCATTTGGGGATGGGTGTACCCAGGTCTGAGGATTTGTTGGGGTTGGCCCATTCCCATGGCGGTGGGCGGACGACGGAGTTGTCCCATTCCCATCCCGGCGGTAGGCATTGTAGATTGAGGGGCATTGTAGGGTAGAGTGGGTGATATGGGGTTACCTGGTGGTAATGTGGTACCAGCGGCTGTTCCCATTTGGAAATTTGCTCCACCGGTTTTAACCTTGGGTTTTTGTGCCGTCCATTGGTGACTGGAACTTCCCGAGCCGAGTGCGGCAGAAGTTAAGTCAAAGTTATCTGAAAAGATGTTAGGAATTAATACAGGGTGAGTATGATGTATATTTATATCAATTATATGCAAATTTGACGAGAACTTCCAGCTGATCTAAGGGCCTGTTTAAAAGTCAACAGACTATAAAACATCCATCAGAAGGATATAGGATTCCATAAAAATGGATCGTGAAAACGGACCTTCATAGTGATTTACGACGCAAGCAGCCTGATGACGCGCTCGCAAAACAAAGAAAACCTCGTCCTCGCGTGACACAAAAGGTGTGAAAACCTTGTGGCCTACGACAGCGTTGCCATTCTTATGACACCTCGAGGATGAGGGGGATTTAGGCGGATTTTAAACGATTCGAAAGCAGCTGCAACGTGAGAGTCTTATGTCATAAATGGAAACGGCAATATCTGATAGATATTGGAGTTTCTAGCACAATTGAATTGTTTTTAAAACGTGCTGTTAACGTCGCATTTCTCATGCGCCGAACACATTAAAAGCAATACTATAAGGGTGATATTCTCTGGTCACAATGCTATTCTATTTTGTTACATGCAAAATATGAAGCCTGAAGAAACAGCAATGGTGACGTGTGTGACCAGAGAATCACTCATAAGACCTGCTCTCCACTTAAGCGTTTTTCATAAGCACGTACACGCATGTAAAAGGCTAAATCCTTATATATGTCATATTTGAAAAAAACTTTTGAATTTCCGTGCGTAAAAAGAACGCGTAGGTGGAAAGCAGTCCTGAAGCTGACAATCATTATCATATGATTTTAAGGACTGCTTTCCACTGTCGCGTTTTTTGTACGTACGTGCACGCACGAAAAGTTTAAAATAATTTAAATGATACTTATGAAATCGACAATTGAATAGATGTATATAGGGCTGCATTCTGTTGATGATTTGGTGTGTTTTTTCTGGCATAAAATTAACTATACAACAACTTGGAAGGCTTTAAGCTTTTATGTGCGTGTTCGTACGTGCAAAAACGCGACAGTGGAAAGCAGCCCTATATAGCCAAATATCCTCAAATTGTTTCAAGGAAAAAATATGAAAGCGACGTCGAGCTGACCGTGTCGAAAATCGCAAGTACCCCAAAAACTTCACAACCACTAGTCGGTTGTATAATTAATAATACATTTTTCGAGTAGTTTAATTGTAGTTAACTCCAGGCAAATATATACGATTCTGATTGGCCAATTCTGTAAATAACTAGCGTTAAAAGTTGACTATTTATAAAACCGGCCTTAGCGTGTAATATCCAACTTTCAGCTACATCAAACTTACCCAAAGATTTGGCAACCTTTGATAGCGACGAGTGTAGATCGCCCGTGATGATGTCTTTGTTGTTCGAGCACTTGTGGGGCAGGCTGAGGTTTATTCATTGGTTGTAAAATGTCTCCGGAACTCTGAAGTGCATGATGGGCATCAAAAGGGTTTGTGGATGCAGGGGGATAGTTTGACCCAAGATTGGAAGCCATCGGTGCTCCGAAATTAGGTCCAGGCTGCTGGAATGCGTTTGCCGGAGGTGCCTGGAAAACACAAAACACATAATCCATGCATTCACCAGATTATGGAAGAAAACATAAATGTACCTAATACAGGGCTAATCATGGTGGAATATACTGGTTTATTGTATTTTCGACCAAGATAATGTCAAATATACCGGTTTATAGTAAACTCGACCAGGCTAGTCAGAGCGAAATATACCGGTATATGATGGTATACTCGACCTAATTAGGGTTGAATATACCGGTTTGTGGTATACTTGACCATGCTAATTAGGGTTGAAAATACGGCATGGTATTTGATATTCTCGATCAGACTAATCAGATCAGGGTCGGTCACCGCTAAAACTCGCCAATAAGAAACCTAAGCCAATCTCTATAATGTTTATCATTCCTTGACGGGGAAAAGATCGACTATTGACTGCCCTTACTTGTTGCGCTTGGAACACTGCGTGTAATTCTAGCAGGTCATCCTGTTTGTTGCTTGGCTCTGCAGCTTTAGGAGGCTGTTGGCGTTGCACCTCTGGTTCAAACATGTTCTGCCAGGGTCCTTCACCCCCCGGATTCGTTGTTTGAGAGCTCTGAAGTAGGGTGGGCTGCTGGCCATCGATATCCTCGTTGTTATTCTCCTCTGGACTGAACTGCTCTGCGAGATCTTCTTGGAAATTAAATTGTTCGCTCTTCAGAGAAATGGTGATCGGCGCTAGATTTAAATGCCTAATGGGAGAGTGAAAGTTTATTTAAATGAAAAGCTCCTCAATTTATATGACATGACAACAAGCGTGTAAATAATTTGACTATTAGGGCCTGTTCATATGAGCCGGGCCAGCCCGGTTGAGCCGGGCTAGCTCGCTTTTGCTGTTTTCATATGAGCCCGTTAAAGGCGAGATCTCGCTTTGTTCAGGCGAGATCTCGCCAAAGCCGGGCTGGTCTGGTTCCATATGAATGCAATTTTACAAATAAAGTAAAATAATATGTGAGGCGAGATCCCGCCACTGCCGTGCTAGCCCGGCTAAACCGGGCTGGCCCGTCTCATATGAACAGGCCCTTAATTTGAAATCGAGTCAATATCACGGATTTTCAGAGTGATTTTCGTCCTTTGAAAGATGCAAACGAGCGAATGGTTATAAATGCTCTAGGGTTGTACAAAGGCTGAATAGCCGATAGCGCTATCTACCGGATAGCCGATGTTTCAATCGCTTTAAACTGCTCGTGTTTTTGTACAATTTATTTAAATTGAACCTTCCTATTCTTAAAGTAATGTTTCTCTTTCTTCATTGTATCATATTTCAACCAAAAATTCAATGTTTTCTTACTTGGTTTCAGAAGGCACCGGGATCTGTCCTTTCTCTAACGACTTGTAATGATTCTCTAAAGATTCCAGAAGACTGCTTGGAGCCTAAGACAAAACAGAATCGTTAAAGCTTAGATCAAGCTGCACGGTTCATAAACATGCGTCATTCAAGAGGAAGACTACTTTACCTTCGCTAAATCAGGAATAGCATCTGCACTGACTCCGATATCCTGCGAAAAAATACATTGATTTGTTCAAGAAGTATTAAAAACAGGTCATAATTCCATGTTCAGTCAACCATAAATACACAGATTTAATCCTTGCGATTAGGTTGTATTATGTTTAGATTTAAGATTAGGGTTAGCCTTAATCAACGTTAAAACTAACCTAAAACCAAATCCAAGCTCTAATCCTAACATAAACTCGTGTATTTACGATTTTCTGAACATGGAATTATTACCATAAAAATACATAGCCTTCAGTTCGCAACTGATCTCTCAAGCTATTGCCTTTGGTTACGATCACTTCGGAAGGAAACTGGAGTTGTCGGACTGTTTACCTGTGCAACTGTCAGAAACGTCGAGACTTGATCGGTTCTTGCTATAAATTTCTTATAAATTTCTAAGCTCTCCTTGCAGCTCTCTTTATTCATCTCATAATACTTTTCTAAAAGCAAGGACATTTTTTTAGTCATGAATTCTATGCAAACAATCCACATAATGCCTGAGTCACTTGTTCATCAATTTTCGCGACCAGTATTCCTAGTTTAGGGCCAAAATATATATTCAACTGAGATTTAATCGAGTCTATTCTCAGCAGCAATTGGGCAAATAGACCTTTTTCATAATGACGTCAAACGCGGAAAGTCTGATGTTACACGAAGTTTAATTGGCTTGATAGTTTTGTGGAGCCAATCAAATTTCGTGTAACATCAGACTTTCCGCATTTGACGTCATTATAAGAAAGGTCTATTGAGCGAGAAATCGTGTCTTGGTGGCTGGGAATTACAATTACCTAACAAATTGATCATTCCATCGTTATAACAGGCAAACAATTTTATCATGTCCTAAAATGGAAACGATTTGAATTCAAAGGTGAAATTAAGTAACACCACTCCACAGAAGCCCCCTCCCTTACTGTCTTTTCTACCTTCTTCTCTATCTCCTTTACCTTACTACTCTACCCACTGTGGAAATTAGAGCAGTATTACTGTGAGTCCGCGTCGTAGATTTGGTGAATCTTAAACTCACTATTACCTTGAATAGTAGAACGAACGCGCTGTTTATAACACCGTTGCTGAATTCACTTGATTGAAGCTAAATGGTGAGAAATTTGGGGAAAATTAAATCTAAACAGATGATATTGATACGAAATTTAATCATTGGAAGTGCATAGCAAAATTTATTAATAGGTGTGAATGGATGCAGGTTACTTACGTCGACTTCGAGTAAGCTATCGATGTGCACTTGGATTTCAACCAACGCTTTCAAAAGCTAGAAATTTGAAAATTTTAAATTTAACTAAAAGGTACAATCGGTGTAAATTTTCAATTCACGAATTCACGAAGTGTATACGACTATATGCCAGCTTGATCGTTATCACATATGGCTATCTTTGCTAAATATGCAATATCGTTTCGTTTGTTGCCAAAAATCACATCACACAAAATCGACAATTGTTTTCAGAGGTTCATACCTTATCAGTGCTCAGCGTTCTCAGCAATCCGTCAGCTCTTAAGAAAAAAGAAGAAAGGAGGTGATCGGGGTCCTGCGATATCTCAATAAAATTGAGAACCTGGAGTTAATAGGATCTTGCAGAAGAGTCACCCTCTCAAGTCTTGGGTCAGGAGCAACTTGCCTCCTCTACCCACGCTCTGCCCCCACTGAGAGGCATTGGAGGTGGTGTACTTTAAATTCCACGCAAAAGAAAGTGAATTTTCTAGTCGCTGTTTATAAGAGGTGTTTTAATTAAAATGCCTCGTAGCAAGTGCAGGGATCTTCACGTAAAAAGCACAAATGCTTACCCTCGTTTCGCTCGACAGAAGTCATAATTCATTTGCCTGTACGAGTTCACCTTCTGTATCAAATATTTGGAATATCGTTTGATGAAAGATGACATATCGTAGCCTGCAAGGATGATGTAAACAACAAACTATAGCACAATACACTCACTTTACACGAAGAAACATTTTCTTTTCTAAGACTAAAAAGAGTTCTTAAAAGATGTCTCACAAATTCTTTATTAAAAACGGGCAAAATATTACGAAAGTGGACTAAATGAAATGGTTTTATATATTCTTTTGTTAGTCTCATTCCTTTTTTAATTTCCGATCCAGAAAATCGTGGGAAAAGATCGAGCGATAAAGGAAAAAATCATTGTTTACCAATTACGGCAGTTTTGTCCAGAAAATTTTCCAGATCCCAGAGCGCTGTCCTCGCAGAGAGTTGTTGAAAAAATCTCTGTAAAGGAATTTGAAGGTGCAAATGAGTCTCATCCAATAATAATCCTGTGAGATACTTAACAGTTGTTTGACAATAATAACAATAATAATCCTGTTAGATATACTAATAAGCGTTTGTGAAGAATCTGTGGCGTTTGGTAGAGTAAAAGAAATATTCTTTGCATGAAGATCTGTGTGACCAGCATCTGCAACCAAAAGGTAAACATGTTTAAGCCTAAAAACTCACCTCGTTACCATTGGACATGAGAGAATGGAAGGTTACTAAAGCCTTGGAGACGATTACCCAACTAGACATACGACATCGCTCCATTAGATTCTCGGTCATATAGGCCAGATTCATGAGCTCATTTTCAGTGCATTGCAGAAGATCTAAACGCAAAGAGTATTAACTCATTATCGGACAGAACTGTGTCACTGTTGTCACGTACAAATCAGCGCTCAAAATGCTTTTCGAGATCTATAGCTCTGACATTTATTTCAAACCGAAATAAAGATAATTTCATAACTGAGAGATTTGTGGGGCCGTTTGCTCCAACTCTTCTTTTTGATCGAAGCAAACAAGAAGGGAACTTTGTCCCTTGCCAAGGTATGTAAGATGCCTCGGAGGTAAATCAGACTAGAGGCTTTTGAACTCAATAAAAACTGGAACGATGAATGCTCAGTCCAATGCTGTGATTGCGTAAACCCAAAATCGTGGCAAACGACGTGAAAAATTGTGTAAACTCTTAAAGGTCAGAAACATTCTATACTGTATCATTTTCTAGCTAATCTGCAGTTGTTTTTGATATTAATAAGCAAGCTATTAGTTTATAAAAGCATGTTATTCAATTCGAAATAAGAAAACGCGAAATATGACAACTATTTGCAAATTGCGCAGTAAAACGGAAAGAACTGGTACGCGTTGACAGACACTTCATTGATTTGGTTACCAGGATGGGACGCATGGATGGGGACAGAGCTATCGCTCCAGTTCACTTAGAGATCACTGCGCTCATTCATACCATAATATGCGGCCTGTACAAGCTTTGGCTCCAGTCCAGACGGATCAGGTTTACATCACGTTTACATCAATGGTAGAAAATCACACGCCATAATTATGGTGTCAAAATCCTCACTACGGTTATTTTGCGCGTGGGAAACATTATCCTAAGCCACACAGCTGCTCATTGTTCACTGAATTGCTTTGTTTTCAAGGACGCAGAATCGGTTTTTCGGTGATTACAATGTTTACTGTTAATCTTTTTATTGAAGTAAAGTGCTTTATCGCACTATGTATCAGTTGACCTTTCACCGGTATTATGCCGACATCAACCGACTTTTTTACGACGTAATACGATCACACATGGGTATTCTTGACACGAATATTCTTCGCGAAGTCTTGTAACAAACGCACAATAAGTGTTAATCAAATATGTACGAACACGGCCTACGCGTTAGAACGTGTTCACCGCGTCTGAATCTCCTGGCAAATATTTGTTTAACGCCCGAACGGTTGCGTGAACAAGCTTTGTACAAAGTAATTGTGTAAAAGCTCAGAGCGAATGTCACGCATGCAAAATAGATGCTTGCTCGCGTTTGTTGTTGCGCAATAAAATAGCTCAGTCCAGAGGCTCCTGGCTCTAACGTGTCCTATACCTACAGCGATATTTTTTATATCTCTAAACGGTTCACAATTGAGTAAACTGTATATTCAGCGACAGTTTATGTACCTTAGTGGTACGGATATGTGTAAATGTAAACATGTCACAATCTGTCCTAATCTAGATGCTTGGCTCTTGAAATGGCCTTGCTAGCGGTTGAGAAATTTTGCGAAAAGTTCACGAGCTCTCTACGGCTACCCGAAACAAGCCACGCACACAGTCACACACGAAGTAACCTATGTGCGCTCAGAGCTATAGAAATTATAAGCAGATGAAAATATTAGTCATTAAAATAGAAGAATACATGATGCAAATATGGTGCTGTAAGATCAAGTTTATCGCTGACACCGTAGCTCATATCTGGGTTCTGCGGTTTTCCATCGTAATTTTCGGATATTCCTCACCGCACCTCCAGGATGAACGGTATTGATTTGTGAGAACTATGCAAGACTCGATTCACTGAGGTTTCTACTTACAATCAACGTGTTTCTTCTTGGGTCCCATAACTTCGCGAGTCGTCGCTTTGCAAACGGCTTTGGCAACGTTCGAGCCAGAAAAGGACATGCGAGCAACATCGATTTTATCCGCCACCGACATTTTGGAACTCAGGGCTTTTCAAACACGCATTTAAAACGCCGTACGAACGGAGGATCTGAGAATTATACGTGTCTCGGTGTGGCAAAGAGCTGGAAAGGCTGTCGCAGGTTTAGGTTACGGAACAAGTGTAGGATTTCATAGTTATATCTAATCCACATTGGTTTAATTTTAGTAAATGACAACCAATCAAGTTTTGAATGACTTGAGCTCTCATTGGTATGCTAATTATTGTCTAATATTGTGATTGGTTTAATATCACTATTTATTAAATAGGCCTTAAATTCTCTCTTTTTAGTTTTGGGTGGGAAAACGATCGATTTTTACATGGCATGGTGATAAACGGATCTGATTGCCGCAATTTTCGGTGCGACTTTCGTCTTTTGATAGATGCAAACGAGCGAATAATTACGAATGCTTCGATGTATTTGTGCCTTTTTACTCTCTTTTGAATGATGTGAACGAGTGATAGATAATTGATGCTCTAATTTAGATGCTCTAATCGCAGCAAAAATTGCAAGTGAAACGGCCTCAAAAACCCAATGCATTCCGATTTAACACAAAAACTAATTTATTCATTTTGGTCCTGCCACATTGATAATTGCAATATTTGTAGCTACATGACGTAATGGTGGCTGAAGGCACAATACGTTGCCTACCACTCGACAAAGTTTTCGAGAACTCTATCTACCATCGAGGATAATTGTAATGTTAGTTCACCCAAAATCATAAATGTGGGAAAGAGAAATGATAGTCCTTACGTAAGACTTCTATAATTAGACTTACCCCAAGGGCCTTAAAAAGAGGATATTGATAGTTTTATCCTGATTAGTAGTGATATCAAACGATATCAAGTGATATCAAGTGATATCAAGTGATATCAGTAATCGGCTAATCGCATCAAGTATTGACTGATCTTTCACAGTCACTGGATAGACCTGCGAAATTCGATTGGTTTAAAAACTTAGGGCTGTTTCCATTTTAACCGTATCGTATTAGGAGGGCGTATCGTACATCATTGTTTCAAGGGTACTTCGCTAGAATTAATGACTTTGAAACAAAGGAATACCCTACAATTGACTAAGATACGGTTAAAGAGAAAAACAAGCCTTATCTGCAGTTCCAAACGGGGGGGGTACAAGGAAGCTCATTTAGGCATCCTTGGGCGAAAAGCGGGAAGGAATGTACCTTCAGAGCCTCCCCCCCGGTTTCAACGCCGCTGTCTCGAAATTAGTTTCTCGATGAAGTGCATGTTCTCGTTGTTTTTACGTGGTTCAAATAGTTTTTCCCAGAAACTTGCAATCCTGAGTGAATTGTTTCTCCCTCGCATATCGCACTTCCAGATTTAGTTATAAAAAAGATTTAGGATAAAAAAATACGGGAAACTTAGCCATGTAGTTCATGAAGATCCTCGTCTCGAGAGTTAGCTAGTTATCCAACTTTTATAACCACGTTTCAAAATACTGTCTCCCCATCACGAGTACCGTAAATAGTCAAACCGTAACGAAGAAATACTCCAGAGCAAGTGGAAGAACCCAAACAAACTATTTCGGGATCTTCGTATCCGGCGTTCACTTGAACTCTTTGGGTCGCTTTTTCCTCCGCGACTTGGACCTTTCTTATGTTGTGCTTCAGCTGCTGGTTTCGAGCGTTTTTCTGATTCTCCAGAGTCGAGGTACCGGGCACCTTCCATCGTTTGATGGACTGAGAACTGGTGACGCCATCGTAATTGTAGTTCGTGGAGTACTGAGGCTGAGTGTCCAAGGTTTCCACCGAGGTCGCGTTTAGGTTATTGCGACGGACGCCAGGTGGGTAGGGAAAGTCGATATGTGGTTCCTAGGAAAAAGTTATGACAATAATATTGTTTAGAACTGATAGAGCTATTTAGTATAAATAAAGTTAGTTTAGTTTAGGTTTCCTTCTGTAGTAACACTGAATCAATAAGAGATGATCCTTACTGGACCTCTAGGAAGAACAGTTTAGAACTGATAGAGCTATCCAGTATAAATAAAGTTTAGTTCAGGCTTCCTTCTGTAGTAACACTGGATCAATTATCTTTACTGCCCAAACTGACCTTCATTTTCATTTGATTAACAAGATTTTGCTGTTGTTTAGTTTGATCATCAATCACTTGTTGCTCCAAATCTTCAACATCATGTTCCTGTTTACTTGTATCAGCATGAAGTGTCCCGTATCCTGACACCATGCGCTGACCATTGTCATCAAGTGGACTATCTGTCACTTTTACCTTCCAAATACCCTTGGGATTTTCACCTAAAAATGGACGGTGTTATAAAAAAGTCAGTTTAGTTTAGGTTTCCTCCTGTAGTAACACTGGATCAGTAAGAGATGATCCTTACTGGACCTCTAGGAAGAACAGTTTAGAACTGACAGAGCTATCCAGTATGAATAAAGTTAGTTTAGTTAGGTTTTCTCCTGTAGTAACACTGGATCAATAAGAGATGATCCTTACTGGACCTCTAGGAAGAACAGTTTAGAACTGATAGAGCTATCCACTGAATAAAGTTGGTCTAGTTCAGCACAGTTTAGGCTTCTTATCAATACGACGTGAAAGTCAATATAGTTCGCATGAATTAAGATTGTTGATAATATTGTTCACTAACCCCAGAAATGAACAGTCATAAACTTCCAGTCGTCCAAGCCTTCCTTCGAATCATCGTAACGTCTTGTTGACAGCAACTCGCTTTTTGTCCCCGAGGGTGAAATAAGGAGTAAGCTTAGATCCCCGCGACGTCGATGGATAAAACTTACACTTAACACGACATGTTCTAGTTTATCCACCTGATTATCCCCGCCAGTACAGGCGTCTGACGAGAACTGAAACTCCATGCTGCCCGTTGATGGTATGTCCCTAAAGAAAACATCAAGGAACGATAAAAATTTTATTCATATATACTGGATAGCTTTATTTGTTCTAGACTGTTCTTCCTAGAGGTCCAGTAAGGATCATCTCTTACTGATCCAGTGTTACTACAGGAGGAAACCTAAACTAAACTAACTTTATATATACTGGATAGCTCTATCAGTTCTAAACTGTTCTTCCTAGAGCTCCAGTAAGGATCATCTCTTATTGATCCAGTGTTACTACAACAGAAAACCTAAACTAAACTAACTTTATTTATACTGGATAGCTCTATTTGTTCTAAACTGTTCTTCCTAAAGGTCCAGTAAGGATCATTTCTTATTGATCCAGTGTTACTACAACAGGAAACCTAAACTAAACTAACTTTATTTATACTGGATAGCTCTATTAGTTTTAAACTGTTCTTCCTAGAGGTTCAGTAAGGATCGTCTCTTATTGATCCAGTGTTACTACAAGAGGAAACCTAAACTAACTAACTTTATTTATACTGAATAGCTCTATCAGTTCAAACTGTTCTTCCTAGAGGTGCAGTAACTATCGGTGTTTTTTCATATATAATACTCGCTGTTCTTACCTCTGTTTATCAAAGACCTGACCAACGCACGTTTTCTGAGGGCTAACATTTGTCCAGATTTTTGCTCTTTCAACCATCTTCGCAGCGTCCATGCGTCCAAAACCAAACTTGTGGTTGAAATGTTTACTAGCGCCATTCTTCATCCATCCCTCGTCCACAGGGCTGGTCATCTGCGCTGTCTCCACTATGATATGCTGCATGTCTCTCCACGTGAGGTTGGGGCTGTAAAAAGGGAGGAAGGGGGAGATTTCAATGATAGTGGGTGAGGTCTCAGGGGAGCGGGGGATGGGATGGGGCAGGCCACCACCCAATTTCATATCATGACAAATTTGATAAACGACAGTGAGATGTCTTAAACCGGAAAATCTTACTTTGCTTCTAATGTGAGAGAGAATATTCCTGCAGCGATGGGTGCCGCTGAAGACGTTCCTTTGAATTCTTCCGTACATTTGTGGAACAAATCTGTAGTGATCTGTAAAATGATTGAAGCTTTAGAGAGGAGTACACTATACACCTGATAGAAAATTCACGCATTTGATAACAGTCGTCCTACTGTGAACACATAAACCTTTTGAATAGTAATCACCCTTAAACTAGGAACTTACATGTACTAATATGATTTATGATTTAGGATTTCCACGTGCAGAGAAAGAGTGCGCGAGCAAAATATTTGCATATTTTATTTTGAAATTTGACAGAATAAATAAATTAGTTCAGTTTGACTGTTGTCATTTCAGAAGAAAATATCCAAATATTTCGCTGGCAAACTGTTTCTCCGCAAGTGGAAATCCAGCCTAGGAAAAAAACTATTTTCAATTTATGAAGGTTAAATAGTTTTTTGTTTATTCGGTATAAGCCGAGAACTCAGGCAAGCATGTTTTGATTTCCAGGTTCTTAGTCATAGGTTAGTATACTATAGTGTAAACTGGGTCCACAATATGCTTCTCACCATCTTATTTTCCTCACGTTCCCTATGGGCGCCGCCGTTGAATGTGACAGCCAAAGTGGAAGCACACAACTCTGTGTAGTAGGTCGACAGACCGTGATCGCTGATGCAGCCGATGGAGATGGTGTAAATACTGGTCGTGTAACCATCACAGTTGCAATCATCGTCTGTGAGACCACCATTGCCCGTTGCCCACACATAGATGTTGCCTTTACCATTACGACCCTGACAAAACAGCGACAAATAAGTGATAAGGGAAAGAGGTACTTGTCATCCTTAGGATGTTAATCTCAGAGTATTTTACCTTGAAACATACCACCTTAATCACCCTCTCTGCTCAGTCTGAGGCACCCTTACCCTGAGTCCCCCACCCCCAATCAGTCTCGACTCTCCCCCTTTACCTCTTTCCCTAATCACCCCTATACTCCGTCACCCCCTTCCCACAGTCCCCCCTCCCCCCTTAATCCCTCTTCTCCTGGTCCAAGTCACTACCTCCCCGAGATACCTCCACCCCTCAACCCAAGTCTTCAAGTTACCCACCAAAGTAGCTCCCTGTTTCAAAGCTTTGGCAGCGAGGGGCCCAGGTTTGCCGAAAGTCTTCCCGTCGTCTTTCGGACCCCAACAGTTTACGTAAACATCGATAAGTTCCTTGCCAAAGCTCAGACCACTCGCTTCCAGAGCGTCCGTTGCTTTGCCATCTAACATGCGCACGCCTGTAAGAATAAATTATGCAAGTCAAGCTGAGCGTGGATCAAGCACACTGATATCTATCAACACTGGATAGCGCATCTGCTATGAATAATCGAAGCGATGATGGTCATATAAAGAAAGGGACCGCCGATTCTTAGGACAAGTGGAAAATAATCGGGCATTACCCCCAATTTTGGCGTTGTACGCCACACCCACGCCACAGTTACTGTTGTTGGCCACAGCGACGATTTCACCTGCGCATCTGGTACCGTGACTAAAAAGATTAAAAAAATATTGGAAAGGAGCAACCAAGCAAGCAGCAATCGACCACCTAACCAATAACCCAACCAAGTACCAAACCAGTTGACCACACAAACAGGGAAAGAATCAAAAACCAACCCACAAACCAACCAATTACGTGACCAATAACTAACTAAAAAAACATCTAAACAAACAACTAGACAAACAACAAACAACTAACCATCAAACAACCAACCAACCATTCACAAAAACAGGGCGCCATCTTTTTAAACCAACCAGAACGAATCACCATTTAACCAGCCTACCGACCATTCACTAACCCATGCAGCAAGCCAACTCATCGAACCAACACCTACCAGTTATCAGGATCCTCATCTCGTGGTGCGGGGTCAGCATCGTGACTATTGAAATCATAACTCGCTTCCGGCAACTAAAACAAAAATGACAGAATATTTTGATCGATTCACACGATTTCACATGTCTCGTTTTTATCGCCGTTCGGTTGAATACTGAGGCCTATTCTGTATACTTACATAGTTTGGAGAGAGGTCCGGATGAGTGTGATCAAGACCTTCAAAATGATAACAGATAAACTTACTACAAGGATACTAAGATTACTCCGATCTATTTCTGACCATCTTTTACGAAGTATATGCTCTAACAACAATAGCACATAAAGCAATACCGTTATAGCACAGTTAAAGACATATCCTTGAACATTTACCGCCGAGGGTGAATCACGCGATTTTGAAATATACAGATGAAATAAGACCGCGTTAAAACTAGCGATGCATTGAACTTATACTGAATATTGATATTGCTTTTGCTGAGACAATCTGTCGATAAAACTAAATTCACTTGGCTAAGATGCTGTGACAACAGTATATATGGGGAAGTTATATATTAGATAAGCTATGCCTAACAGCGTTTGTAAATATTTTGAAATGAAGATTATTTTAAAGATGTGAAAATCAGAATATCCTGTGAAACGTAATCACATGCCCCTGAATATAGGTAAAGCGATTGGGGAAGTGAAAGCCCCTGGTCCTCAAGATGACAATGTCCATAAAAGACGAGAGATCAGTCTCTATAATGTTTCGCTAATACCATCATTTAAAACTTAGACTTCATACCATCATCTAAAACTGAGATCACCACTCCACGCCCTGTGATACCGCTCTTCCAAACAGGCAATACGTTTGTGTCCACCCCAACGGGACCACCAGTCTGACCAGAATTTAGCTATACCGGCGTAGAAAATGATATTGTTAACCAGTCGGGATTTAATACGATCTAAAGTCGGTTTTCCACGAAGCGAAATTTTCAATGGAACGAAATTTTCGCTCGATTTTCTTTTCAATTGTGACCGGTGAAGGGAATCCGCTACGGTCGAATTCTCACAATTGAAAAGAATATCAGACGAAAAATTTCGTTCGTTCGAAAAATTTCGCCTCGTGGAAAACCAGCTCAACGATTCAAAATAAAGGTAAGCCCAGGTTTAGACGTTGAACTTTTCATGTGGCGAACCTAATGTTAATGAACTAAAGTCTTTGTTTAAATTCATTTGCATTCGATTCGGCGCATGATTGACATGGAAAGTTTGACGTTGAGGACTAGGTAAGAGTTTATACAACCGGCAGTAAGTTGCAATGTTTTTTTTTAACGTTTGAATGGCTCATTCTAGTGAGGTAAAAAGCAGCCCTCGTATAGTGATTGTTATTGAGCTTACCAGATACCACATTTCTCCAAATTTTGGGTCACTTGGTATACCATCTCGCTTCATTCTGTGAATGTATTTCTGTTGTGTGGCTTCCTTCACCTGCGAAGTGATGAAAAATTTTAAAAGCACTTGCATACGTATAGTTAGCGATGCCGATGGTTGAAACGGCACGGAGGTGAACTAGCCTGAAGTCGATAAAAGAAATGGGGGTTCTGAAAAGGATTTCTTGGATCCACGTTTGTTTGACCCCTCAGGACCGAAGTTGTGGTAATTCAATATGCCCTACGCACCTCTTTCTCAAGCATCAGGAGATCTGTCTTCTCCCGAGCGTGTTTATGATGTAGTTCCTTTACATCGTCGTGTCTTAAGTGAAAATGGTTCTTCAAACTGCCGATCTTTAAATGGACAGAAACGTATAAAGATTTCCGACTGTAAATAAAGTTAGTTTAGTTTACGTTTCCTCCTGTAGTAACACCACTGGACCTCTAGGAAGAACAGTTTAGAACTGATAGAACTATTCAGTATAAATAAAGTTAGCTTAGTTTAGGTTTCCTCCTGTAGTAACACTGGATCAAGAAGAGATGATCCTTACTGGACCTCTAGGAAGAACAGTTTAGAACTGATAGAGCTATCCAGTATAAATAAAGTTAGTTTAGTTAAGATTTCCTCCTGTAGTAACACTGGATCAATAAGAGATTATCCTTACTGAACCTCTAGGAAGAACAGTTTAGAACTGATAGAACTATCCAGTATAAATAAAGTCAGTTTAGTTAAGATTTCCTCCTGTAGTAACACTCGATCAATAAAAGATTATCCTTGCTGGACCTCTGGAAGAACTTAGTTTAGAACTGATAGAGCTATCCAGTATAATTTTTTCCACGTGGGGAAACCCGTACGAACAACGTAATTGCTCTCCAATTGATTAGCATTTTTTCCGGAATCAGAAAGTGATTTCCTAAACTTTGCTTGACTCCCGAATATGCGAAGCAATCTGTAAGACGTCTGGAGTTACTAACATGCAGAGCATATACCTGTCATCAGGCATACATTTATTTACAAACACGAACTAACCTTGTCCAAAACGATAAAACCGTGTTTCCTAGCGATTCTCGCGACGTCTTTCTCTTCAGCGGGGTCGTGGAACTCCACCGCCCAAGTATTCGTAAAATAACCATCCTTTTCGCTTCCCTTCGCCTGCATCCTGGTGAAATTTTGAAATACATCTTCTAATCTTGATTTAAAATGAGAATACCTAAATTTTGTTTTCTTGGATTGCGCGATATTGACGCACGATAATCCTAACAGTAGAAATATAAGAAAATCTATCCTAAAACCGGTGCGGTTTCGCCAACGATTATCAACTAAATACATATTATATATATACACGCGATTAGACTAGGTGGCCATTAATATATACGACAAGTCGAAGGAGACGTAAAGGTTCACTGAGTTTGCTGGTAGTTTGTGCTCTTCAACAGGTGGCTAAAAAATATCGCGATCTTTCTGCAACCTTGGTTATTTATAGAAGATTGACCGCGCGTGTTTATAAACGGGACATGCAAGGGTATATGTATACACTCTATAGACGGCGTTTATCTTGAAGATTGAGGAATGCGAATTTGAACTGAGGTGGCGTTTAGGTACTGCACTGTTAAAGTTTCCAGTGTTCATAAAACGTACACTGGTAAATCCCAAGTTCTACATGTACGAAATAACTTTAGTTCCCTCGAATATTTCTACCAAATACTTTGAAACTTAGGAACTGCCGTCTGAAATGCCAACTGTTATCACAGAAAATTTGACGATGTCAACCAGCGTAACACGAACAATTCTTCAAAAACCAATTCTTTGAAACCATGTTTCACTGTTTAAGCATCAAGCATGCATAAAAAAGGGAGGGTTTTTGAAACCATGTTGTTCAACATGCGATATATATAAAAATGTTGGTCTAATTCGTTAGATCTTTTTGTGGACAAGGTTTAATTTCAAACACTGTGCGACCTGAAATCTTTAAACAAACACAATAGTTTTTGAACGATTTTTTTAATCAAATTACGGTGTTTTTTGCAAGTTGAAACCAAGGAAAAAATTTGCCGCTAAAAAATCCAATTGTTTTGTGTATACCCTTCAGCCATGCATTTTAATATCTACTTGATACCCTTTCATGCACATAGACATGTTTAGGGACCACTAAAGCTTATTTTAAACTTGCGATCGGCTTTCAAAAATGATAGCAAGAGGTCCACTATAGCGAGTAAGTCTGGCGATTCTTTTCAGAGGCAATAATATCAAAAAACACAACAAAAGCATCAACTATGGATAAATAATATATTTCAATCCTTTGGGTGACATATTCTTTTTTGATCGTCAGTTTTTGCAGGCATATTAGGCGTCGGGATTTTCTACCAGGCGAGATATTGTGGATTTGATAGCTATATTGTTTACTAGGGGAAAAGGATAAAGTTTCTTGAATGTCTGACCGAGGATCTTTAGTCATCATCCCGGTTTCCGCCGGCTTTGGGTTTAGGACCTCCAGCAGGTTTAGCCATTATGATCTGAAATGGTAAAAGAATACATAAGTTAAAAGGGTTTAAGCTTTTGGGAGATGGTTTTTGTGGCACGAGTTTCAACCGTTATTGTCAATGTCAACGAGAAACCCCAGAAAAATTGAGGATAATTCATGATCGTCGGACGCAGTGTTTCTATATTCAGGTGACTTCACCCAAACTTAAATACTTTGGTCCAACAATACTTTGGTCCACAGTGCAGGGGCCGGTTGTATCAAGCCCGTTTAGCTTAAACGGTGGATATAAGTCAAAATTAAAGCACACTCTTATAGAAGTCTTTGAATGAGTGAACTTGAATATTATGTACTGAATATGTAGTTGTAAACACTATCTTTGTATTAAGGTTAAAAACATGTAGTTTGCTTGTTAAATAAAACGATAGACTTGCTCTTACTTTGAACTTATCCACCATTTAAGCTAAACGGGCTTGATACAACCGGCCCCAGGGGAATTACCTGATCAACTCTTAGTATAGTTACGGCTGCATTTGACGCCATCTTGATAGCATTTTGCTTCACAAGAAACATGTCGTATATACCAGCTTCCGAGACATCTTTAAGACTCGCATTTCCAGCCTGAAACATGAAGATTATTGGTGATGAGAGATATATCATCCATAGGTCGGAAGACAAGGGATGGGTGATATATCATCTATAGGTCGGGAAGCAGGTGATGGGAGATATATCATCTATAGGTCGGGAGACAGGGGGTGGGAGATATATCATCTAATAGGTCGGGAGACAGGGGATCCATCATACCTCTATATCGAAGCCAGAATTCTTCTGTCCGTCGTTATGCGATGCGTATAGTTTTGAAATCACCTCATTACCCTTCACTCCTGAAGTTTCCGCGAGAATTTTGGGGAACACCTCAAGCGCTTCGGCAAACTTCTTGATTGCGTACTGCTCCAGACCGGAGAACGTCTGAAAAATGAATGGTTTCGCAGTGAAGATTTTGTGTATGAAATAAAGCTTTTGTGATGGTGCTTTGCTAGTTCACCTTACCCAGGTGGTAACTCAAAGTGGCACCATCACAATATTTTAATTCACCAGAGTCATACACAGAATCGTTTTAACTTTAAGACACAGATATGGAAGACTAGATTGAGTTCCGAAATATCATATATTCGATCTTGACCTAGTAGCTAAGTTGGAAGAGCATTGGACTATAGCAAACCAAAGGTCGTGGGTTCGTTTTGGCAGTGTTAACTTACAGTCTATTCCCATGATTACAAATTACTCCCCTTCGTATCTACTGTATCGTACTTGCCTTCCACCCCCCCCCCCCGCCTACACTTGAGGTTAGGGCGAGGGGCAGGTGACCTCCTATGTTCCTCTCGCCCCACCTTAAGAAGCCTCGCTCACGCAATAAGGCAATGGGTCGATAATCGAAGAGTGTACCCTTTGGTGAAAGACCTTTCAGACTAAACCAAAGGAACAAATTCGCCTACCGGAGAAAGTACCTAACTTCCTACCTCGGCATAAGTAGCCAACTGCATGGCGAGCTCGATTTCCGTGGCTCCAGCACCCGGTAAACACCGTCCGTCCCTCGTCAATTGTTTATACGTGTTTACACCATCGTCAACGGCTCTTTCTATATCATCCATTATGCTGTCCGTCGAGCCACGCACGACGATGGTCGAGATTGCGCTTTCCTCTCGTTCTATATATAAGGAACATAGTTTCTTCACCTTTTAGCACAGTACAGACGAGCAAGTATTAAAACTCGCGTGTACGCGTTTTTGGGCTGTGAAAAACGTGCGAGTTCTTTTCAACGACCAGAACCCATCAAACTATCTCAAGGACCTATCGCAATTTTCCCTGCGATTTTAGGTATGATTTTCCTTTTTTGATGGATGCGATCGAGTGGATAAGTTACAGATGCTCGAATAAGGACGTTTATACATCTGAGGATTTATAACTATTCGCTCGTTCGCATATCCCAGAAGACGAAAATCGCAGCTTCAATCGCAAACAGGTTTTTAATAAACAAGTACGATCGTACTATAGTGGACCAGGAACTGCGTGACCGAGTTAATTCTGAACTGCATTGTATTTACAACAATGGAGCAGACAATGTATTGCTAATCGTTTGCGTATTCTTATATATAGGCTGAATATTAACGATATGTATATATTATTTGCCGCACATATAGTCAAGAATTGCTTGTAACTTGCTTCAAAGGTCAAAAGTAAAAATTCGAACTCCGTCAATCGATGCGGAATATTGCTTAGAATAATTGTGCCAAGTTTCATTCCGATCAAACAAGTAATGATAGAGCCTTAGGGTTTTTTTAAAGAGCGTCGCCCCCTACAAAACAACAACAACAACAACAACAACAACAACAACAACAACAACAACAACAACAACAACAACAACAACAAGATTAGCAACGGTTAGGAACCAGTTCCTGGTCCAACAACTCACCTTGCTTGAAGACGATAACAGAGGTATCACCAACCTCGTCAACCTGTACCATATTGCAATGACCTATTTCTTCCGCTGTAGGTTTTGCCTGTTGAAGGAAAAGACGGGAAATGATGAGCAAATAACCTTGAACTATGGTCTAAAGTTAAACCCAAACACTCAGCCTAAAACCCAGGGATCGGTTGTATCAAGCCCGTTTAGCTTAAACAGTGGATAAGTTCAAATTAGAAAGCAAGCCTGCCGTTTTATTCAAGAAGCAAACAAAATGTTTTTGACCTTAATACAAAGATACTGTTTACAACTACATATTCAGTGCATAATATTCAAGTTGACTCATTCAAGAGAGTTGTAAGAGTGTTATTTAATTTTGACTTATCCACCGTTTAAGCTAAACGGGCTTGATACAACCAGCTCCAAGTATAAACCCAAGCCTTGGATCAAAACTATAATCAAGCCTATAACCGGACCAAAGCCTTAAACCCAAGCCTAAAACTAAACCAAAAGCCTAAGCCTTAAACCAAACTATAGGCTTGAAGCAAATCCTAAACTTAAGCCTAAAGTCAAACCCCAAATCTTAAACCAAACCCAAAAACTCAAGCCTAAAACCAAACCTCTACACACAAAACCACGAAGTTGTCGAACGAATAACACTTCAAATGAGATAAAAATTTATAGGATTTACCATTTTCGGCAGTGCAACCGCGCCAACAGCTTTGCATAGTCGACGTAATTCCCACTTAGAGGTTAACCTTGAGGAGATTTGAAGGTGATTAGAATACAGTAAGAAGTGAAGATTTTCAACTTGGTAAATCATTTGAACAGTCAACTAAACTCACCTTACAACCATTAGATTATATTTATTACAAAAATGAAGCGCCATATCGCCTACTTTTCCACCGGTAACTACGAGATTACAACCAACATCAACTAAACTCTTGATTTGCTGGAAATATAGAGAGAAAATGTTGAGAAAACTCTTCAGAATCTGCCAGGATCTCTTTGTAAAGCATTCTCAGGCTAGCCTCGTTTATCTATTTGATGATGAACGAGGCTGGATACTTACATTTTCTAGTAGATTTTCAGCACCTGGGCTGAATGCCTTTAGTTCCGCAGCACTTTTTATGAGAACCGTGCCCTAAAGGTAATGCACAATACAGTACTGCTGTGATATTGAACGTCGCATTGGGGGGAGCTTGCAATATTGAAGTGATTAAAAAATGAAAGGTTGGTAACCCTTCGTGCAGAGAAATCTTTCAGAAGCTATCTTTTCAGTTAACTGAGAAAAACTACTTTTCATGGCAACCACTTTGGCTTGCAGAAAAATATAGCCACGTCTATCGCCAGTTATCGTTCCAGTTGTATTAGAGTGTTATAGTTCAGTGTATCGAGTGTTCACTGGCTTAAGCCTTGGGCAAACTAGGAAACATTGTTTCGGAAACATTGTTTCCCGCCAATGTTTCTCAATGTTTCCCAGGGTGGGCAAACACTGGGAAACATCAGTGAGAAACAATATATAGCGCTCAGAGGAAATCAGTCCTATGAAGCAATTATTTTTTTAAAACCAAAACTAATTTGCATTACCAACATCCCATAAACAGTTTCTTGCTTCGTACAAACTTATCAGTTTCTCTGTTTCAGTATCTTTCCACACTCGTTCGCTTTTACCCCTTTTATTATTGCTTTGTTCGTCTACAACAACTGCTATTGTGCTTTCAGCCATTTTTTGTGTTGTTTCACTTGTTTGTTATGCGCAAAGAGTAAATATATATCTACTCTTTGTTATGCGCATGCTCTAATTGGTAAAAAGTGCGGAAACATATGGGCAAACATGGAAACAATGTTTCCGCAACCAAAATCACACTTGGGAAACATATAATGTTTCTGAATTTGATAGGAAACATTTTTGCTTCCTCGGAAGCAAATTTTGCTTCCGCAACAATGTTTCCCAGGGTGGGCAAACAGGGAAACATATGAGGAAACATTGCGAAACATAAATGTTTCCGCAACAATGTTTCCTAGTTTGCCCAGGGCTTTACACACCTAAAAATCTCACATCTTGTTGACAACTTGTTGGCTCAACAAGCTTGTAGCAAGCTTGTTGACAAGTTGTAACAAGCTTGTTGAGACAACAGGTTGTAGCAAGCTTGTTGACATCAAGCTTGCTACAACTTGTTGGCTTGCAGACTTGTAGCAAGTTGTTGGAACAACTTGTACCAAGCTTGTCGACAACAAGCTGTACCAAGCTTGTTGGAGCAACTTGTTGACAAGTTGTTATAGTCATCAAGTTGTAACAAGCCTGTCACAACAAGCTTGTACCAAGGCTGCGCTTGACAATGCTGTAACAAGACAGTTCCAACAAGTTGTAGCGACATTGTTAACGGCAAAAGTTTTCCGATAACAACAAAATCAATTTGAACTGGGCCAAATATGATTTTATTGATCATCGCCATTCATCAAATGGCAAAAGCAAGATCAACGAGCTTTTAAACACTTTAACACTCTGCAACTGCAACGAAGTTCATAACTTCTTTTATAATAAGATTTGAAAATAATCCGAATTCCTTGAAAACATTACAGATGAACATTTCCTTGTTTCAAGGATATCTACAACCGTTGAACCGTTGAGGAAGTGACGATTTGAACGGAGTAATCTCATTGGTTCAGACTCTGTTTAAACTATGTATAAGTGATCTTATTGGTTGAAATATACGTCAGTGTATTTGCAAATTTCCCTGCTCTTTTCAAGAGTTCACTGATTCACCTGGTCATTGAGCTATCTTTGTGCCAAAACCTTTGTTTTTTTAAGCCTTTAAAAGTTTAATAAACGTTGAAATATCAGTTAAAACGGATGGGCAACTTAAAAAAGTTTAAAGAATACTACAGTTCGACGTTTTAATAAAGGTATGTGCGTTTAATTCATCCAAATATTTGATATGGCGTACACAACGCCGGCAACACAATTTATTATAGTACACTAGATAGCATTTTAAAACTATATAGTTTTTAAAATATTTGTTGAATTTATTGCTTTTTATAAACATTGAACTGTTAGTTTCTGTGGATATTTATCAAAATCGAAACTTCGCCGGTTTTTTGTATTCAATAATTCAAATATTTTTAATGACGATAAGGTGTACGGTAAAGTGCAAAATTTCCTATTTTTAATATCTGTGCGTATGTTTTTAGCATGCTCTGATTAGAAATAATAATATATATTTACGTATATGGTAATAAAGTATTTGTACATTACTTATTTGACATTAGACTTGGATGGCATTCATGGCAAGCAAGACCCTCGCCACAGCAGACAGGATGGAGTTTCCTCAACGTATTTGCAAACCATTTGCTGTTGATTCTTGGGATGACGAAGTCAATTCAACAAGTGACTGAAATACTGGTATTATACAAGAATACTCATGCACCGCCACCAGTTAATTTTTACCATATGAATGCAAAGAAACTTTTCTTACGAACTGATTATTAGGCTATATACTCATGCAGAAAGGAAAATACATATGCTCTTGTACTGAGCCTTTAGTAATCTTGGTACTTCAAGTGTGAAGTTTGTATTTAATTGCTAACCTTTGAATTTGTTTTTAAAATAATATGATTTTTACATCAAACTTTGTGTTGTTTGTTCTTTGTTTCACAATCTCCGGGAAAACACGCGTGTTTTCAAGCGAGATTTAATGCGCGGCCATGTTTGCAGCAAGCTTGTCGCGACAAGCTTGTAACGGCCTTGTTATAACAAGCTTGGAACAGCTCAAGTTCAACAAGCTTGTAGCAAGTTGTTGTCAGACTTGTAGCAAGCTTGTTGGCAACAACCTTGGTACAGCATTGTCACAACAAACTTGCTACAAGTCTGACAACAACTTGCTACAAGTCCGTCACAACAAGCTTGGGACAAGCAGTGCGAACACAACCTGATATCGGCTTGTTGGAACAAGCTTGCTACAAGTCTGCTGCAGACTTGTTACAACTTGTGCGTTTTTACGTGTGTACCTTCGTCTCAGTCCCCATTGAATCAAGCGGACACGAGAATACGACGATCTTAGCATCTACAACTTTCGTGATATTTCCTTCCACTTCGCGTTTGAAGACCATTCCTTGGATGACGTCAGAACTGTGGACGCCCGAACCCTGCAAGTCACGTGTCGTGCACGTGCATTAATTATAGTGGAGTGAGCTTTGTGGGTAACCTCATAGAGTCTGGGACCGCAGGTTAGGGGGGGGGAGGGCTGGCCAATACCGGTGCATGGGGGGAGAGAGGCAATGGTGCTTGCATGGTGTGTCAATATCAATAGAATATTCAAATGGACGACACCTTTATTCTATTGAATAGTAATAAAATTTCATCTTTGAAACCAAGAATTATTAAAGAGGATCCTTGATTTAGGAATACTAAGACTTGATCAAAGTTATAACAAACAACGGATTAAAACGATTGAAAAACCACTATCCGGTGGATAGCGCTATTTCCTATCAAGGTTATCGTCAACATTGCTTCTCTGGAGAAAAAAGGTTGAAATATGAATGCTCACCAATATCTTCACGACTCGAACATTATCGACGTTGAATAAACCAGACTCTGGTAGGATGGGAACTAGAGAAAAAATTGGAATCGATGGGAGGTGATACCATAGCATCAGAGTGATTTCCTATTCTGTGTGACAACCACACACTGTTTTTCTTCATTGTGTGTCAGAGATGTTTCACTGCACTTAAAATTATTGCATAGGACCTAAAACCCGTTTTCCACTGGGCGAATTTATTCGCGCGACGCGTGAGCGATATCTGAAATCCGGTGATGTGATTGGTTTGCGAAAAAAATTTGCCGCGAAAAAGTAGAAACGCTTCCTATTTTTTATCTCTTCGCGCGAATAAATTCGCCTAGTGGAAGACGGGTTTGGCCTCAATTTTTGCCGCAATTTTCCACTTTTGATAGATGCAAACGAGTGAATTAGTTTTGGATGTTCCAATAAAAGTTCTTATACAACAAAGTATTCATTACTAAGTACTCATTCACATCTATCAAAAGAAGGAACTTGCAGCAAAAAATGCAAGTGTGCACAGGCGTTAAGCCAGTATTATTCCACTCAAACCTACCGCAAGCTTTTGTTAGTAGTTCACAGAGAAAATCTTCATTTCCGTACTGTTGGTAAAACAAAGTAAAAACAAAATCATTTTAGGCTGGAAAATGTTTTACAAGTTTCTTCCAGCTCACAGAAATTATCACAAATTTAGTGTAGGAGTGGAGAATATTGTACCTGCTTGCTTGCAACAGAGGATTTGATGGCTCTTGCGACTTCTTTTGAATCTCGTATATCTTTTATTGTATGGCATGTCAAATCTGAGAAAACATACAAATTTTGAATGTTTAGCATAAATGATGGCCATTTTCAAGAGAAGCGAGAAGTGGTGTTCTTCTAGAGATAGTTTTAATTAAGGAAAGGCATTATTATTTATTTATCAGGGAGATGCCAATACAAAAAGGTATTTCTGGCAGATTGCACTCTGTATTTGAAAGGTATCTATATTCAAAGGTCCAGATATCAGTGATTTATACCTGGCAATATTTCTAAAGCTTTCTGACAGGCCTTCTCAAAACCTTCAATCACTTCAGGTGGTGAAAGACCCTGTATTAAAAAACAATTGACACACATCAATAGAGAGTATTCAACAACAGATGATGACAATCAAACATAGCTGTAGACAAACAAAAGATGCTGAAAATGTTAACACCTTACCATACGCAAGAGTTCTTCAGCTTTTGTGAGAAGTTCTCCACCAAAAACCATCACAAAATTTGTACCATCTCCAACCTGTATTAACAAATATAGAATATTTTCAGCACAATTCAAATAATGAGAAAAATGTCAAAGGCTAAATCATGTCTTATGGTACAAAAAAACAATCTCACTTCGTGCAAACTAGCTTCAACTGCTGGTGAAGAGTTTATGTGATAGTCTTAGTGCCAAGCAGTATTTCCCTCACAGATCTCAGGACAGCTTACCTCTTGTTCTTGCATCTGAGATGCAAGTATCAACATTTTTGCAGCTGGATGTTGGACCTGAAATGTTTTGAACATGTTGTATTTTCCATCATTGTATATTTTTTGGGAGGGAGAGAAACCCTACGGTGATTAAAAACTCCAAATAAAGTACACAATCCTGCAAACAGAATCCCTACTGAAATACCTCAAGTTCTTTGATAACAGTTGCTGCGTCGCTTGTCACAAATAACTTCTCAAGCTGATTGATCACCATTTTGTTCAACCCTTGAAACAAAATCATATCCAAATTCAATTGTAATGAACTTCGGTAACTACCAAAGTGATAGTGTCAGATGATGACCAATCTTGTACGAAGGTGAATGATTGTGCCACTTACCACTTGGACCATACGAAGACCTTGTGATTTTCGTTATTTCTTTGCAGGCTTCGATATTTCGAAACACTGCCTCTTCAAGGCCTTTCATATGCTGAAATTCAGATAAGCAAATCATGCTAGGGTATCAGTCTGGAATTTCAACCAGCAGTTCAAGAGAATTTTGTGGAAATTTCACATGTTTCTGGGCAAGATCACATTTTTGTGAATGATTGAAATTTTTTAAATTAAGTTGTAATATTTCCTCTTTAGCATTGCCTAGTCAGGTCTGCACATCAGTTGTGCACTATTAAATAACAATGGCTGGAGCACTGGTTAGCTATAAACACCTTAGCGGCAGTCAACAGCTACTAAATGTTTTGCTATCAATATAGGCCCAAATGAGCATATATGCATGGCATTATTTTAATTTCACATCGCCTTAAGTTGAAGAATACCCAACTTCTTGGGATAAAACAAGCCATATTTTATTCAAGTACAGTTCACACCCTTCAAAGTTGAAATATAAACACTAAAGTTTTGAACATTTGTATAATTTTGTACATTTGTAGCGGTCCAAATGAAATCGTTTTTTATAACATTATCAATTACTACAAATACTCTCAATAATCAACTCGTGTTGGCAAACATATAAAAAAATATCCTCAAAATCACGAATTTTTTGACAGCAAACAACTCAAAGTGTGCCAAACCACGTGCACTTTGGGAAACCAAATTCTCGGTTGTATAAAACAGTTTGAGAGTCTGGTTTCGACGTATTTGAGAAGTTCAATGTATGAAAACTCTCTCCATGAAGTATTATCCATCTAAAGCCTACCTTTGCACCATCTTTGAGCATGTGTTGGAAGGAAGTTTTGGGAACAGACAACGCCATTTTGCAAGATTTTTGTGAAGAAATGACATTGGGCTCCAGGATCCTAACGTCGGGCACAGCAGCCCGTCCCGCTCTGGCACAACCTAATTAACATTCTTTGCATAAAGTCCAAATTCGAAATTTTTATCATATTTTTGCATCATTATAAAAGCAGTTTTAATGTTTGTTTTGTACGGAATGTGGAGGAAAAGCACTGCCTAATATGCGAAATGAAACTCCCTTCACACATTTCATGTTGTATACTTCACGCCTTTGAAAATCCAAAGATTCTCAGCCATATTTTGCATCCGGTCACTCGATGTTTTGATGTGCTTGTACTGAATAGAAGTAAGAGTTATTTAGGGAGAACACCTCATCTTTTGTCGCAAATTTTCGATCTCGTTTCCTGACATTGTCGCGATTTATTTAGTCAACGTTTTGCACCGAACCTTGGCAACATGCAGTACAAAAAACACATCAACTTGTGAAATAGGTTCCTGCAGCAGGTTCTGGCAGGAATCGTTTAAAAATATCGCGTGATTTGGACAACATAAATTGTTTTTATTGCCCAAGTTTCCTGGGCAGCTGGCACGAGCCACGCCCGTATTCAGCAAAATGTCACCAGACAAAAGAATTTAAATTATTTTCGTTCTTCGCTGATGGACGAAACGTCATTTCCAACACATCACAATCGGTCTACAAGCGCTTTGGGGATTATTACTCACGAGAACCTAACAATGCCTTTTACACGCGAAGAAAAGCAGAAGGCCAAGGCGGCGATTTACAACGGAGAAGAGCAGAATAAGGATGCGAAATCTCCGGTAGAAAACGGCCATGATTTGGTGGTAGGAGAAGAAGCGATTGGGCACGAATGCTGTTATCCGAAAGGCTGTATTTCGAGCGATTCAACGCCATGGAATTCCGTTCGTTTTGTTTGTAACAACGAACAGTGCGATAGAAGCGGTTTCATGCACGGTGAATGTGCCGATGCGTTTGAAGAAGACATTCTGGCATACCTTCGAAGCGTTGGGCGGGCACGAAGTTGGTCTGACAAGCAACGAAGGCAAAATATATGGACAAAAAAGGGCTATGATTTGATATACAAATGCTGCGCCTGTTCGTGCGGTAAGGGCCATTTGAAAAAGGATTTGGATTACAAGCCGAGCGGCGACGAGGACAGCTTTCAACAAGTTAAATCGAGACGAAAAAAGAACAAGGCGGCGCAGAAGCCATTGTTGACAGTCTCCCCCAATTGCAACGCGACAAGTGGTATGCCGAATGCCAGCAAAATGCATCAAAGAAAAGCAAGTCAATCCCCACCCGAGTTCTCTCCTGGCGTAAAGTCGCCCAATAGAAGGAGAACAAACTCGAAATCCAAAGATATTTTTCAGTTTCCTTCGTCGCCAAAAGGGGAACAGGCAATCTCATCGAGCTTCCCATGGCGAACAGATTTTGCAACAATGGTGACCATCCTTCCTCGACAGAAAATCAACCCTTGTCACATCAAGATGGACGATGATTTTACACAAAGCGACGACCCAAGGTCTTTCATATTGAAGGCCTTGTTCTCAAACAGTCAGACTGCTGTGAACTGTGTGATCTGCCAGAGGAATCTACCAGTGTTTGCAAACTACCCACTGCTTGATGGTACATTTTTTCTGTCACCCAAAGAGCTCACAGCATCTGGCTGCATCGAGATGGACTTGCAGTCTCGGACGCTGTACCTCACCGCGGTATGTATGCACTGTCTGCAAGGCAAGCCTCAGGCGGTCAAGTGCAAGTTCTGCAATACAAAATGGGATGGGTCGCACCATCAAATCGGCACCCTCTACTGGTACGATATATTTGCAGCATCACCCTGTTGTGATCGGCGCAACGAATGCCGAAAATGTGGTAAACCGGTCGCAAACTCGGAGACGAAACAGTTCTTCTCGGATTACTCTCGGCGTTTTGAATGTCCTCACTGTTCCTATGTTGACTGTCATTACGTGAAGCCGCTAACCTTATATGAACTCACTAACTGAACTACGTACGAACTTCTAAATCCCCTTTGCCAATCCCCAATTGGTTCGAATTCAGTTTATGTCTAAGACAAGGATAATGTCTTGGTATTTGTACATTGTGGCGTAATTCTGCAAAATGTTGTGTTGATAAAGAACATGCTAATATTGTTACATGACAAGAATTTGTTACAAATGGCAAATTTCTAAGAACAAGATGTAATACGCTTTGCTATTTATGCCACACCCTATGTAACTTCAATTTATTTATTGGTCAAAAAGTATATCATGACTTGAAATTTTTATTACTATTGATTAAACAGCGAAAAATTGTATATGGTTTTCTTTTATACAAATGGAATGCAATGATATAGGAGCTGAGTCCTCATTACAGCATTTATCCCCCCTGGATTAACCAAAAAGCCCCCCCTGGACTAACTGGCAACCACAACCAAGTCTTTATTCTGAATGAGATTTCACCCCAAAGGAATAAATACATCCCACTATGTATTAATTCTGTAAATATTCTGTAGATTTGCCGAAGTGGACCTACTTTGGCTAATTTTACTGACAGATTATTACCTGTTAAGTATCTCCTTGATCAGTGCAATTGCCTGCTATATTAGATGGAGTAAATATTAAACACAAGTAAATACTTTTAGGCGATAGCAAATAACTGTCATGCAGATGTTGTGTTGTGGATTGATGCATTTTGAAGACACATTTTACTTTCTCTTTGCAATTAAACAGATCCAGTTAAAATAGAGAGACTTCCTCAGGGGCCTTACCTTTCCACATGACAAAATCTAACACTTCACTGCCTAAAGTTTAAGTCTCACCCAAACCTGAACAGGCTACGATAAATAACCTAAATACATCTAGGAGTAATAATTCAATTACACTAAAATGCTAAGTTTCCTCAGCTTCAAGCATGTCTTCGATTTCTTTTTCCCAAGAACCATCATCATTATCATCATCTTCTTCATTCACAACTACATCATATTCCTAGCAAAAGGAAGTTTTTTCATCTATTCCATAAACTTTATAAATCATACGTTTGTAGGTATACAACAGTACTAATATTGTGTAAAATATAGATAATTTATACTCTCTTTAAAATACAACATCACAAGGATATTATTCTTCATTAGTTTTGTTTTAAATTAAGGCATTAACAGATACTGATTTTTATTCAAACCTATGCTGATGAACTTGCTACAAACTGGTTATATCCTGTTTTTAAACTAACTAAAGATCACATAGCTCTGTTGGTAAAGAGCTAGCTAAGCAAACAAACTAAGTTCAACTGCAACTGTGGTTATAAGTTTCTTTACAGCATTAAGCATACACTTCACAAAATGGACCAAACTTAGAACAGATTGTATGAACATCCTTCCTTTAGGATCACTACTCAAGATGAATGAATTATGAATTTGAACCTTCAATGTGCATAGTCTGAACAGAGTCACAGTATCATCAGCTAACTGGTCTAAACTCCCAATACTAACCTGTAATTCCTCTTGTAATTCCCGTTCCCAGTCTGGAATATTGCTTTCAGTAGTTTCATTTGTTTTAGGTTTGGTTTCACTGTTTGAATTTGCTTCAAGCTTCAATGTAGTTGATGTTTTCTTGCTTTCACTTTTATCACTGAGTCTGTCAACACCAATTTGTTCTAGATCTTCTTTACTAAGCTCTAGAATGACGGTATAAAATTCACATGCAAATGACATTAAAGCTCAGCTTTTGCAGCATTATAACCAGGGCCGTCCTCAGAATATTTTTACAGGGGGGGTGTAAGCTAGGTCATCTTAACCGACTGATTGACTGACTTGTACTGACTACACTCTGGATGAAACTTTGTCAAGTTTATATTGGATTGGTCTATAGTGTCAAAAATATTTTTGTCTGCCGACTAAAATAGCAATTTTCCCGACTGAACCTCAGAATAAACTTTCTGGGGGGTGTGACACCCCCCTAAACGCCCCCCTAACTCCGGGCCTGATTATAACTAATGAAATACAAGGACCACCCAAATATGCAGATAAAATAACTTGTGTACCATGTGCTCCCTCAAAAGCATCACTTATAAACTCATCCTGTGGAGGGCTGCTGGATAAAGTCATTTCCCCCAGGTCTTCACTCTGAACAGGATAATTAAATCAAGAGTTTAGATTTTGAAACTGATAGAATCATAACTCTTTTTAGGTTTGGTTGATTCTAAATTAGAAGAAAAGTCTTACAATGTTTTCCGTTCTGGATCTATGTCCTTTTTCCTGCTGTTTTTTCAGATCAGAATCTAAGAAACAACATCAAGGTTTTAAAAAACACAGGGTTCTACAACATGGGGCACAATTCAAAAAGAGAGCTTACTATCTGATGACTGAGTGCTTGATTGTTCGCTTGTATTCAAGTTTTCAGCAGAGTTGCTAGTTTTATCTGGATTGACAATTACAATTGATAAGAATGAGATCATTTGTATGATTCACGAAAATCTTCATCAAATCTTTATAGTCCTTACCAGCTCCTGATGCCAAAGATGTGAGTTGTGATGATTGTTTAATTAGCGAAACACGGTAAAAGTAATTTCTCCAGAATGCTGACTCCTTGACTCTAGTTTGAGAAATTATCGGTAAAAAATTAGCTATGTATTTAGGGGCCGGTTGTATTAAACTCTTTAACTATATTTTGCATAGTTAAACCCTAGTTAACTCAGAAATACTCGACTCTGATTGGTCAATTCTGCAGTTAAAAGTTAACTAGTCTTTTATACAACTGGCCTCAGGTATATATAAGATTAAGATTACAGTTTGGTTTTGTTAATATAGTTAACTTACTTTTTGGGTACTAAGTTAAACCTCATTTTCTTCAGTTCCGGGTCTTCCTCAAGCGTGGCTAGGGCTACAGGAAACATGCTCTCATATTCATAATGAAACTGAACTCCTGATGGAGGGTCACGCAGGAAGTTCCTCTCGTCCTGTGGGACATAAATAGGGATAAACAAACACCTTTAACAGATTGAGACACTCTATCATAAACACCTCTCAAATGTTGATTCTTTTCTAATAAACACCTCTCTCATATGGACTAAAGTAAACACTTCTCTGATATGAACAGCGACACCTAATGCAGACACCTTGCTAGAATACACCTCTCTATTATGGACATCTGTCTGATACCGTATAGATGCCTCTCTAATACAGACGCCTCTCTAATATAGACACCTCTCTAATACAGACACCTCTCTAATATAGACACCTCTCTAATATAGACACCTCTCTAATATAGTTACATTTCTTAGAAAGGTATCCATATTAAAGAGGTGTCTATATGAGAAGTGTCTAGAATGTTTCTAATATAGACATGCACTTCTCTAATATAGACACCTCTTTCATATAGATACCTTTCAAATATAACCACCTCTCTATATACATATAGACACCTCTGTAATATGTACATGCAGCTGACATGCACCTCTCTAAACCAACTCTTCATACAGATACACAACTTCCTAGGAAGAACACATTTCTATGGATTTCTCTATGACACATTCCTTACATGTGTGAACTTACAGAGGATAGAGCAAGGATTTGGGATTTCATTGTCTCTTCTTCATGATAGCCCACCCATGGAGGTACTCCAGTTTCTAAGTAAATAATTTAAAAGGATGTTTTGTGTGGATCTTGGGATAAAATATCTTTACCAAACTAAACATGTGGTAAGAAAAATTGTTCCAATTCTTCACTGTATACTTGAAATATATAGTTATACCTTTTCTTTTATTGTGCTTTTCACTGACAAATTTCTCTTGTTCTTTATTAAAATCGGCAAGAATGCCCTATGTTTGGGAAGTGATACATTACTGCATGGTTTCTCCTTGGGGCCATTTAAACAAGGGAAAATAAGTCGCGACTTATATAAGACATAACTTAAATAAGATGCAACCTTGTCGTATAAACAATACTAAATGCTTGTTTGTGTCTTAGATTAGACAGGCTTGGCAGGCTTGTATGAACGGCAGCAGTAATGTGTCTTATTCAAGTTGTGTCTTATTTTTCCCTGGTATAAATGGCACTGTTGCATGGTTTCTGATTGTAAGGTTTCTCATGGTGTGCTCCTGTACCTTTCCTTCAGCACTTTCTTTCACAGTGTCCTTGACTTTAACTGCAGTTTTTGTGGCAACATTAGCAACACTGTACAGAAAACCTTAGAACACAAAAGAACATTATATATTTTTAATTATTGAACATTGTATAAATTAATTGATCATTATTTATTCAAAAGAATTCACAGCCTCTGATTGGCTAATAGGTATGTGTGAAATTGTCATGTCCAATATGTGACTTCATAACCTGTGATACGACTTTTTTCATGCATGCTACAGTGCTACTATGTCATAATGTGTGATGAATAGTTTTATCCCATGTTATGACGTCACAACAATGGCAAAGACATCAGCGTCTCAAAGGAACTGAAATGCGAAATCGACACAAATTCAAGCGAACAATTGAAAGTTGTAATGTTCATTCTTTTAAATAATAATAAAACAAATATTGAATTCAGTTTTCATAGGATATGAAGAATTGATAACGACCAACTTGGGCTTGATAATTCTTCATATTATGTTCAACTTCATTCAATAATTGTTAATTATTAAATATATTGAGTAATATACACTATTGGTTATACTGAGTTACATTACCATTTTTATCCTAGGTTATTGTTCATTACAATAGTACATTGCCTGCTCATTTATTGCTGTACATTGCCTGCTTTATTTGGAAATCCACTACTGAGTTTACTGCAACGTTATAGGTTTATTCCCCGTTGTGTAATATTGGGTTATTGGCCCAAGCTGTTGCCCTATGTCCAACTGGAGAGTACAAATATTTCACCCTCTAAAGTTAAAAACGCATTCAACTCACTTCCAAAATTCTTTGCTAGATCTTTTGCGGTCTCGGTGGCGTCTTTTTGCTCGACCTTCCTATCACCCGTCACCTCATTCTCTGAACCACCTTGGTTTGTATTTTCATCAGTATTTTCTGCAACTTTATCCTCATTTTGTTCCTTTTCACTCGTGCCCCACCAGCTAAACATCTTTAAACCCGTACAATTCCTTAAAAAGACTTCCAATTATAGACTTTACTACATCTTTTTGGAACAAAAACATGAAAATATTCCTTTGAACACAATAAACTACGCAAAGTATTTATTTTTGTTTTTATGTTTTTATCGGATTCCTGCGACCGCGATGAATAGAGGATACTTCTTGTAAGAACAATAAAGAGTTATAAAGAGTAAGCCGTCATTTGCCTCGCATGGTGGACACATTGTGAACCGTCGTTTTCTTCGTACCGTGAACAGGTTGTGAACAGAATTGACTGGAAACCGTCGTTTGTAGATACGATGAATAGCTCACTTCACAACAACCATTTCCCTTTTGTTAATTAAACTTCACTCTTTCTAATATAAGCAACTCTCAGATTTCAAAATGTAAAAAACAAACAGATTCCAAGAAATAGAGCCTTTTAAAGGTTTTCATTTGATTAGATCATCCTGACAGTATTTTGGTGAAAGTTACATCAATTCAAAACATTCAAGGCAAGATTTTTGTTAGTAATTTTTCACCCTCATCAATGATGGTTTATAGATTCGTTTTATCAAGTTCTTTTATAGAGTTCTTTTAAAATTCGAAAAACTGAAATAAAGAGAGTCTCAGGCTTTGACAAATTGATTACTGCAATCATAATCAAGTGTTCAAAAAGACAACAACTCTTTGGAGTGGTTTAAGGATAAAGTGATTCACTCAGTTGTGTTTTCATATTTGCAGTATCTTCTTTTTTAGGATCATCTTTTCCAAATCCCAACAGCAGAGAACAGATACATGCCAATCATGATGATGCAGCCTTCAATGCCTGCCTGCGTTTCACATCCCAATTATATACACGAGCCATATCTGGTTTTGGTTAAGGTAAATTTGGAACAAACAGATTTCCTCACACTATTTTAATTGGACGCAGTAATGATCATGCACAATAGTTCATTTTCTCTGTTATACCATGAGAAAAATTAGGTCAGGTGGGAGATCTTTAGTACAGGACATTTTGAATTTCAATTGTTGCAAAGCTAGCATATATCATTGTTGTCTGGTAGCTAGAGGTATTGACTATAAAACAAAGTAATGTTTTGTTCCAATACTGTTGAAGTACAAAACCAGCCTAACTCTGAACTGAAAATTGATGAATTAGGAGTGCTTTCTTTGAAAAGGATACTGACTTCTGTAGTAACATACTGATCTTTAAGAAAGTTTAAATCGTTGATAACTGCTTCTAATGTATTGTTTGCTGCCTCAAGGTTCTTACTTAGCATAGTCTCTGCTTCATCTATACTGTATTCTAACATCACATTTGCCTATGAAATATCAAGATTCACATTCAATCATTCCACCTTAATAAGTGAAAAACTAATTAGTAATATAATTACAAAGTTCAAACATTCATATGATATTTGGTATTCACACCCAGTTCTGTAAACTAGGTTTACTGATAAGCAAAAAAAAACAATAGAATTCAATCTTAAAGCTAAGCAAAATAAACTGTATTATATAGGAAATTTCAACAGTAATTTTGAACTCCTATTCTTACCCCAAGCCACAGGCAAACTTTATCAGTTGGAGGGACACTTGCATTCAGATATATCTGGTCTGACAAGAGGAACTGTGTATTAAGAGTCTGACTTTGTTCCTACAAACATACATGGAGGTTTTCAATGAAAGAACAGGTATTGATGATGGATAGTGATATGTTACTAGTCATGATGATACCTTTTTCTCCTTGAGAACTATTACCATTTCATATGTTGATTTCAGATCTGGAATTTGGCTTTGCAACCTAAGAGAACATAAATGGCATGTTGGAACCTGGTAGATTGGGTGAATGTTTCAACAAATAAAACAATTAGAGGATTAATTGGCTTTTCCTCTCTGTAGTTGTAACGATAAAACACATAAACAACATTACTTGCGCTTCTTTGCCAAAAGATTTAACTCCATGAACTTATATTTTTGATGTTGTTCATCAAGCTGTCTCAAGACACTCTCCGCACCATCACTACCGTCACCCTTCATAAAGGCGTCTACATCTTCCTGCGAAAACAAGATAATTTTTATATCTTGTTAGAGAAATCTTTACACCATACTTTCGAGAATTTTGAGATGCCATAAAACCCAAAACAAAATGTTAGAATGATTGAAAAAATTTTAAAGAAACTGAAAATAGTTCTATTACATAACTCCAGCATGACAGAATTTCAGAAGAGTCACAGCCTTAGAGCTTCACTTGTTTCAAAATAGTATTTTGCCAGTCATGCAGAATATTGAGGATAGCACACTATCTGCTATCAATATACAGTATCAATATACAGGACATGCACATGTTCAGAATGCCAATTTATTTTTCCTGCTAGTACAATTTTAATAATTGACAATAGAGCCTGTGAATTGTCAAAATTGATGAACAGAAACTTAATTATTCCATTTAAATGACATAAAGTTTTGCTGTCAAAGGAATTGTGGAAACTCGATGAGGAACGCAAGCTATATATAGGCTATTATAACAGGCCAAATATAAATGCGTACAAATGTACTGAAAAGGGCGTAGATTATAGTTTATTACTTTATATAGAGCACATTGCAACTTCAGCAGCTGTACGAAATTGTACACAGAAGAAAACATTGACAGAGTACCAAAATTGTACAAAAATGTTCATCATATGTATACCTACCAAAAACGTAGCTTCTGGAATGCCGCGATGTTTTTTTTCCACCACAATTTCTTGATTTACATTTTCCTCTATGCCTTTCCCAGACGCCATTTTTCTTTTCCGTTCGAGCGGAAAAGACCGGGGGACCGCGTGGCGCGCTTTCTTCTTGTAGAAGATCTTCCTCAGATAGAGGAATACTTTTCGTTTCATCATCAAATTTAACCCCAAGGCCCAAACAGTTTTAATTTCTTTTCAACAGCTTCGTGTAAGACTTCCAAAAAACATTATTTTTACGGTGTCTACGATTTTAACATGAAAAACGTCTTTCTGAGATTTTTTTGCAGAAAAACTTAAGACGTTTTTTGAAGGAGTATAGAGTTCTTTTTGAGGAATTTGCAAAACGGAAGTTGCTCTCAAATTTGGGAAAGATGTTTTCCCCTTCTTTGGTAAATTTCGCAAACCGAATCACTTTATTTTAAGTGACTTATGTTTCTACAAAAAAGCGAAATTATCAAGGAAGTAGTAACTATCAAGAAAGAATGCTTACGTTTATTTAATAGTAGGCAGTATGTATAATCGAGTATACATGGGCGAGATGATGCAACGTCTAGAAAGCTTCGAGTCTTGGTCGGGCAATTCGGCGGTAAAGCCCAAAGATTTGGCCGAGGCAGGCTTTTATTACCTTGGAAGGGGCGACGATACTGTTTCTTGCTTTAGCTGTGGGGGCACATTGAATGACTGGCGAGTGGGTGATATACCAGACGAAAGACATAGGAGGTAGTGTATTAAAATATATTTATTAAAACGAAACAAAGCTGCTTTTTGATAGTATTGCGTTTGTTTTTCCAATCGAACCGGAAATATCCTCTGTGCCAATTCTAATATTTCGTATGAAATGTGGTGTTCTTGAGAGTACCTATTTTTAGATATGACGGTTAGGATCAAGCTTGAAGACTAGAGTTAGGATTTGGGAAAGGCTGATGTTTATATTTATATATAGACTAGCAATTCCATGTAATCCTGATCTACTAATACAATCTTAACTTTAATTCTAAACTTGATCCTAAACTGTAATCCTGATCTACAAATAGAATCTTAACTTTAATTCTAAACTTGACCATAAACTTACACAATTTCTAACCCCAAAGGATTAGAGCAAGGTGTATATCTTTTCATCTCACAAAATGTCCAGACACAGGTGAAATGTGTCACAGGGCAGACAATGGCATGGAACAATAATTGGGGGTTTTTTATTCATATATCCAGTTCTGCCCGACAGATTTCTTTTGTAAGTGCAATAGCTAGTTTACAATAGAAATCTGTAAGGCAGAACTAGATATATGAATAAACATCCCCCAATTATTGTTCTAGTTGCACCCTTGAGGGTATAAAAACAGCAATGTTATAACAAATCTCACACATTAAATTCTTGCCAGTAATATGGCACTTACACCTGAGACTGACATCTTTCCATTATTTATCTGTGGTTAATGTCATCACATCAGCTAGGCATAAATCATAGAAATAAACCTATATAAGCCTAATAATTTTGAAGTACAAATGTATCCAACCCATCTTCAAATTCTCCTTAGGATATCAGGGAACCGCTGTGAATATCTGCAACTCAGACTTGCCAGAAATGTGTTGGAGAGCTCTCCAGCACGTTTTGACATAAGATATCCACCCCAGGCCAGTTTTGACCCAATATGTGATGATGATATGGAAAACGAGGACAAACGTCTTCGAAGTTTCCAAAGGAACAATGGCTGGCATGGGGCGGTGGAACCTCATAAACTTGCTTCAGCTGGTTTTTACTACACTGGTATAAATGACCATGTTATGTGCTATTCATGTGATGTCAGCTTAAGATGTTGGAAGCCCAGGGACGATCCGTTGACAGAGCACTTCAAACTCAACCCGAACTGCAGTTTTTTAGCCAGATTTAAAAATAAGTTTTCTGTAACGCATGCAGGTATTGCCATGCAGGAAACTGGTGGGGAATTTTATCGAAGTCAAAGCCAAGATGTGGGTAGGGTTTACCCTACAGCTGCTTCAAACCCCACAACCCAGATTCCCCAACCAATGCCAGCAAACTATCAAACAGCATCAACCATACCAAACCGGCCAGCAGTATCAACACATGAAAACCGTCCACCTGCAGCAACCCCTGTGAACCAGGTGTCTGGGTCAGCATCAAAGTACGCCAGTGAACATGCACGTCTTCACACCTTCATAAGTTGGCCGAAACATTGTCCTGTTCAACCAAAAGAGCTTATTGATGCTGGTTTTTACTACACAGGAAGTGGGGATAGAGTTCAGTGCTTTAAATGTGGTATTATTTTAGCAGGATGGGAACCGCATGACACTCCATGGGGAGAGCATGAGAAGTGGTCCAAGGATTGCCCTCTCGTTAGAGAGCACCTTCGTCGACGCAACCCCTATTCGCCTTCACAGGGCCCTAGGCCCCCACTATTTCCTCAGGAGCAGGTATGGAATACCCCTCCAAATGTAGTGGATCCCCCAGAGGTGGAGCCATCAGAGGTACTGGATGAGATTGAACCATCAAAAGTGGTCAGATTGCCGAAGGAACAAGATGAACCAAAAGTGGTCAGACTGCCAATGGAACAAGGCGAGACCTCTAAAGGACAAGCGCAGAACACAGAAGAGGATATATTCTATATTCAAAAGGCAATTCAGAAATTGATTCAAGAAAAGAGGTATGAATACCAGACTATAACAGAAGCTGTTCAGCAAAGAGTGAAAGCTGAAGGTGGAAAAATTGATAGCATGGCAGAGCTCGTAGATGCAATTGAATCATACATTGGGGTATCAACCAAAAAAGCTACTACAAGTAAGCAACCATCCACAACCAAAGGTGACTCAGTAATGCCTGTCAGCATTGATCCAAGAGGTTTGCACGAGCATGCTAAGAAATTGCAAGATGCTCTCATATGCAAGGTTTGTCTAGATGCTGAAGCAGGAATTGTTTTCTTGCCATGTGGACATTTGGCATGTTGTCCAAAGTGCTCAGAAGAGATCCGGTCAAAAAGGGATTGTTTGTGCCCAATATGTCGTGGTCATATTGCCGGCATTATCAGAACTTTTATCACCTAAAACTGTGTGTTACATATTTCTTCTAAATTACCAGGGTTTAGTGATTGGAAAATTGACACGTTATTAAATTGGATTTAGGTATACTTTCACAATATAATGTTACACTAGCTAACCTATAAAATTTGTATTCATCCACATTACATAATATGTGTTTGCAAAATATAAAATATGCCATGCAAAGGCATTCCTCAATTCTTTATGAATGTGGTAAGCAATATTATATACATGATATTTGAAACATGGTTATAGTTAGAGTTTCCTCCTGTAGTATAGACAGTCCTGGGGCCGGTTGTATGAAAGCCGGATAGCGCTATCCACCGGATAGTGTTTTTTTCAATCGCTTCAAAATTGCCTGTTATTTGCTACAACTTTGATTAAATCTTATTATTCCTAAATCGAAGGTCCTTTTTAATTTAATTGCTGCTTCCAAGCTGAAATTTTATCGCTTTTCGAGCATTTTTAGAACGGTTGAAAAAATCGCTATCCGGTGGATAGCGCTATCCGGCTTTGATACAACCGGCCCCTGATCAATAAGAGATGATCCTTACTGGACCTCTAGGAAGAACAGTTTAGAACTGATAGAGCTATCCAGTATAAATGAAGTTAGTTTAGTTTAGGTTTCCTCCTGTAGTAACACTGGATCAATAAGAGATGATCCTTACTGGACCTCTAGGAAAAACAGTTTGGAACTGATATGTGGAGCCATCAAGTTCAATAAAGTTAGTTTTCTTACTGGGAAATGTATCAGAAATATTCTCAATACCTGGCTATTGTGTATATGTCACCAATATATGTTCACTTAGATTTACTTCAGATTATCATACAACCATCTTGCTGTGCACAGAATATATGCCAGACCTCTTTACTGTGAAGTATTCGAGTTTCAACATTGCAAGAGCAAAAACACGGGTGAATGGGCCCAAATGTAAAACAGACATTAATTCCTCATCCGTTACCAATGCACTCATGTCTACTAAAAAGGAAAATTTTGATCGTTATTGTAGACTAATTGCTTGATTTATGTTGTAATGGGGGAACAATGTCATGTGTTATAATTTTGGTTCAACCATCACTTGCTAAATGACCTCAGGTTATTCAGTATTCCTATCTATTATTCAGTCCAATGCTGAAATATGTTCCTTTTCAATGGTAGAGTATTTTCTTCAGTTTGATTATATCTTTCAATGTAGTTTTCCTAGGCCAGCAATGTGTGGCGACAGTAACGCTGCATTCAGACTCAGTGCCCAGCACTGGTGCCCACCACATTTTATTGTGCCTAAGTTCAACATGATGCTTCCAAATTAAATTGGGCATGCTGCCAATGAACGGGCACTACCTGCAGTGGTAGCACTCAACAAGGGCACTGTGCTCAGCATGTTTTATAAAAGTTTTGGCATTTGGCACTCTGAACACAGCCTAGGAATCCTTGTTACCATGCATTAAGATAAAAAGTAAATGCAATCTGTTTCATTTCACTTCACACCTCACCTTGGCCTCTTGTGTTGATATAAGCATCAGTTTGTCTTATGAGTCGATTGAGTTGCTCCAATGAGAACTGTCTTTGAATACTGTCAGGAAGCCGCTGGTAAATTTCGTAGTTGATATCTGGTAAATGGTATGTTGTTTCTCTGGGCAGTTCTGGTTCTGCTGCTGGTGGGTGTTTAATAGCTCGAGAGGAAATCTGGGTGGGACCTGAGAATACCAGGTCATCTAAACAGACAGGGGTGGGGAAATTTAACTATAGTACTTAACACAACATGTTTGATTTTCAATTATTACCAATTTTGATATAGTTTACCTGGATTCAACCTGCTCACATTGGTAAAACGTGGAGGTGAGGGTGTGCTGATTGCATCATAATGCACAGGAGTTTCAACACTGTTAGCCCTTGTTCCATATCGCTTTATCCCAGGGGTTGCAAAAGTAGGTGGGGTGGGAAAGTCCTCGACAGCAAAAGTATCTTCCTCGCTGGACACATTGTTGGGAGAATCGAAATTTATTGCAGCCTTGATCATAGGAGTTTGGGTCATGGGTTGGGCGGGTGATTCCAGAGTTTCAGGAGTGCTGAAACCAGAATTTTCAGGGTTGGATTTCAAGAGGGGGGTGACAGTGATGGGGGGATGGAAGTCTTCATCGGCTTGAAGGCTGATAGGGTTTCCGTTTTGGGGGTTAAAGTTTTGAATGAACTTTGTGACTGTGGTTGGCCGTACTGGAGTTGCAAGGAAGTCCACTTCTATAATGTTAATTGAGTACTCAATTAGTCATTCAAGTTGCATGATAATAAGACTAACATGGTGTATACCAAGAAAATTGTCACTGAGGTGAAAGGTTTCCATGATTGGGATACCCCAAATATGATACCTTCTGGTTGGCTTTGCTTTGGCAACTCTTCTTCAGGCTCAGAGAGTGCATTTTGTTTTGACTGTTCAGTCTCGGACCTTGGCGATTGATTTTCCTTGTCGCTCGAACTTCTCTGAGGGCTTTCACTGTCATATTGATCACTGCGAAACAAGTGACATTGTACTTTAGTTATCATCACAAGATAATGATATCATCATATGATAATGATATCATCATATGATAATGATATCATCACATGATAATGATATCATCATAAGATAATGATATCATCATATGATAATGATATCAATCACAAGATAATGATATCACAATAATGATATCATCATAAGATAATGATATCATCATATGATAATGATATCATCACAAGATAATGATATCATCACACGATAATGATATCATCACACGATAATGATATCATCACATGATAATGATATCATCACAAGATAATGATATCATCACAAGAGTAGTTGCATATTGACTACAAGTGATTGTATGATATTCCAGTACATATATAAGGCTTCATACCCAGCTTCACTGCAGCCTTCATCAGATGAGTCCCCTTGTAATTCTGGAAGTTTTTCTAAACAGTTGAATTGATGCCTGTTATTGCAATGCACCCACTAATGTAGCTTTACTTCAAGCATGCTTCTCAGGGACAAAATTTGTCAAGTTCATCAACAACTCTAGACTTGAGTAGGGGTCATATTGAGATAAAAATGGAATAAACACAGCAAATTAATTGTTCAATTCACAAAATGCAAGCAATTTTATATTGTTTCCTGTAGTACTTTTGATTGGGACATAATCAACATTTGAGGCTGACCTCCACTCAATTACAGACTAAGATTGTTAGTGAAATCTAGCAGTTGAGGCATCTCAACCGTCTATCACCAGTTTAAGGAGTTCAAAACACAAAAAGTATAACATTTGAAAGAGGCTTCACTATTTTGCTTTTCAGGGACAAATTGTATACCACGCAAGTTTAAAGATAAATTTTATTTGGAGAGATCAAAGGGTTGTGCAAGCCTCCTCCCCCCATCCCTGCCTTATTCATGATCCACAATTGTACCTGTTGGTATTTTATATCCATAGTTTGCCAGATGATTTTCAAGATTTTCAATGTCCTCCCTTAGTTTATGAGCTTGTTTCTTGCAAAGTTCTAGAGTGCTGTCCAAACTATAGTTGCCCCTGGCATCAGCAATGCTTTTACTTGCTTCCTCCTAAACATTTACAACTAAAACTGAATATTTGCCTGGCTAGTTTTATTGCATAAAGTGAACCACAGCACTATTTCATGCATTGTCAAACAATCAAGCCTCTTCATAAAGTACATTCTATGTGCATTCGGTTCACTCCCCATGGACCCCACCTTAATCAACACCCAGTAAAATTATAAAGGTCTGGGACTCCAGGTTAATAAGGTTATAGGACCCCACCTGTGTGATAAACTGATAGCCGAGCTAGCTTGTATCATTAATCGAAAGGCTATGTCTGATTAGTTGTTGCTAAACAGCTAAATGATCAATTAACTAGTTTTTTGTAATACATGTATAGGAATGCCTTAATTGTCATGCACCAATTAACTAGTACTTTGTAATACATGTACAACAATGGTGTAATTTTAGTACTTTTTGGTACTTTGGTAATTTTAGTACTAATTTTAGTACTTTAGTGTAATAGTACTTTTTAATACATGTATAACAATTAGAAAGTGTGTTCTGATCGATACAGGGTTACTCTGATAGCCCCTGTTTATCAACTTTATGTATTACATAAATAACATATTAAATACACAAGCTCTCTACCCTGCTTTCTCTATCACCGATAGCTCTCTGTCCAAAATATTCTCTAGAAAGGCACTTTCCTCCACGATTAAATAATTCGTGCTTACATTAATTTGTGTAATTAATGTAACATTACCTTTATACCTTAATTAACAGTTTAATAACATATCTATTTTTATAAATACACAAGTTCCCCTATAAAATTAGCTTTGTTTATTTTCTCAAAGCAAATTGACATGTATTTATTATCATAACCACATCAAATTACCCTCTCCATTGACCTTAAACCGTTCTGTCTTTCGAAAGAGAACGAACTTGCTCAGTCAAGTGAGTCGACAAGTGCAGTGCAATTTAAATGTGTAAGACAAATACCTTAAAATGTTTCGCTTCTGTTAATAAAGCCTTGAGTTGAAGGCATGCTCTAGCTCTGTTTGTATCTTCTGCATCCCCATCAGCTGGTAAACTGCTTGAGATTTCATCCAAAGACCTTCCCAAACCTCGTAATTTGTCGAAAACTTCAAAATGTGTCGCCATCTTGGAATTTTGAAAATTTGGCGCCCGAGCTGAACGATATACATCAATAGTCGTGACTGGACTGATTTATTTATAGATCGTTGGATCATGCCTTGGCGTGCCTAAAAGCACGGTGAAAGGAGGCTTCGTCCATGATAAGATCCGTGATCTACTTGCTGCCGCTATCGATGACGTTGCTTACGATGTTTCAATTGAACCTGCTCTTGCTCCTTTGACTGGCGAGGTTCTTCCATCCTGTGCAAATTCAACCGATGACGCCAGAGTGGACATTGCTGCGAGAAGTTTCTGGCAGAGATATGAAAAGGCATTTTTTGATGTAAGGGTGTTTAACCCATACGCCTCAACACATCGACGCCAGACATTGAGCAGCTCGTTTAAAGCCAACGAACGGGAAAAGAAGCGAGATTACAACAAACGGATTGTTGAAATCGAGCATAGCTCCTTTACACCGGTCGTCTTCAGCGCCTTTGGCGGATGCGGAAGAGAGACCCAACATTTTCTTTCCTTCTTGGGTGCGAAGTTTGAGAACCTTACTGGACCTCTAGGAAGAACAATTTAGACTGATAGAGCCATCCAGTATAAATAAAGTTAGTTTAGTTTAGGTTTCCTCCTGTAGTAACACTGGCTCAATAAGAGATGATCTTTACTGGACCTCTAGGAAGAACAGTTTAGAACTGATAGAGCTATCCAGTATAAATAAAGTTAGTTTAGTTTAGGTTTCCTTCTGTAGAAACACTGGATCAGTAAGAGATGATCCTTACTGGACCTCTAGGAAGAACAGTTTAGAACTGATAGAGCTGTTCTATAAAAAATATGCTCGGTGTTCCAATATTGTAACATTAGCCGCTATTTTTCTTTCACGTCACGTCGTAGATTTGATCCACCAATTTGTTACCTAAATTTAGTGAATACAAATTACAAAGTATAGGTGGTGCACAACTATTCTCGTGGGACCTATAAGAAAAAGACATTTTCGCCATGTTGGATGACATTTAAATGGCAAAAGAGGAAAATCCTTTGTTAAAATCATCCAACATGGCGACGATGACAAAACGTGCACACCACCTAATAGCCACCTATCGTTACATCCACTTACATTGTGATTCAATAAATAATTAATCATTTACACCCTTTGACCCTAAGTTATGGGAAGTCGATTTAAATTCCAAGATGCATTCCGAATTTCACAAATATAGGAATAATAGGATCTGTTCGCTTCCATTCTCTTCACGTCTTTCATCTTTTGTTCGACTCGAATTAAACAAAGTTTGTTGCAATTTGCATTTTGCAATCTCGTTCTTCCTGTGTTCGCCGTATCCCAACATGCTAAGCGACAGAAGGTGTCAGCGATAGAAAATCCCAGGTGAAAATGAATTTTGGTTAAAAATTCTTATGCCCAGCAAGTGATAAGGAAAAAACATATCAGAATTTATTCTAGTCGGAGTAATCTTTATAGTCACATTTCAAGCGACAACATCAGACTACAAGCTGTTCTATGATTTAAGAGACTGGACAGCCTCAAATGTTCACCGAATCGTATTTGCGATATTTTGACACACAGGAGTAAGGAAATTCTACATAAAAATATTTGCAACCGACCTAAAGGTCAACAAATACTGTCTCGATTACTTTGAGATAAAAGCCAAGACTAGAATACACCACAAATACACCAAGACGCATACCAACAAAGAATTGAAAGAATTTCATTTTTTAGCCATGGTATTCCCGTTTTCGTCCGGATCGTACAATGGTAAGTCATGTGAATGGTAATAAGGTAATTTACCAGCATTCTAGGCTCTACACTATATCTCCGTTTCCGCATGCAAATGACGCAATTGGGCCAAGTTAAAGTAACATAGCACGCAATAGTTGGCCAAATTTTTTGTCTTTTATACCATCGACCTACAGGGTTTAAAAAAACGCGACCGTGGAATCTATCAAGTATAATTCACCTTGATCTCAAAAAACAAAATAACAAATAGTTCTTAATAGCTGCTTGCACGATCTCGGTGAAATAATCTCGGCCGCAATAGTGAAGTCTCGCCCGTCAATAGCATGGGTTTTCATAGACAAAATGAAAAAAATCAATCCTCAAAATCAAAGGTATTGAGCCGGGCGCATGTAAACAGCTCTTTAAAATGTCTTTTAATTGCATGCATTCACAAAGCAAAGCATGCACTTTTATTGAACAAAAAGAGCAACGCGGAAATTATATTGAATAGAATTATACCACACTAAGACACCCAGTAGAAAAGACTGTTCAAAATTCATACGGAGCTAAAACCTTGGTTTAAGAAAATAGACATGGTGGATTTCTGTGTTGAGGAAATACCCCGAGGATTATTCCGGCTCGGTTATACTACAACATAAGTGGGCATTTAAGAATTAAGAGGTGTATAAACAAACAAAAGATTAGCCGGTCACATTTCCGCATCTGACTACGGAAATAGAGGCAGAATTATGCAGCAGGACTATTATACTGAGAGTTGGAGACGGAGACAATTGCAACGCCTTCACTACTGACTGAGCGTCTTAATTGTCTCGGCTGCGTAATTCACTTTAGAGTACAGCTGAAGTAGTATAAATTCCAGTTTTTGGTACAGGTTAAATCGGAAATTTTGTCGCGAAAGCATTCGTGTTTTCCAATGTTTCCTCGAATGTGTCCGCGAAAAACGGGGGGGGGAATTCAGAGTTGTGTATTTCTGAGTTAATTGGGATTTAACTATGCAAACTGTAGTTAAAATTTTTTATCTGACAACCCGGCCCAGCAGTCAAGCTTTGTCTCAAGTGTATTCAAATTGGCAGCTAACTCCTTAACCTTGTCCTTCCCTTAGATGGTCAAATACAAACACTAGAAAAATCGGTCCCAGAACGCAGAGCACACCCTCGCCTTAAAATGCCAGCCCCCCCCCTGTTAAAAGCCACAAAGCCAAAAATGTTCCGTTTTTCTTATATATTAGTTTCACCGAGGGTGAAAGGCAACTTACAACGGTTGAATTTGATCGTCGGCCTCGCGTTGTTTCTATTTGACTTTGGCTCAGATATTTACGTGGCAGTTCAATATTGGAAAAATGGTGAAATTTGGTGGTTTCGGTGGTCAGTTGCCTTTATCTGCATCCCGTCAATTATTGTCAACATGCCAGACATTATCCAATTTGAGGACGTTTTGAAGTGCATATCAGGCGTGCTTCAACTGTCGATTGTTGCTCGTTACAAGAATGCAATTATATCACCAATTCCAGAGCGTACCTATTCGCTCGCAAAGCTGCGTTATTTGGAGACAATCACGGAAAGCGCGCCACAATGGTGTCTACAGGTTTACATCATGCTACGACAGTCGTCTTTCCCATGGTATACCATAGTCTCAAGTATATTATCATTCCTCTCCTTGGTATGGAGTGTCTGGACACTAGAAAAAGAAAGAGCTCAAGATAAAGAAGCCCCTTTTAACTTGCGTGAAACATTCGGTTTACTATTTTGGCATACGTGTACACTAATATCCAGACTATCTGCGATCGTTTTACTCAATTACCTGTCTCGAAATGCTGTATTTTTTCTGCTATTGCATTTGCTGCTGATGTCGTTATATCACGCTTACTTTCAAACATGCGTCTGTAATGATTGAGATGGTAGCGTTTGTGTCGGTATATTTCACGTAACAATTTCACCATTCCTGTCTGCCTATCCCTCCTTCTTTCACTCTATACATTTGAACGATGTTTTTCGCGTCAAAGATCCCTGCGCCCAGATAAAGGTGGCGTATATCTTCATTGTTGTTGAAAACAGCGGTATGGTGGCGTGGTTATTAATGAACGATTTCCCAGGCGCAAAACAGATGGATGTGCTGGAACCAGTTGCTCTTGTGTGCATTGCAGGAGGAACAGGCTTGCCAGCCTTAATTACCTTTATACATTTGTGTTGCATTCGTTGTTATCGTTGTAATTGGCAATGCAGAATATGTTCACTGCAATTTAAAGATCTTTTTCCAAACCTTTTTGATAAGTATTTCAAACGCAGAGAATCTAGTGTTACCATAGAAAACCCGTATTTGCCGGATTTTTCGGTATGGCAAGTATTAAGCCGTGAATCCCACAGGAAATTCTGGTATGAATAGTCACGGCGGGGAATTCCTGCAGGTGTCACGGCTTGTTACGTCATTATTCTTAAGGTCTATTGTCAACATTGTGTATAATATAGAGTAATGTATTTCACAATGTTGACAAATTGCCGAAAACTTTTACGCGTTCAAATTATCACGGAATATTGAGCTGTCTATGATGTGTGGTGTTACACGACATTTTATTGGCTCGTTAGTTTTCTGGAGCCAATAAAACGTCGTGTAACATCAGGCTTCCCGCGTTTGACGTCATTATGAGAAAGGTTTATTATATGGATTGATTTTTTGTTGATTATTACCAGGATGATAAAACCGTACCATTTTTGAAGAGCTACAGAAAACGTATTTCCAGTAGCGTAGCCAGCATGACGATTTATCCCACTATGCTAGTATTCTGGTGTTGATTGACTTTAAAACAATGAATTTCTAAACACATGACATAAACACTTATATTAACTCGAAATTTTCATAGCGAAACAAAATCGTCAGGCTGGCTAAGCCACTGCTTCTTTATGACATGTAAACCGAAAATGAAGGGGCCGGTTGTACGAAGACTGGATAACGCTATCCGCCGGAAAGTGATTTTTTAAACTTGCTTTAAAATCGCCTGTTGTTGGGTATACCTTTGAAATTAAATCTTAGTATTCCTAAATTGAGGATCCTCTTTAATAATTTTTGATTTTTTGTACCAAAGCTGAAATCAGTTTGCTGCTTTTCAAGCATTTTAGAACGGTTGAAAAAATCACTATCCGTTGGATAGCGCTATCCACAACAACCGACCCCGGTGATTTTAATTGCATACTTGATCTAGTCAAAATTTTGTTATCATGCATAAGAACTATATAACTCATATTATGACTAGAACTATATATAACTCATATATAATGATGAATATGAAACGAAAATAATGAATATTTCAATTGATATTGACTAAGTTGTTTCAACCTCAAATTGATTTTTATTTGACAACATTATAGTCCTATTTCTTTCCCGTCATTTCAGATGATGGGCCGGCTGTATCAAGCCGTTGTTTAGCTTAAACGTTGGATAAGTCAAAATAAATAATACTCTTGTACATCTTCTGGAATGAGTCAATTGAATATTGTGCACTGAATGTATAGTTGTAAACAGTATCTTTGTATTAAGGTAAAACACATTTAATTTCATTAATGTAATTATAATATTAAAAGTATTTGTGGTAATAATATATATGCAATATATTTTTAAAAACGACGTTTGTCGGAAAGTCATGCAAAGACGTGGTGGACAATACCGCTCTGTCGGAGAGCAGACTACGTTTTGTGAACTGTATTTTTCGTAAAACAAGAACCTATTTTCTTTGCATGGTGAGAAATTTCTTCAGAGGCGGGATAGTTACACAAAAGATGGCATTCCATAAAAAATTGTCTCCGGGTTGTGTTGTGGTATATTGAGATAACCGCGAGCACCATTTTTTTCAACGGCGAAGGTACTTATGCATTTAACTCACGAAAACCTCGCTGGCTATTGGCTAAATTACATCCTACATGTGTAAATTTTTGTTCAACAACAACTTATTTCATTTTCTTTATCATTTTCACGATGGGTTGCCTTGCTGGTTGACTAAACTGGAATTCGCTGTAATAATTAAGTTTGAATGCCATTGAATGTATAGTATATGCTGAGAAAATTCAAAGTCAGTTCAATCAAGTCAAATTTGCTCAGCAACACTGACCTTGGTGATACTGAATTTTCCGATCTCCTGGCAGCTACCGCAGTTTTCTTCCATTTCCACAACATTGGTAAGTTCTGTCACTTCTGTGTAACCAATTGTGTACTATATTATGATCTATATTCCCTTTAACACGTAGTTGGCTGATAACCCGCAGCTTACTTCGTTTTCATTACACGTATCTAAAGCCCGGCGTTCTCCACTATGCGAATTTATTCGCGCGAACAGATAAAAAGTAGGAAGCGATTCTACTTTTTCGAGGCGAATTTTTCGCAAGCCAATCACATCACCGGATTTCAGATATCGCTTCGCGTCGCGCGAATAATTTCGCTTTGTGGAAAACGGGCATAAGCTACATTGATATCGTGCATGCATGGGCATTTCAAAAAACGGCGACCAACACTGGCATTTAAATAGCCGTTACATTTGTATCCAGCTATGTGGAGCCGGTAATTTGCAGAACTCGGAGTTGAGAAACGAGAAAACGTTTTCACCGGCAGACGAACAGGTTTTAATTGCGAAGAGAAACGAAAGTAAAAGCCTCGTTTTCACGAGTCATGTTTCCCGACGGCTTTTCAGCTATTCGTCTCGAAAAGTGGGTAATTAGGGCAAATATTTAGCAAGTCATACCAACATTTGTGTATACTGCGTGCATTCGTATAAGGCAATAGGGGTCTATGCTTAAAAGCTTCAGGTGCTGTTACACTACGCAATCTTCCTTGCAACTTGCAATGCAATTATAATTTTGAGGAATGTTAATTTGTAAAGAGTGTTCAACATCCATAAGCAAAAGTCGAATTCCAGGAAGGACGTTTTCTCATTTAGGAACGGAGAGGCATTGAGGCGGCGCAGGTTTTTGTGATAGCTACGCACTTCTGCAAGTGTGTTTGCCAACAGTCCCCAATAATAGCCAACAATATTGCTGTATGCATGGCGTGCTATACACATTCCTAGCGTTGACGAAGCCAGATTTGTTAGCGAATTGCAATGCAGTTCAAAATTCCACTGTTCTACGGTTATTTATTCGTTCATTTATCATGTTATATAGTTACCCTGAAGATAGAAACAACACGAAGGATGGAAAACATAAAGCATAAGTTAAGCTTGTTTTTCGGGTTGTTTTTGTTTCTATTTGACCACGGTTCGGACATTTACGTTGCAGTTCAATATTGGAAAAATGGCGAAACTTGGTGGTTTTGGTTGACAGTTGCCTTCATCGTTCTCCCATCAATCATTGTCAACATTACAGCCATCGTTCAACAGCGGAACATGATATCGTTCATTGCAGGCTTTTTTCAACTGTCGATTGTTACTCGTTACCTAGAGGCAATTTTCCGCTATGACCATGTCACTCCCCGTCGTATTTACTCGCTCGCAAAGCTGCGTTATTTGGAGACAATCACGGAAAGCGCGCCACAATGGTGTCTACAGGTTTACATCATGCTACGACAGTGGTCTTTTCCACCATTTACAATAGCCTCGAGTATATTATCGTTCCTGTCTTTGGTATGGAGCATCAGGACACTGGAAAAAAAGAGAGCTGAATTTAAAGCAGTCGATTTCAGCCTGTGCGAAGCAATCATATTTCTGACTTGGCAAATGTTTACACTGGTATCAAGAGTTTCTGCAATCGTTATTATCGGTTACCTATTTCCATATGCGCTCCTTTTCCTGCCTTTCCATTGCTTACTCTTAACGCTGTTATTTATTTGTTCCTGTCAACGTTGTAGCGAAGGTAACGCAACTGGTTTTTTAGAATCCTTGCTTCCAACATTTCTGGCCACCTATCCATCTATCTATCACCCTGCGAATTTGGACGACATGCTTCCCATCAAAAAGCCCAAAGCGAAGATGATCTTGGCGTATATCTCGATTCATGTAGAAAATATTCTGATGGTCGCGTTATCTTCAACGATTGAGCTTCCAGACGCAAAACACATGGATGTGTTGAAACCAGTTGCTATTTGGTGCCACGCTGGAGGAACAATGATATCTTTCATTTTCTTTCTATTGATGATGTGTTGGAAGGACAACGCGACCCTGCTCAAGCAAGCAATGCCAAATATACCATGTCCATGCTGTCCTGATCAATGTCAGCATTTTCAACCACCTATCCAAGGCCCTGAGCATTCTGATTACGGGACTGAACAATATTCAGGAATTCAAAGGAACGAAGAGAATACACCTTTGTTGCCTCCTGACAATTATTATACTTGATTTCGCAGTATTCAATAATTATATATGCTTCGACGCACGGAAAATTCAGTAACTTCAAAAACTTGGTAGCTTCGAGACATTTGTATATTAGCTGACGCGGAAACAAACGATGTTTCCTATATAAATCATACCTTTAGCTTTACACGCACATGGCATGCACAGACATTACGATAATTTAAAGATTGAAAGCATCACTAGGTATATATAATCATACACTAGGAAAACGCGCCTTCTGACAACAGATCAGCGGTTAAATATAATCGGACTCAGTGAGCTCAGTGAGTTCTACTACAACTGGACGATAACTGGTGATAAACATGATAACAATTGGTTGTATAATAAAATGATATAATTTCGTTTTCTTGCCCATCCAGTTCGGGGAAAGAGGGGGAGGAAGAAGGGGGAGGAAGAAGGGGGAGGAAGAAAGAGGGAATAAGGAAAGGGGGGATGATGATTGTTCATTAACTACATGAATAGTTTGGTTGACTGTTTGTCGGAACAGCAAAAGTGGTGTACAATGCTGCACATCAGTCGGGGAGCACTCTGCATTTTTTTAACTTCTCTTTCGGTGGAAAAGAAAATTCCTTGCATGGAGAGCAATTGATTAATCCCTTCAGGGGGGGAGAAAGATAATTGAAGAAAACTTGACATTCCAGATATATCAGTTTCCATGTTCTGTTATGTCGTTGACGTTGTACAGTTTGTCAACAAAAAACCCTGGGAACGAAGATGGATCTGAGCAGCATTCTTTACTGATCATTATTTTTTCTCGTGCACGATGGGTTGCCTTGCTGGTTGACTAAACCTGAATCAATCAATTTTCAGTTTGATAGTACAAGCAAAAAGCTTTTCAACAACTGATTCACTGAGTCAAAATTGTTCGACGTATACCAGCAAAGAATATAAGGAACTTCACTGATCTACTGGTATTTCCGCTTTTCCCAGATTTAATTTCGGTAAGTCCTGTGTAATTTAAACAATGTTAAATACTACAGTTGAGTTACCACCACGTAGTCAGATGCAAGTGAAAACGTAGCTAACTTTTCAGTTGTGGGCGCTTTGCATTTGGATCCCACATGCATAACAAGTTGTACCTACTGAACAGATAGTTATATATATCTTTGAATTTTAAACGTTTAAGCGACGAAATTGTCAGCCGGTTACATTTTTGTCGTCTAGCTCTTTAGAAACGGGGCTTAGCGAGTACAATCATGTTTCCTGAAGGTCTTTCCAATAATTCGGCTCAGAAAACTACAACCAAAGGGATTTAGTGAGTCCTATATTAACGTTGTGTATATATCGGCTGGGTCGGGCTGTCATGTGTAACGTCCACGTCACAAGGCCAACTGATATAACTTCAAGGCCAACTGATACAACTTTAATCCTCTGCCCAGGACTATCACAAGCAATCTGCTTAAACTAGTAGACTTGTTTTTAGTGTAAATCAATGACACAGCTCGTCATTGTCTGTGCATGTAAGTACTCGTCGTGTACAAATCAAGTCGTGAACAGTTTGCCAGCGATTTAGTTCAAGATATATATTATATCGGTTATAATGCGGGTCATATAGTGCATTATTGCAATTGACGACTTTGACATGCAATTTTATCCTCCCGCATTCTGTGTAAAACAATGCATTGTCTTTTTTCCCAGTAAACTTTGTTTTGGATGCTGGCAGACTAGGATATATATAGTGTCGGGTATAAACATTCGTGTTAAATGGTTTTATGTTTGTCCACCCGTGAAATCGTTGCCACTGAAACGAAAATGGCTTGTCACGAAAATCGTTGCCAAGAAAACGAAAACGAAAGTGTTTGCATATTCATGAACGCTTTGAACGCTGGGAATGATGCGAAAGCATGATTTCCGTGGATGCATGGGACATAGCGTTTGCTACGAAACATAGTAGAATTTCGCCTCATCGTTTCACCCGCTTTAGATGATTGTACAATATACTACTAAAACCTTGCTTGCTGTATTTCTACCGTTTTTTAAAGGGCCAGCTAACGGGTTGCATTGCTTTAAATTGAAAGGACATCTTCGTCCTCCACCGCCTCGTATGAAAAGGAAAGAAGCACGGGTGTCCCTACCCCCTCCCTTATTTCCATGAAATTGATCACACGCTACTGAAATAGCTTCAAAGCTGATAAAATTTCCAAAATTCAAATGTCTCACTTTCTATTATATAGTTTGCTTCTCTTGTTATAGTCTTCCTGAAGGTCCAAAAGATGGGGAAAAATCTGCAACGGTTGAATTTGATCGTAGGGCTGGTCTTGTTTGTATTCGACTACGGCTCGGACATTTACGTTGCAGTTCAATACTGGAAAAATGGCGAAATTTGGTGGTTTTCTTTGACTGTCGTTTTTATCAGCGTTCCGTCAATCATCGTCAACACAACAGCCATCATTCAAGTGATAAACGCTTGGAGGTGTATAGCAGCTCTCCTTCAACTATCGATTGTCATTCGCTACTTCGAGGTAATTTCGTCGCCTATCGTCTATGGAACCTACTCGCTCGCAAAGCTGCGCTATTTGGAGACAATCACGGAAAGCGCGCCACAATGGTGTCTACAGGTTTACATCATGCTACGACAGTGGTCTTTCCCATGGTATACTATAGTCTCGAGTGTGTTATCATTCCTGTCATTGGTATGGAGCATCAGGACACTGGAAAAAGAAAGAGCTGGCGCTTACGGAGACGATTTCGGCTGTTGCGAAGCACTCGAGTTTGTGATTTGGCAAATGTTTACACTACTATCAAGACTTTCTGCAATCGTTATTATTGGTTACGTTTTCCGATACGCGGTCTTTTTTCTAGCAGGCCATTGGATTCTAATGGTGATATATCATATTTTCTTTCAAAGAAGGGACGAAGTCGAAAATTTTTTAAAATTCTTGTTTTTTTCATTCCTTTCAAGCTATCCCTCTCTGTTTCACTCCGTCTCTTTGAAAGGAATCCTTCCAAACAAAAGTTCAAAAGCTGGGATGATTGTGGCGTACATTTTCATCGTCGTGGAAAACATCGTAATCGTTGTGTTGTCTTTAACGATTGAAATTCCTGACGCAAAACACATGGATGTGTTGAAACCATTTGCGTACGTGTGCCTTATAGGAGGAACAGTGATATCATTTATTTTCTTCATAGCAAATGTGTGTTTAGAATATGAGTAGAGTGCTCGACTACCAAAGTATAGAGCTAATAAGACCGGATATAAAATACAATAAACTTTGTTTACTTCATATGATTATGGTATATATAAAATTTCAAACGTTAAACATATATAAACGAACCATGCAGTTTGCATTAGATTTATATTTGTATAAATTGTTGAATCAACGCGCAATAAACGTTAATTTCTGAATTCCTTATTCTTCTTCACGATGGGTGTCCTTGCTGGTTGACTAAACCTGAATTCATCCGGCATTATTCAAGTTTGATAAACAAGCAGAGAGCTTTTGAAAAGCCGGCTCGTTGTTGAAATGTTTGACGAATACTATAGAAGCAACTTCAACTCTTTGTATCTCCGTTTTTTCTCGGATTTAACCTTTGTTTGGTAAGTTCTGTGTAATTTAAACACTGCTGAATACTACCAAGCATCGTTAAGTTACCATTGCGTAGTCAGATGCAAGTATTTCCGCATGCAGTTAACTATGCAGTGGTTTGGGTGCTTTAAATTCAACTGAATATAACAAGTTGTAATGACTGAGCAGACAGATACGTGTGAATTTTAAACGTCTTAACGACCAGAAAGGTTCAGGGGCCAGTTGTTCAAAGCTATAGGTTAGTGCTAACCTTGCTTCGGTTAAATTCAAATCCAGCTTTTTAGTGATATGTGCTTCTGATGAACCACTGTTCGTTTTAAAACTTTAGAACTAAATATGACTTCTATCGGTCTAGAAAATATTCATGAAATAAGATATTGAACTTAAGCTTCAAATCAAGTTGTGAACAGTTTGCCAGCGATATAGTTCAAGGTATATATTATATTGGTTATAATGCGGGTCATATAGTGCATAATTGCATTTATTGCAATTGACGACTTTGCATGCTGGCAAACTATAGTGTCGGGTATAAACATTCATGTTAAATGGTTTTATGTTTGTCCACCCGTGAAATCGTTGCCATGCACGGAAAGGAAAATGGCTTTCCAAAAAGGAAAAGTGTTTGCATATTCATGAACGCTGGGAACGATGCGAAAGCATGATTTCCGTGGATGCATGGGACATAGCGTTTGCTAAAAAACGTAGTAGAATTTCGCTTCATCGTTTCATCCGCTTTAGATGATTGTACAATATACTAAAACCTTGCTTGCCTGCATTTCTAGCGTTCTTTAAAGGGGATTAAGCTAACGGGTTGCACTCCTTTAAATTGAAAGGGCATCTTGTCCCCCACCGCCTCGTGTGAAAAGGAAAGTAGCACGAGTGTCCCTGCTCTCTCCCTTATTTCCATGAAATTGATCACACGTTAAATAGCTGCAAAGCTAATAAAATTTCCAAAATTCAAATGTCTCACTTTCTATTATATAGTTCGCTTCTCTTGTTATAGTCTTCCTGAAGCAATTCCAAAGGATGGAAAAAAAACTGCAACGGTTGAATTTGATGGTGGGCCTGGTCTTGTTTCTGTTCGACTACGGTTCAGACATTTACGTTGCAATTCAATATTGGAATAATGGCGAAATTTGGTGGTTTTCTTTGACTGTCGTTTTTATCAGTGTTCCGTCAATCATCGTCAACATAACAGCCATCATTCAAGTGATAAACGCTTGGAGGTGTATAGCAGCTCTCCTTCAACTATCGATTGTCATTCGCTACTTTGAGGTAATTTCATCGCCTATCGTCGATGGAACCTACTCGCTCGCAAGGCTGCGTTATTTGGAGACAATCACGGAGAGCGCGCCACAATGGTGTCTACAGGTTTACATCATGCTACGACAGTGGTCTTTTCCATCGTATACTATAGTCTCGAGTGTGTTATCATTCCTGTCATTAATATGGAGCATCAGGACACTGGAAAAAGAAAGAGTTGGCGCTTTCGAAGACGATTTCGGCTTTTGCGAAGCATTCGTGTTAGTGATTTGGCAAATGTTTACACTAGTATCAAGACTTTCTGCAATCGTTATTATTAGTTATGTTTTCCGATACGCAGTTTTTTTTCTGGCAGGCCATTGGCTTCTAATGGTGATATATCATGTTTTCTTTCAAAGAATGGGCGAAGATTTTTTAGGATTATTGTTTCTTTCACTCCTTGCTACCTATCCCTCGCTGTTTCACTCCATATCTTTGAACGACATCCTTTCGTGCAAAAGCCCAAAAGCTGAGATGATTGTGGCGTACATTTTCATCGTCGTGGAAAACATCGTCATCGTTGTGTTGTCTTTAACGATTGATATTCCTGACGCAAAACACATGGATGTGTTGAAACCAATTGCGTATGGGTGTCTTATAGGAGGAACATCAATATCATTTATTTTCTTCTGTTGTTTTATATATATAACAAATACTTCTTGGATCAACAGCTTCTCTACGCACTAGGCATCTCACGCAATTTTTTTTTCTCACTCCCCGACACAGCTCACCCAAGCCAAGTATAAATGCCTGATATAAATACATAAGAGATGCCTGCGGAGGAGGCTAGCGCCGCACCTCAATAAAAAAGAAATAATAAGCGCCGCTGTTGAATAAGCGCCGCGGCGCCTATTTAGAAAGATATAAATAAACGCTAAAAAATGTAGAAATAAACGATTCTTTTCTGTAACCTCTACCAAAAGTTCATTCGATTCATCGGCCTTCAGAAAATAATCTATTTGCTCACTTTGAAATAAGCGCCGCTGTCGAATAAGCGCCTTAAATCGATATTTGCAATAACCGCCGCGGCGCTTAATCGATTATTTACGGTAAGTATGTATGAGAAGTATCTGTGTGAAGGACTACGACGGGCTAACCTGTTCCATTCAGTGAACTGTAATAAATAACTGGAACGATATCTCCTTATTGTTTTCGTGAAGTCAAAAAACACGCGTGTCTGGAGGTAAAGTCTCGCCAGTCTCGCAAATTTTTGGCTTCACTCGCGGGTGACTCGCGAGATCACTGCAGATGCAGAGCGAATTTGAAAGAAATTTGATTTTTTGTTTGTTTCATGGTTTTAAATGTTTTTTTTTATGGAATTATAATGGTATTAATCCTAAATTCAACCAGGTGAATTGCTTTACGAATTACAACTGGAGTTGCCATCATCGGATTGGAAACAAATTCTCTTAATGGAACAAGTTTATAGCGATGTGCAATTTTGACAACAATATTTGTACGAAACGGATATCCTAAAAGCTAAAATTTCATCGCAAAATACACTTAGTAGACATTGTTGAATATTATAAGTTTATGTTTATTTAATTTCAAGTGACTAGATGGCAAAAAAGTTGTATTAATTGTAAAGTAAAACAAATATTCCTGCATTGTTACGCTAGGCTCTACGCTTTTTCCTTGCAAAGAACCGTCTTACTCCGCATTTCCAAAAATAGGTCCATAAAATGCATTCTACTAACGTCAAGAATGTCTCAGCCGGCTGTAAGCACTAACAAAATCAGTTATTTAACTCCCTAAAAAAATTTTTCGGGGAGTTTTTATCAAATTTACGAAATCACAAAAAAACATTTTGTTTTGGCCGTGTTTGTTTTTGCGTGTTTTTGGGGTGACTTAGCTTCAACTTCCTGTCAGAAGGCAGTTCCAGTTATATTCATTTCACTGGTTCCATTAACTATTAAGTATATGTTTAGAGGACCTCGCCACAGAAGTAAGCTATTGATTTTATATTGTTGTTTAGGTAATATTATTAGGGGTAATTTAGATCACACGTGCGAACTTGATCGGAACTACATATGCATGTTTTTTTTTTAATATTCTTTGTATTAATTTGTTCTAATTCTAGATCGAATTGTTTAATATAATTTATAATAAGATTTGCGAGTTTCCTTGGACATGAGCTTATTCTAAAATTGTGCTAACCGGTCGTCTTGGACCCGACGAAACACTTCTTAACTGTTGTAGATGTAAGAGTGTTCAATACAATTTTCGTAGAACGATATTCATCTTGGATGATTGCAAGATGCATGAAACTTTAAGTAGCAACTAAACTGTTTTAAGATTAAATAAATAAATATATATATATATATTAATATATATATATATATATATATATATATATGCATCTACATGCATAGTTAAATCCACGTCAACTCAGAAATACACGACTCTGATTAGCCAATTCTGCTCTTTTAAAACTACATTCAAAAGTAAACTAGTCTAGAGTTTTATACTTTGAGTACGAGATTGAACCATATGAAGGAATTGGATCTTTGTGCGAAGGGTACACAGGTTTGCTGTCTGCGGGCAATGTCAATGTTTATGGCTAATTTATCCCAATTGCAGAGTCCTAATGAACATTTTTTGGAAGGGGAACTGAAAACTGTTTTAGACGATGTGGTGTCATGCATGCTTTTTGGATTACAGGGAAAGCCACATTCCAGGCTCTAAAGGTGACATTTCTTCCAAATGACGAACAGCAGCTTGATAAGGACAAATTGACAATGACAATTGATAATGACAAATTTTTGCGAGTTTACTAAATGTGGGATGTTCCGCTTTTTCTAAGGTATGCTAAACATTTTCTCTACTATGCAACTGGCCTGTTAACAACGACATTACACCTGGATACGAGGCTGATCAGTGGAGACCTAGCAAGTGGGATGCTTACAAGATTGATATCTCGAGAAACTACAATTAAGGAATAAACAGCGAGATTTTGAGTGTTTTTCAAAAAGTATCTTCACACGCACATGTCACAAGTGATACGCACCATGCAATAATTTAAAAGCGTCATTATATATGTATGTATATATTAAACTTACGTTTTCTTTGAATAAGTTAATGAATTCTTCGTCTTTATCTTACACTAGGATACACGCGCCTTCTGACAACAGATCAGCGGTTTAACTCCATCCGGGGGGGGAGTGTCCTCGATTTCCTAAAATTTGCTTACCCGCACTCATTGAACTCTTATACAACTGGAGCGATAATCGGAGAAAAAGACGATATGTTTACCTGAAGCCAAAATAGTTTTTCTGATTTTTGAGCTTAAATACTCAGCCGTAAACATCAGCTAGTAAATCATACTAAAGCTATTGAAAGTCGCAATTCGGTGCAGAAATTTCAAGACTTGAAAGCAACTGCTATTTTACACAACTAAAATTTCAGTCAGGGGCGTAACTAGAACGATAATTGGGGGGTGAATATTCATAAGTTTCTTCTGCCCGACGGATTTCTATTGTGAGCTATTGCACTTACAAAAGAAATCCGAAGATATCAGTCTTCAATTTCTCCCCCCCATTAAGTTATCGTTTCAGTTATAATAGAGATCACCGCCCGCATCAGCACAGTGTGATACGCCTTAAAATGGCTCCTCCAAGGGGACTAGGTCCGATTCCTTGGATTCAATTTTTTGTAATAAGTGTTCGCCGACCAACTCGAAATTTTCCTTCCACGTTTCGCGAAGAAGTGTTTGAACAGATGGGTCTATCTTTCGCGAACTTACATAATCGAAAGCCGTCTCCTCGTCTGGAAATGAAATACGATTTTAACTTGGACATTTTCAACCTGCATGAGCACCAGGGAACAGCGTGGCAACGCATTCAAACAACTTAATTAGCATTAAATGCGGTATAGCAACAGCCTGAAATATACAAAAACATTCCTCGACGTTTCGACCTAAGGGCCTTCGTCAGGCGTCTTAAGCCCGTTTTTCACGAGGCGAATATATTCGCGCGAACAGATAATAAGTAGAAAGCGTTTCTACTTTTTCGCGGCGAATTTTTTCAATCACATTACATTATTCCAGATATCGCTTCGCATCGCGCGAGTGTCTAGTGGAAAACGGGCTTTGGCTCTTCCTGACGCCCTGAAAGGCCTTTAGGTCGAAACTTTGAGAAGTGTTTTTGTATAATTCAGACGGTTTTTAGACCATTTTTGGCAGACCTTTGGCTGCTTGGCAGGAAGTACAGCAATAGACACTGTTTCCCAAGGCCTGTCGAAAAGTTTAGATACGCATGAAAGAAAGCTTACCAAGATATTCCCGCAGTAAATCTGTCAGCACAATGGTTTCTTCCTCTCCAAATGCTTCGTAAACGTTGCACATCCTTTCACTAAAACAACACGCACGCTTTGCTGGTGAAAACATTGAACATTGCGTCGCAGGGGCCGGTTGTATCAAGCCCGTTTAGCTTAAACGGCGGATTAGTCAAAATTTAATAACACTCTTACATCTCTCTTGAATGAGTTAACTTGAATATTGTGCACTGAATATGTAGTTGCAAACATTATCTTTGTATTAAGGTCAAAAATATTTTGTTCGCTTGTTGAATAAAACGGCAGAATTGCTTTCTATTTTGAACTTATCCACCGTTTAAGCTAAACGGGCTTGATACAACCGGCCCCAGATCTGCATTGAAAATCTGTATTATGTGTATAGGCTTATTTTCGATCTGGATAAGGGGTTGCAACTAGCTAACCGTCGACCCAAATGTGGTAGTTTCCACCCGTAATACAAAATCATCTGATAGGTTAATACCCTAGATTCAACGCATCTGATTGGTTGATAATCTAAATTCAACGCATGTGGCAGATATTTCTACCACAGCTTCTTTGGAAACACTTTATACACATTCGATCTATGATTCGATGTACCTACAACAAATTAGGCGTTCTCTTACCCATAGTTCCATAACGTTTGACAAACCATTGCCGCGAGCTGCCAATCAATTTTGCCGAAATCTCTGAGAACATCGATCAGCCTGCAATGGAGATATCGAAAGTCAACCATCAGGAGAGGAATTGCTGGACAAATCCGTTGGAGTTATTGATTATAGATTACATACTTCTTAATGCCGCCTTCCTCTTTGAGGACTGAACGTTTCTCAGGGTCGACCATTAAATTGATTAGCACGCCACAGGCTGTGTACACGATCTCATGACTGCCTGAGTCCAGCAATGATATCATCATCTCATCAACTGAAAAAAAATTATCATTGTATAGACATTCCACTGGACCTCTAGTGAATAGTGATGGCACTGATTCAAGACTGCTTAGGCAATCTAGTATGGAAGAAGTGATTGTTTAGTTTAGGTTTCCTCCTGTAGTAAAACTGGGTTAATAAGAGATGATCTTTTCTGGAAATCTAGGAAGAATAGTTTAGAACTGATAGAGTTATCCAATATAAATAAAGTTAATTTAGTTTAGGTTTCCTCCTGTAGTAACACTGGATCAATCAGAGATGATCCTTACTGGACCTCTAGGAAGAACAGTTAAGAAATGATAGAGCTATCCAGTATAAATAAATTTAGTTTAGTTTAGGTGTGAATCAATAAGAGATGGTAGGAGGTCCACGCAGCTGTTCGTAGTTAGTGGGGATGGCACTGCAAAAGATTTTTACGGCATACCTTTGTGGCTGGATAATATGTCTCGAACATCTTTGAAGCGAGAAAAATTTCCAAAAACACGCGAGACCTCGAGAATGGCGTCCATATTATCGGCTACCAACATTCCCATCAATACTGCGGAAGAGTGAAATACCGTTACCATGCATGATACAACATTATCCCCCATTATCCTACATTATCCACATAATGCTCCTTAAGGTAGGTGCGTCAACATCACCGATATTACGAGGATATTTTGAAGGTTAAAAAAGCATATCATACATTGTGTTACAGTGCTACGTTTCACTGCTAAAGCCGTGTTTTCTTCAGCGTAATAGGAAAGATTGCTGATGGTAGCGATAGTATTAAGAACCAACTCATCGCTGGTAGTAAAATCTTTGACTTCTAAATAGAAAAGGTGATGATGCTTACGATAAGATTATGTCACAGGATTGCAAAGAACTACCTTATCATAAGTCACCGTACCTAAGACTTGCACTAAAAGTTCTACTATTTCCATGTTCTTTGCAATATCAGGCCCAACTTCGGGATGAATTGAAAGATTTGCTATGACTCGTACCATCTAGACAATAAGATGTAGTTTTTCATATATATTACAAGGATCGATATTTCAAGGTTTTTATACCAGAGGTGTATGAATCAAGGTGGGTGGAGAGTTGTAAGTTCCAAGCGCAGATCGCCCGTCCACGGAGCGCAAGCTAATAGCTAGGGGTATACATAATAATGATCCTTGTATATAGTTAAATGAAATGAAATTTATTTAGTTTCACACATAAAGCAAGTTCTGTACATTAGCTATCCTAATACTGAACTTGCCAGACACAATTCAACATACAGATAAATAACACGATCAACTGGCAAGGCAAACGCAACAGTTACACCAATTACCGTGTTCTACATAAACATTAATATACGTGCATTCATATAAAAAACCCCTTTGCAATCAAATCCTCATGCAGAGCGTTCCAGACTCTAGTTCACTATGAGGTAGAATGTTTGATATGGTGATATGGTTTACACTAGTATTACCTTTTGCACTCAACGCGCAACGTTTAACGCCTTTCAGCGGGTCCTACTGCAACATACAATACGCTACACTCATTACTGAAAAATGATCGTTGAAAATTACTTCGAAGCAATTATAGAATACCCTGCCAACTCAAAGCTTACATACTTTTTGGACGTGGCTACAATCCCGTCGCTTCCTAAACAAAACCTACACATGGGCAAAGTTATTTATCTATAACATATAGTGTCGTACATTGGCTACCCTATACTTACGTGGCTAAACCTTGTCTGTAACTAGCTACCTTTGCTACGTTGCTACCTTTGCTACGTTGCTACCTTTGCTACGTTGCTACCTTTGCTACGTGGCTACCTTGGCTACGTGGCTACCTTTGCTACGTGGCTACCTTTGCTACGTGGCTACCTTGGCTACGTGGCTTGGCTACCTTTGCTACGTCACGGGCTACCTTGGCTACGTGGCTACGTTGGCATCAAAATTGGGGGTATCGGTAAAAGAGTTCAAATAGATGAAACAAAAGTCGGCAAGAGAAAGTATCATCGAGGCCATTTAGTCGAAGGCCAATGGGTTTTCGGAGGCATATATAGAGGAACAATCAAGAAATTCCTTCATCGTACCAGTAGAAGATTGGTCGGCCTCGCACAAACTTTAATATTGCCAGGAACAACTATAATATCCGATTGCTGGAAAGGCTATATAAATCTCGAGAATTATGGATACATACACAAAACAGTCAATCACTCACAAGAATTCGTTAATATTGAAGGTGACCACACAAATAAAATAGAAGGGCATTGGCGTCAATTAAAATCCAACCTACCTACACATGGGCGAAAGAAAGACCATTATGCCTCATACTTCGCAGAGTTTATGTGGAAATATAAGCATCACGATGACGACTGCTTCCTAACCTTTCTCCAAGACGTGAAGAAACTATACAATCCTACAACTACCGAATAAATGTAACTCAACCTATGAAATGATGCAAACAATTTCGCTGGAATAACTATCTTGTCTCAAATTTGATAAACAATAATATGCATATTAAACGATATCGGTATTACTTATTGAAGTACTATGAATTATTATTATATTAAGAATTATTATATTACTTATTAGTACTTATTGAAACTACTGTGTGTAATTACATGTAGCCCCGTATCCACGTAGCCAATTATATTTATATGCTGTTTCTTATGCCAGGGTATTCTATAATTGTACCATTACCTCGGTAGTTCTCCCTGCATGAATTCATACTAAAAGCTTTTTTCCAAGAGGTCATACCCCCTTCCGCCTCTTTACAAAATGCAAATTTGAGTGGGACATAACTTTCCTTCATTAAGTTGTAAACAATCAAATAAGGACAATCATTGGACGAAGGGTTGACACCAACACTTATCTCATATCCACAGGCCCAAAACGTCCCTGAGTTTAACTCGCTGCCATTTGCTAGAGCAGTATTATAATCCTCTTCCGTAACAACGAATTTGTACTGGACGATTAATTCCCTAGTGGTCTTCCTTGATACCGGTCCACTTTCGAACAGTTTCTTTTGCTCCGGAGGTAGTGCATGGTAGGTTAAACCACCGTGGTAGTACTCGCTGAAGTTGCGCATCTGTGTTGCAATCGGATGGTTTTTGATCACGTTGTAAAGGTAGTCAATTGTGACCAGTTTAAATCGCACCACAGCCAGGAGGTCTTCGGGGGGCTCCAAACGAGCAGGATCTACTTCGTTTGTCTCCATCCAGTACATCAAGGCATGGAATACGGTGTTTTCTGATTGCATAATCAAATCATCGCTGCTCAGGATATATTTCAGACAAGCTTCTGACAGATTGCTAAATTTTTCTGAATGCCAGTTCTCATCTAAAGGACTAAATTTTTTGACAAGGACGTACCGGACGTAAAGTCGATAACACGTCTTCAATATCGTCCATATTGAGGAGATATTTCATGGAAGCTTTGAAGGATTCCATGCAGAGATTCTCATTCCGAGTATTAAAGATTCCGGAGATTCTCATTCCGAGTATTAAAGATTCCGGAGATTCTCATTCCGAGTATCAAAGATTCTGGAGATTCTCATTCCAGGTATTATCTTATCACGAAACATATAAAAACTTGCGAAATTTAATATTCGTCATTTCATGTCAAAACCACTGGTCAAAACAGCTACAGCCTGAGAAGATCTTTGTGGGGCACACAAGAAGATAAAGTTTAGTGGAACGTTTATTGGTACGTTTTTAAAACACTTCATAGTTTAAAACAAAAATATTAATACACTGGGTATTTCGATATAAACGAACTTAAACATTCCGTAAAGTGTTATATTTTGAGACGAATTAGCGACAATCAATGTTCAAAAGGCTTATCCCACTTGTAAGATTGCAGGACGTGGAAATATTAATCCAACGCGAGAAATACATTGCGTTATATTCAATTTCTTACGCCTGTATTCTAAAAGCTCACTCACACTCAAACTCATTGAGTGGGAGATCTTAATCCTCTCATAACGTTTCAATGGCGGTATTCCGAGTCGAATAGAGGTTTGATTTTCAGTGATTTACCTTATATCTTTCCATCTATTCAGAGAAAACTTTCTCATTGATCAGCATTAACAAAATTTATATGTCACACTCAATGAGTGTGAGTGTGAGTGAGCTTTTTGAATACAGGCGTTAAAGTTTGTTATGCTCCTATTTGGCTTTTTCTACATTATAGCTAGTTCCAATTTAAATAGTAAACGCAATTAATTTTGTTTATTTAAAGTAGGTATTGCAAGTTTACATATTATGAAGTATTTCCCCCCAAATTAGGTAGCTATTTTCTCTTAGTAGCGTTATCTGAGGTATTTATACAATTTCCAGCAAAGTGTGTATATTGAGACGAATTAACCATTTTATTTTCAAGTGGCAAGAAAGGGGAACTAGTTGACACTGTTGCCACGTCGTACACTATTTGAACATGAAAGCGGTCAAGCAACAATAACACAATTAAAAGGAACCATTTACAATTAGTGAACACATAATTACACACTTTTATAAGGTATAGGGTTTTAAATGAAAAGTCTTGTATGAAATATGACATTTAATTTTTTCCTCAGCCTGTTGATTGTTTATTCTGTTGAAATGCTGTTATATACACTTAAATTTGACAGCATTGCCATTGGGATTGATTAGCTGCGCAATGCCGATATATTTCCCTGTAACTTTAGTAGTTATCTTTGTGTCCATTCAGCTGAAATTTGAAATCAAAACTTAATTTTTAACAGTATTTTGAATAATTAAATTTTAATGATTAAATTTTAACGCTTACGAAAACTGAATCCTGGACATTAGGAGTGTTATATTACTTGCATGATTTACCCCAACTATCTTTTGTTCCCAAGAAGAATTAATTCTTTTATACCTTGCTTTATTAGCAGTTATTAACCGACGTTATTTCAAATAATTACATATTACAAATTGCCTTTTCATTGGTTTTTCTATCCATCATTTTAATGAGTTCTAGTCTGTCACTTTTTCATGGAAAAAATATTTCAAGGGCGCATAAACTATGTGATGTGTTCCATTTTCTTGTTTATAGAGAAGATGTCAGTTAGCAAAATGAAAACATCCAGTTCTGAAGTTACCACTTTGAAAGAAAGTTTGGCAGAAATACCAATCGACATGCGCGATTTCTCCTTAGCGATGCGATCGCTTTATTCCGACAAAGCTGTTGGCACCACCACCGATGCTGCCAGGAAATTCAGGGCGCTTCGAGATGACACAAGGCAAGATGCTGTCGTATTTTTAAAATGCATTCTGCCTATTTCCACAAAGTTTGTTATGTCCATAAAAGCCTATTTCGAGTATTATGAAGCTCTCACTTATGAAGAGTGGTGCGATATGCTGGCAGACATTCTCGAAGAGACAACAACTTATAAGGAAGTTGCGCAGGCAGTTGTTGGAATGTACGAAAGTATCATGGTTCCTTTAAAGAAACGCGAGGACGAGGCGAAGCTGCTTATTACAGAATTCAAAGATCTTCAAGTAGAATTTGAAAGGCAAAGAAAAGCATTAGAATCAGCGGCCAATTCTAAGAGGAAATGGTCTGCTTTTCTTGCTTTCGTTCCTTTCGTTAATGTAATTGCCACCCCTATATTGGAAGCTCAGGCAGATTCAGATCTGGCAAAAGCAGTTGCAGCCGCACAGCAATCAAAAGTCAATGAAGCTGCAACAATCGTTGTCGCCCATACCTTGATACCTGCTCTTTCCAACTTCATCAATGGTTTGACAAAAGCAGCCGGATTCTTTCAAGTCATGGAACATGAATTGGAATTATTTGGCGAGAAAGCAGAGAAGGGCGTGGCATCTCCCAAGAGGCTTCATTACAAAGTTATGAGTAAAGAAGCTAAAGAAATTCAAAGTCTTTGTCAGGGATTTTATGCGATACTTCCTGCAGTTCGTACCGACTTTGAAGCAATTCCAGCTGAAGGAACCGACCAAAACTATGTTGACAAATGGTTGGAAAAAACGTTGGACGAAATCCAGAAGAAACGAAAAAGCACATTTGAGTTTATCAGGGATGGCTTCAAAAAAGCCCTACAGTGACATTTCAGTTCAGTGTTAATTAATTAGATTCATCGCAGGCGGAACGAAATTGCAGTCCGACTGTACTTTCTTTGTCACACTTTTTACGTATTGAGAATAAAAATAGTTAACTTGAAAATCAAGAGTCTGAGTTGTTATATTTTAAAATCTTTACATATTCAAGTTACTAGAATTAGGTATACAGTACATGCCAAATCACATGAAATCACATTTTTGCGACAGCAAAAAGTGCTCCACAGTACAACTTTTTTGAAAGAAACATAAGATGGGGAATTTGAAGATATAAAATTAATTTCAACTTACATTTCTCCGTCATATAACGTTTTTCTTCGTTGATCTCGGTTTTAAGCAAGCCGATTCAAGCCCATATCTCAAACAGTGCCGTAAATCCTTTGGGGGGGGGGGGGTTGGTTCACCCCGCCAACGTTTAAAGTGAGCAGTTTTGTCGGGCAAAAATGAGTACTAAAAAATCATCGGGCATGAAAATGTTTTGAACAGAATTTAACATTTCGAAAATCCAAAGGTGAAACATTGTTACTACACCTTTTCTGGCTAATTCTGATTTCTGTGGTGTCAGCTCATATCATTTTGTGTATCATATTACATTACAAAATTCCCGACAAAGTCGTATTGTAAAAAGCCGATTTTGTTAGTAATAAAATACGACATTTATACGTTGTAACTCGCCTTTCATAGAACTCACCTTTTGAAATACCGCAGATTTCCGCCGGAAATAACATCGTTGTAGAAAACATCGTCATCGTTGTGTTGTCTTTAACGATTGATATTCCCGACATATTCCTGACATTCACATGGATGTGTTGAAACCAATTGTTTATGGGTGCATTATAGGAGGAACAGTAGTATCATATCTTTTCTTCGCTCGTTACAATAAAGTTTAGAAATGTTAACTTATAAGTTATCAAAAGTCTTCTATTTCATAGAGATTATAAATTACACTAGTGTTATTTATAATCTCTATGTTCTAATAATATATACTGAGGCACCGACCTCTATCGTCTGAATTAGATCGATCATTCTAAACCTTAAAATCGGTGAGACATGAATATATATATATATATATATATATATATATATATATATATATATATATATATATATATATATATATATATATAAAACCTTAAATGTGAAACATATAAATCAAGCAGTTTGCATTAGATTTATATCTGTATAAATTTTCGTCCAATCGACATCCAATAATAAAGGAATACTAAATGGTTTTTCGTGCAGGATTGCGTGATACTGCACGCGGGAAATTGCGAGACTTTCGGAAAGCGTGAAAAAGCACTCGCCGTATTTTTCTTATAAACTGATATAACTACAATGAAACGACGGTCAAATTTCCCGCGCAAAGCGGCATTGTAAACTTTGCAGTACAGGATTGTTTCATACTGCACACCTACAAACCAATCAAATTACGTGTTTCATTGTAGTTATTATATATAAACCTTAATTTCTGAATTCTTTATTCTTCCTCACGATGGGTGTCCTTGCTGGTTGACTAAACCTGAATTCATCCGGCATTATTCAAGTTTGATAAACAAGCAGAGAGCTTGTGAAAAGCCGGCTCGTTGTTGAATTATTTGACGAATACTATAGAAGCAACTTCAACTCTTTGTATCTCGGTTTTTTCCCGATTTAACCTTTGTTTGTTTGGTAAGTTCTGTGTATTTTAAACACTGCTGAAGGCTACCGAGTATCGTTGAGTTACCATTGCGTAGTCAGATGCAAGTATTTCCGCATGCAGTTAACTTTGCAGTCGTTTGGGTGCTTTAAATCCAACTGAATATAACAAGTTGTAATGACTGAGCAGACAGATACGTGCGAATTTTCAGTCTTAACGATCAGAAAGGCTCAGGGGCCAGGTGTTCAAAGCTATAGGTTAGCGCTAACCGGCTTTTGAACATCCGGTCACAGAACGTTAGCGTGACATATTAATGTTTTTTTCTATCGGCTGTCACGTGTAATGACTAATGTCCACGTCACAAGGCAAATTCACACTGAGACAACCATTATAGTTTTCTGCGCAGGACTGTTGCAAGCAATCGACCTACTACTATATATATCCGACTTGTTCTCGGTGTAAATCAAGCACACAACTCGTCTGTGCGTTGTGTAGTCACATGCAAAAATCAGGTTGTAAACAGCTAGGTTGTCAACGAAAATCTTGGTCAAAGACAAAGTGTTGGTCATATACACTTGCGGTCAAAAAGAACTGCTCAAAACAAGTTAAAATGCTCTCAAATGAACGTAACTGCATGTCCCTCTAACAATATATACGAGTAAATATAGACTAGATTACATGTCTGTCCCTACTGCCCCCCCCTACTTCCATGAATCTGACTACTGAATAACCAGGCGTTGGGTAAAATCTAAAATTCTAATGTTTCAGTGCTCCTGAAGTTCTAAACGATGAAATCCAAGCTACAACGGTTGAATTTAATGGTAGGCCTGGTCTTGTTTCTGTTTGACTACGGCTCAGACATTTACGTTGCAGTTCAATATTGGAATAATGGCGAGATTTGGTGGTTTTCTTTAACCATGGTTTTTATCAGCGTTCCGTCAATCATCGTCAACATAACAGCCATCATACAGGTGATAAACCTTTGGAGGTGTATAGTAGCTCTCCTTCAACTATCGATTGTTGTTCATTACGTGGAAGTACTTGTGTCGCCAGACTCCGAGCGTATTTACTCGCTCGCAAAGCTGCGTTATTTGGAGACAATTATGGAAAGCGCGCCACAATGGTGTCTACAGGTTTACATCATGCTACGACAGTGGTCTTTTCCATCGTATACTATAGTCTCGAGTGTGTTATCATTCCTGTCATTAATATGGAGCATCAAGACACTGGAAAAGGCAAGAACTGCTCATGAAGGAGACTATTTTAGCTGTTGCGAAGCATTCGTGTTCGTGATTTGGCAAATGTTTACACTAATATCCAGACTTTCTGCAATCGTTATTCTCGGTTACGTTTTCCGATACGCGGTTTTTTTTCTGGCAGGCCATTGGATTCTAATGGTGTTATATCACGTTTTCTTTCAGAGAATCCTTCTAGATTTAAGTCTTTTAAAATTCTTGTTTTTTTCATTCCTTTCAAGCTATCCCCCTTTGTTTCACTCCATCTCTTTGAAAGGCGTCCTTCCAAACAAAGGTTCAAAAGCTGAGATGATTGTGGCGTACATTTTCGTCGTCGTAGAAAACATCGTCATCGTTGTGTTGTCTTTAACGATTGATATTCCTGACGCAAAACACATGGATGTGTTGAAACCAATTGCGTATGGGTGTCTTATAGGAGGAACAGTAATATCATTTCTACTTTTCTGTTTATTATTATATATACAACATGTTTATTAATGCTACTTATTATTGCTGTATCAAACGCCTATACAATTGATTGAGGTACTATACTGCGTACAATCACAACTAGACAGGGAACAGTTGTATAAAAGACTAGTTTACTTTTGAATGTAGTTTTAAAAGAACAGAATTGGCCAATCAAAGTCGTGTATTTCTGAGTTAACGTGGATTTAACTATGCATGTAGTTAAAGAGTTTTATACTTTGAGTACGAGATTGAACCATATCAAGGAATTGGATCTTTGTGTGAAGGGTACACAGGTTTGCTGTCTGCGGGCAATGTCAATGTTTATGGCTAATTTATCCCAATTGCAGAGTCCTAATGAACATTTTCTGGTAGGGGAACTGAAAACTGTTTTAGACAATGTGGTGTCATGCATGCTTTTTGGATTACAGAGAAAGCCACATTCCAGGCTCTAAAGGTGACATTTCTTCCAAATGACGAAAAGCAGCTTGATAAGGCGTGGCGTGAACAATATATAGAGCATCTGAATGGCTTCAACCATTGACCTATGCCCTCGACGCACATCCTGACTTTAAACGCGTTCTTTACGCTTGCTGACGCCAATTTCAATGACTTCGAAGTTTTATAGCGAGACTTTAGAAACACGGAGAATACTGATTTTCACCTGCAGAGTTGGCGGGCTTTTATGACAGAAGTATGCAAAATTTAAAGGGCTATGGCTTTCCGCATTTTCCAATATTTTGCGGCAAAATTTTGCGAGTTTACTAAATGTGGGATGCTCCGCTTTTTCTAAGGTATGCTAAACATGTTAACGACATTACACCCGGACACGAGGCTGATCAGTGGAGACCTAGCAAGTATGGCGCTAACGGGATGGATATCTCGAGAAACTACAATTAAAGAATAAACAGCGAAATTTTGAGTGTTTTTTAAAAAGTATCTTCACACGCACATGTCACAAGTGATACGCACCAATAATTTAAAAGCGTCACTATATATGTATGTATATATTAAACTTACGTTTTCTTTGAATAAGTTAATGAATTCTCTGTCTTTATCTTACACTAGGATACACGCACCTTCTGACAACAGATCAGCGGTTTAACACTTTCCGGGGGGAGTGTGCTCGATTTCCTAAAATTTGCTTACCCGCACTCATTGAACTCTAATACAACTGGGGCGATAATCGGAGAAAAAGACGATATGTTTACCTGAAGCCAAAATAGTTTTTCTGATTTTTGAGCTTAAATACTCAGCCCTAAACATCAGCCAGTACATCAAACTAAAGCTATTGAAAATCGCAATTCGGTGCAGAAATTTCAAGACTTGAAAGCAACTGCTATTTCACACTCCTAAAATTTCAGTCAGGGGCGTAACTAGAACGATAATTTGGGGGTGAATATTCATATATTCAGTTCTGCCCGACGGATTTCTATTGTGAGCTATTGCACTTCCAAAAGAAATCCGAAGATATCAGTCTTCAATTTCTCCCCCCCCCCTTAACTTATCGTTTCAGTTATAATGGAGATCACCGCCAGCATCAGCACAGTGTGAGACGCCTTAAGATGGCTCCTCCAAGGGGACTAGGTCCGATTCCTTGGATTCAATTTTTTGTAATAAGTGTTCGCCGACCAACTCGAAATTTTCCTTCCACGTTTCGCGAAGAAGTGTTTGAACAGATGGGTCTATCTTTCGCGAACTTACATAATCGAAAGCCGTCTCCTCGTCTGGAAATGAAATACGATTTTAACTTGGACATTTTCAACCTGCATGAGCACCAGGGAACAACGTGGCAGCGCATTCAAACAACTTAATTAGCATTAAATGTGGTATAGCAACCGCCTGAAATAAACAAAAACATTTCTCGACGTTTCGACCTAAGGGCCTTCGTCAGGCGTCTTAAGCCCGTTTTTCACCAGGTGAATATATTCGCGCGAACAGATAATAAGTAGGAAGTGTTTCTACTTTTTCGCGGCGAATTTTTTCGCAAACTAATCACATCACATTATTCCAGATATCGCTTCGCATCGCGCGAATGTCTAGTGGAAAACGGGCTTTGGCTCTTCCTGACGCCCTGAAAGGCCTTTAGGTCGAAACATCGAGAAGTGTTTTTGTATATTTCAGACGGTTGTTATAGACCACTTTTGGCAGACCTTTGGCTGTTTGACAGGAAGTACAGCAATAGACACTGTTTACCAAGGCCTGTCGAAAAGTTTAGATATATACATATTCGCATGAAAGAAAGCTTACCAAGATATTCCCGCAATAAATCTGTCAGCACAATGGTTTCTTCCTCTCCAAATGCTTCGTAAACGTTGCACGTGCTTTCACTAAAACAACACGCACGCTTTGCTGGTGAAAACATTGAACATTGCGTCGCAGATCTGTATAGAAAATCTGTATTATGTATATAGACTTATTTTTTATCTGGATACGGGGTTGCAACTACCTAACCGTCGACCCAAATGTGGTAGTTTCCACCCGTAATACAAAATCATCTGATAGGTTAATACCCTAGATTCGACGCATCTGATTGGTTAATAACCTACATTCAACGCATTTGATTGGTAGTTGTTTTTTAAATGGTAGCGGAAGTATTTCCTTATAGGGAATAGTTAAAAGATATTTCTACCACAGCTTCTTTGGAAACACTTTATACACATTCGATCTGTGATTCGATGTACATACAACAAATTAGGCGTTCTCTTACCCATAGTTCCATAACGTTTGACACACCATTGCCGCGAGCTGCCAGTCAATTTTGCCGAAATCTCTAAGAACATCGATCAGCCTGCAATGGAGATATCGAAAGTCAACCATCAGGAGAGGAATTGCCGGACAAATCCGTTGGAGTTATTGATTATTGAATACATACTTCTTAATGCCGCCTTCCTCTTTGAGGACTGAACGTTTCTCAGGGTCGACCATTAAATTGATTAGCACGCCACAGGCTGTGTACACGATCTCATGACTGCCTGAGTCCAGCAATGATATCATCATCTCATCAACTGAAAAAAAATAATATCATTGTAGACAGTTTACTGGACATCTAGTGATAGCACTGATTCAAGACTGCTTAGGCAATCCAGTATGGAATAAGTGATATTGTTTAGTTTAGGTTTCCTCCAGTAGTAACACTGGATTAATAAGAGATGATTCTTACTGGACCTCTAGGAAGAACAGTTTAGAACTGATAGAGCTATCCAGTATAAATAAAGTTAGTTCAGTTTAGGTGTAGTAACAGATGGTAGGAGGTTCACGCAGCTTTTCGAAGTTAGAGGGGATGGTAGGGCAAAAGATTTTTACAGCATACCTTTGTGGCTGGATAATATGTCTCGAACATCTTTGAAGCGAGAAAAATTTCCAAAAACACGCGAGACCTCAAGAATGGCGTCCATATTATCGGCTACCAACATTCCCATCAATACTGTGGAAGAGTCAAAGAATACATCCCATATTATTCTACATTATCCCACATTACCCTACATTATCCACGTAATGCTCCCTAAGGTAGGTGCGTCAACATCACCGATATTACGAGGATATTTTGAACGTTGAAAAAGCATATCATACATTGTGTTACAGTGCTACGTTTCACTGCTAAAGCCGTGTTTTCTTCAGCGTAATAGGAAAGATTGTTGATGGTAGCGATAGTATTAAGAACCAACTCCTCGCTTGTCGTAAAATCTTTGACTTCTAAATAGAAAAGGTGATGCTGCTTACGATAATATTATGTCACAGGGTGGATATGCTTGAAGAGGATTACAAAGAACTACCTCGTCATAAGTCACCGTACCTAAGACTTGCACTAAAAGTTCTATTATTTCCATGTTCTTTGCAATATCAGGCCCAACTTCGGGATGAATTGAAAGATTTGCTATGACCCGTACCATCTAAATGATAAGATGTGGTTTTTCAGTGAATACCAGACGGTAAGACTAAAGGCCCTGTTACACGGTGCAGTTTTTCTTGCAACTTGTAATGCAATTCTACTTCTAAGGGATGTGAATTAGTGAAGAGTCTTGCAGAAGAAAAGTGCATGAAGCGTAATAAACACAAACGTTTCGTTGTTCCAAAATATACATCTCTCAAAAGTAGGATTGCATTGCAAGATATTAAATGGATATTAAGATTAGTAAAAATCTGTTAAAAGAAATCAACTTATTGCTGCGGAATTCGTAGTTCTTCATTTTAGAAACGTGTCTATATTAGAGAGGTCTCTATATATCACAAGGGTCGATATTTCAAGGTTTTTATACCAGATAGGTGCATGAATCAGGGTGGGTGGAGAGTTGTAAGTTCCAAGCGCAGATCAGCCGTCCACGGAGCGCAAGCTAATAGCTAGGGGTATACATAATAATGATCCTTGTATATAGTTAAATCAAATGCAATCTATTTAGTTTCACACATAAAGCAAGTTCTGTACATTAGCTATCCTAATAACTTTGCCAGACACAATTCAACATACAGATAAATGACACGATCAACTGGCAAGGAAACGCAACAGTTACATCAATTACCGCATTCTACATAAACATTAATATACATTAATATATAATTTCACTCAAATTCTCATGCAGAACTTTCCATGCAGACTCCAGTTGTTCTTATGAGGTAGAATGTTGGATATGGTGATATGGTTTACACTAGTATTACATTTTGCATTCAACGCCTGTTTAACGCCTTTCAGCGGGTCCTACTGCAACATACAATACGCTACACCCATTACTGAAAAATGATCGTTGAAAATTACTTCGGTAGTTCTCCCTGCATGAATTCATACTAAAAGTTTTTTCTTTCCAAGAGATGCCCCCTTCCGCCTCTTTACAAAATGCAAATTTGAGTGGGACATAACTTTCCTTCATTAAGTTGTAAACAATCAAATAAGGATAATCATTGGACGAAGGGTTGACACCAACACTTATCTCATATCCACAGGCCCAAAACGTCCCGGAGTTTAACTCGCTGCCATTTGCTAGAGCAGTATTATAATCCTCTTCCGTAACAACGAATTTGTACTGGACAATTAATCCTTTAGTAGTCTTCCTGGGTACCGGTCTACTTTCGAACAGTTTCTTTTGCTCCGGAGGTAGTGCATGGTAGGTTAAACCACCGTGGTAGTACTCGCTGAAGTTGCGCATCTGTGTTGCAATCGGGTGGTTTTTGATCACGTTGTAAAGGTAGTCAATTGTGACCAGTTTAAATCGCACCACAGCCAGGAGGTCTTCGGGGGACTCCAAACGAGCAGGATCTACTTCGTTTGTCTCCATCCAGTACATCAAGGCATGGAATACGGTGTTTTCTGATTGCACAACCAAGTCATCACTGCTCAGGATATATTTCAGACAAGCTTCTGACAGATTGGTGAATTTCTTTGAATGCCAGTTCTCATCGAGAGGACTAAATTCTTCAACAAGGACCGGAAGTAGAGTCGATAATACGTCCTCGACATCGTTCATGTTGTGCTTTACCTTGATCACGTCCATTACTTTTGTGCTTACGTCAAAGGTAGTGACGCTCGTCTGAAGCAGATGTTTGCATTGCTTGAAGACAAATTCCAAGTTGTACTTGTGAGCCAACTCTATGACGCCAAGCAATTCGTCAACCGACTTATCGTTAAGCACGTCATTGCGGTACAAAGCCACAGATTACCCAGATGTCTCACTTCTGATTAAAAAAGCGTAAGCGCTTGCTCAGCAAGTGACTAGAGGCATTCCCCCCCCGAAAATTCAAAATGGAGCCGAACTATTTTATACATGAAAAAAAACCTCCTCTTATTTGCTAGAGAAGGCGACTGTGTAGTTACGTTTGTGTCTGAATCCATCATCATCTATACGCGCTTTGGAAAAGTGAGTTTAGAGTACCTCGTTTTCAATATTGTACGATTGTTTTATCTTTTTTCGATTGTCGTAGGAGCGGAAAATTATAAGCAGTAGAAATCTCCATAATTTCAAACATATTTCTTTTAAAAAGTGTTTGAATATCTTTACATTGAATGGAACTTCCTGTACAAATCAATAAATGTACATATATTCCGACTCATTTGACATATCGTGCAGTTTTTCACTTCAATTCAGTTCGTCTCCATTTTGAAATTTTATTTCGGGGGGGTGAATGCCTCTAGTCACTTGCTAAGCGTGCGCAGAAAGCGATGCGCAGTGACGAATCGCTTACGCTTTTGAGTCAGAAGTGAGACATCTGGGTGTTAATCTGTGACAAAGCTTCGAGGAGAATGAGATATGCATTTTCTTCGGACTCTGAGATCTTCATATGAACCTCTTTCTCTCGACTTTCTTTCATACCACTCGAGCAAAACAGCGACCGGAAGTATGCACTCTGGATAGCGAGCCAGAAGCTGTGAACATGTAACTTATGCTGACGGAGAGGTTCTAAAATCGAAGATTCTAAAATTTGTTTCGTCTCGGTATTCTGCCGGTGACCTGTGGGTGCTTCCTGGTCGTTATGTTGCAAAGGGCTCTTGATTTTCTGTTTGCTTCTCTTAGTTTCATTTTCCTCGATTGCTGAATCATCTTTAGGGAAGCTGGCCGTTTCCCAGCCGTCTTGCATAACATCAAACACCAGCACTCGGTCGCTCAACTCAGGCATATTGTATTCGGGCGAACACATTTCCAGTAAATCGCGAAGCAATAAATCCGTATCAGACATATTGCAATTCCGTCTATATCACGTAGTTCACAACGGTAAATAATTTGTAAAACTGCAATGCTAAAATACAATGTCACCTGCGTATCTCATATGACCTCGAAGCCATATATGGTATTGTTGACTTAAACTGGCGGAATTATCATTCACGACAAAGCTATTCATGCATTGTAATTATTCTCAGAAAATCAACATCTTAGCAGGAAATCGTTTCAAAATATAATATGTAGTATTTAAAACACAGGAGGATATTAGATGTCATAAAACGCGACTTGTGTTTAAAACGCGAGTGTTTTAAATAACTACTTCAAAAACGCCGCATTCATGCGAGCAATAAATTTGCTCTTTCAAAAAATTTCGTTTTTATCGCAGTCTGAAAAAATTAGTCTAAAGCGCAAGTCGTCCATTGCGATGAAAGTTAATTTAAATTATAAAATATTCAGACAGGTGATCCAATGTGAGAGTTCAAAAAAATCACATTTTCATAAACAAATGTGCACATCTTAAAACCAAACCTTATTTAGGACATCCTCTGTGTTTTCTTGTTCTGCACTAGCCTCGTTATTATCTTCGCCTGTCTTTGAGGCCTGTGAATCAAAAGTTTCGAAATGAGAAAACAGATTATAATATCGTGAACACTGAGCATATTCCGTGGTGTGGCTGAGCGCCAACAAAAAATCAAGGGTTTTTTTCAAGAGCAAACTCGGTCATAGTACAGGAATTGACCCAAGACCATGTATTACATAACCTTAAGGCCTGTTAATGCACTACTGCATTGGCTTTAGTGGATTTGCTGTCCACATACATTGCAAGTCAACAGACTATAAAACATCCATCAGAAGTGAATTGGATCCGACAAAATTGGATGGTGTAAACAGACCTTTAGTGTCCGTGGTTTTATCTAGCTGGGAACATTGAACTGCTTTAATCAACGATTAAATTCTAAAATATTTATCGATCTATCATTTAGGTTACTTCGAATAATAGTAATATAACAATATAACAATACAATATACTATACGGTATAACAGACATATCTTACCTGGATATTTCTCTCAAAGAAAGACTGAAATACCATGAGAAGATATTTCGTGGAAGCTTTGGTGAAATACAAATTATGTCGCGTTTCGTCGCTCTTCGTCGTCAGATTTCCGAGAATGAATAGCACTCTGACAACAATTTCCTGAAAACGGGAAAACATGTTTACACTCTCTACACCTAGAACAAAGCGTAAGGTGAAAGTAAAAGTTCAGGTTGAAGTGCAATGGGTCTCCACTTCGCTCTTCCACCGCTCGAGCGCTCAACCTCTCCCCGCCCCTCCCCCCCTTCTGGGTGGTAGCCCCTCCCCCCCTTCTGGGTGGTAGCCCCTCCCCCCCCTTCCTGGGTGGTAAAAACACTAAATATTAGATTTCTCGGACAGCATGCATGAATACCTGTGACTTTAAGTGAATCCCCAGTACCCGAAGAAACGTTTCAAAGCAGAAGGTTACTGAACTAACAGCAATACAACACTCGTCGTATAACGTCATTTTACTGGAGAGAAAAAAACAGAAACGTTTTTTAAGCAACAAAGTGAAGATATGACACAAAGTCTTTGAACATCTCTTATGCATTTTCATCTAGAGAGATTCCTTTACCCTTCATTTAGGAGCTGTCTCGCTTTTAGTTCGCCGCAGGAAATCCCCCCGGCAGTACCTCCACGAGGCTATATGAAGCAGTCTTGCAACTAACCTTAAAATGCGGCAAATGTTCATGACCACGTCGCTGTCAGTTTTAAATATTTTTAAGATCGCCATGAGTTCAGGAAGGAGGTTCCTCTTCAAAAACACATCACGGCTGCCATTCACGTCTGCTAAGTTTCTCAGAACGGCTGTTACCTAAGAAGTATGGTAGAGTGACATACAGTATGCCGAGGACATCTGAGTCGTCCCGGTACCACAGGTCTGTATTTTCTGCCTGGAATGCACCTTAACCAGCATTTCTCGACGATGAAATATCACAACGTGTTGTATCCACAAAAATGCATACGTGGGGCTGGTTTTATTTATTCACAAATATTGTAAAATATTATTCACAAAAGTCATTTTCACCGATGTGAAATAGTCGGGATATAAATATGTACTATTCAAATTAGTCATTATTGATAACAATACTGGTAGCAATACTATAATACATCAACCACCTTGACATGTTAACGACAATTACGACTGTAAAATAAAAACTAGCCCTTTCTTGCAATGGCTAACGACATCCTGTCGTACTTACCGGTAATAAAAGGTTAGTATTGTTCTTCTTTAACTTCACTTCACTAGAATTCTAGAGAAATATATTCGAGCATACATTAAACAACACTCAATTTGTTCATCTGAATACATACATTGTTCTCAAATTTAACAGTTTACTAATTTTAGTATGCCTATCATTGCTTTGCAAGGTTGATCTGACATGCAAATTGTTTATGGTGTTGCCTGTTGGTACAGTATTACAGCAGAGTAATGTATCTTACCTGTTTAACTATGGTACTAAGGACAACACCCAAGGCTTCCACACAACCACTTGTGACAATGTTCTTGCGAATAGCTGAGTTTCCTGAGAGAAGTTTTAGCGCCCCAACGCAGTATATCCAAGCTTCGTATTTTCCACTGCCATCAAATTTTGACACTTTATCGATCAGCAAATCTTATGGTGACAATAGAAATCGCTTAGAGTTTTTACAATCAGATTTGCAATTTTACCACAACACACCATAGCATATCACACCACACTATACCATACCATACCACAACACACCACACCACACCACACCACACCATACCACACTACACCACACCACACCACACCACACCACACCCCCACACCACACCACACCACACCACACCACACCACACCACACCACACCACACTACACCACACCATACCTGTGACTTGTTCTTCCAGAAACATCAGATCATTGTTTTCATCCCGGCTGACTTTAAACATCAACTTGAAAATATTTTCTTCGTTATTTTCTGACAAATTAAACTAAAAAAAAGAGGCCGTCATTTTATAAACAATCACCAAAGGCCGGTTGTTAGAAAGCTGGATAACACTATCGGACAGTGGTTTTGCATGTTTGAAACGGTTTAAAGAATCACTATCCGGTAGACAGCGCTATCCAGGCTTCGTAATACAACTGTCCCCAGGGGCCGGTTGTATCAAGCCCGTTTAGCTTAAACGGTGGTTAAGTTCAAAATAGAAAGCAAGTGTATCGTTTTATTTAAGAAGCAAACTAAATGTTTTCAACCTCAATACAAAGATACTGTTTACAACTACATATTCAGTGCACAATATTCAAGTTGACTTATTCAAGAGGGGTGTAACAGTGTTATTTAATATTCAGGTCAGCTAGTACTCGGTGAGAAAACACACTGTCTTAACATACCATCAAAACAATCTTCGCTAATCTCAGATGCAAATGTGAATCTTTTATAGCCAAATAACTAAACAAACACTTCAATATCTGTACTTTAAAGCTGGACCCCTCAACCACTTTCGTCTCGGGCAAAATGCCTACTTTCTTCAGTTTGTTTAACAGTCTTTGACAATTTTCACACAACAAATTTGCGTCTTCTTGTTGAAGATTATCGTCCATTTCTTTCAAAACAGGTCGAACAAGTTCTTTGTATAAACGGGAGAGTTTTTTCGTTTCCAAAGCTAAAGCATCTTTTTCATTCGCGCCTTTTTTGTTCAGAGTTTCGTTGGAAAGTCGGCCCGTGGTCGGACTGCTTTTTGCACGATTATTGTCCGATACATCCCGAGGGGAGGTCCGTTTAATAGGCCCGCTGTGTGCTCGTCGCGTGTCGTGAATATTATCACCTAGTTTTTGTTTTGCGATATTTCCAGTTGAGCCTCGTCTCGAGGCGACATCGTGAGGTCGGACAGGTTTAGGAGGCGATGGCAGAAGGCCGCCATTGTCGGAAGAGTGAAAGTCGAGTGGTTGTAACGGATCAACACTCTTTGACAACCTCACACTTTGTTTTACTTTGCGTTCAATCTAACAAAAGAAATTATGATATTCTTTCATGAACTGAACTAACTTTATTTATACTGGATAGTTCTATCAGTTCTAAACTGTTCTTCCTAGAGATCCAGTAAGGATCATCTCTTATTGATCCAGTGTTACCTCAACTAAACTGACTTTATTTGCACTGGGCAGCTCTATCAGTTCTAAACTGTTCTTCCTAAAGGTCCAGTAAGGATTATCTCTTATTGATCCAGTGTTACTACAGAAGGAAACCTAAACTAAACTGACTTTATTTACACTGGGCAGCTCTATCAGTTCTAAACTGTTCTTCCTAGAGGTCCAGTAAGGATTATCTCTTATTGATCCAGTGTTACTACACAAGGAAACCTAAACTAAACTAACTTTATTTATACTGGATAGTTCTATTAATTCTAAACTGTTTTTCCTAGAGGTCCAGTAAGGATCATCTCTTATTGATCCAGTGTTACTACAGGGGGAAACCTAAACTAAACTAACTTTATTTATACTGGATAGTTCTATCAATTCTAAACTGTTCTTCCTAGAGGTCCAGTGAGGATCATCTCTTATTGATCCAGTGTTACTACAGGAGAAAACCTAAACTAAACTAACTTTATTTATACTGGATAGCTCTATCAGTTCTAAACTGTTCTTCCTAGACGTCCAGTAAAGATCATCTCTTATTGATCCAATGTTACCACAGCAGTAAAACCTCAACTAAACTGACTTTATTTACACTGGGCAGCTCTATCAGTTCTAAACTGTTCTTCCTAGAGATCCAGTAAGGATTATTTCTAATTGATCCAGTGTTACTACAGAAGGAAACCTAAACTAAACTAACTTTATTTATACTGGATAGTTCTATTAATTCTAAACTGTTTTTCCTAGAGGTCCAGTGAGGATCATCTCTTATTGATCCAGTGTTACTACAGGAGGAAACCTAAACTAAACTAACTTTATTTATACTGGATAGCTCTATCAGTTCTAAACTGTTCTTCCTGGAGATCCAGTAAGGATCATCTCTTATTGATCCAGTCTTACTACAGAAGGAAACCTAAACTAAACTAACTTTATTTATACTGGATAGCTCTATCAGTTCTAAACTGTTCTTCCTAGAGGTCCAGTAAGGATCATCTCCTATTGGTCCAGTGTTACTACAGAAGGAAACCTAAACTAAACTAACTTTATTTATACTGGATAGCTCTATCAGTTCTAAACTGTTCTTCCAAGAGGTCCAGTAAGGATCATCTCTTATTGATCCAGTGTTACTACAGGAGAAACGTAAACTAAACTAAACTCACTTGATACTAAAATGATCTATCAATTATAAATTGGTTTAATTATAAGCTGTCAGCTAACCTGAACCACAACATGATCTTCATCAGGCTTGTATAATGGGCCATCAGGAGCATCTGGTGCATTGGCCAAAGGCTGCAGACGGTTTGTGAGCGTAGTGGGGGAGGGGAGATCAGGTTCGACAAAATGACGAGGACCAATACTGTAAGTAATATCACAACAAAAAAATTTAATCTTTATATAAAATCCAGGGTCCATTTATTACACTGAAGTTCAATCAACAGAAAATTATGTATGGACTCATTAAATGTATATATAGGTGTTTTCCCTAAGGAACCTTGGCATCACATCAGGCATTTCATACAGGAATTAAATTCCAGCATATGTTAGAAGAGATATTAAGGGGATATCAACAATTGCATTGGTACGTGGACATGGCAACCAGCATTGTACCAAATATGTTAGGATTAGTCTTCACAGAACTGAGCCTGGTATGCTCAAAAATTCACCCTTGATGTTATGAGGTCTAACCATTGATGGTCCTTTCTTAGAATCATGGTTTTGTGAGATTGCAATATATTTTATAGCCGAATTTGACATATCTTTTGTGAACAGAATAATTTATATTTGGGATGAACTATTGTCAATATGGATGCTCTGGGCACATTGCCAACGAATGGCCAAAGTTTTTACATGACTATAATCACAGAGGGAATTCTCTGGGTTCCCTCCCTATTACCTATATATAGCAGAATACAATGTATTGACATGTTTCAAAACCTTTTACCACAACATCTAAACAACTAATATAATCTTGAACCAGAAATCCTAACCTAAAGGCTGACGGAGGTCGACTGTGACTTTCTGGTCTACGAGAACCTCCAAACAAAGTCCTCTGCGATTCCACCGGAGTACAAGGCCTTTTTGTATCCACACATCGGACAGATGTTCTTGCTTCAGCGACAATCTCGGCACTGGTCGGTCCACTTGGCAAGTAAAATGGCTTTGCCTCCGAACGATTTTTTCTCGGTTTAATCTCCGTGTTAGCCATGAAACTTCAACATTTACAGGCCCTTGTACACTTGTCCACCACTACCAAGCAAGTAGAGTGTTTTTCAGGGCGATTTTCAAAGCATTTATCTCATTGTTTTGAAAAATTTTACAAGTTCAATCTCTTTTCTACAAGACTACAACACGAAACGCTAAGGACGCGCCGGCAGTTGTCCTGGATGCGGACATTTGATATCCATAGATATCACATGAAATCCCCAACGAGATTACAAAATCAAATGATACTCGTTAATATTAAAAATTATTCTCTTCAATCACAATTGATCATCAGAAGTCTCTTTACATATCTCTAAACATCACAGTAAGTGCAGTAGGGTCGTAAATGCCATCACCTAACATTAATAGCAGTGAAGTGAGTGAACTGCATCAATGCATATAGCTTATGATCCTTTATAAATATATATTTGTACTTGTATATCTATATATACATATCTAGGTATTCTTATCCTTATTGATCCCAAAGCAACCTCTTTGAAGCCAACAAAAATTCCTATGCTATCCCTCAGTACTCTACTGTTGTATCAATAAGTATTCTTATATATCCTCTGTGTCCTCAGTTATCGGTAAAAAACCGGTCTATTAAAAAACAATAACAAACAATAAAGCAAGTAAAGTTTCCAAGAACAAGTCACTTTCATTTTTGTTTTTTTTGATATTACCGACTCTGATTTAGCGCTTGAATAATGGACAAGAACGTAAGCATTGTAGAGTACTTTTTTCATGAAGACAAGGATGGTAGTAGATGCGGTTACTGCAAAGGCAGTGATACAAATTTTTCACTAGGTGAGTGTCAAGTATCAACTTTAATACTGTTGTTATTAATGGACTGAATGCGGTTTTATTTCATGATATTGAACTGTGGCTTGAGATAACAAAATGTATTTCCGTCCATGAAATGCCAGATAATTTCACTTGCTTTCGAATTTATAGTACTTTTATGCAATGATGCATGGCATTGAAAGTGCAAATTGCAGAAACGTTTACAGAGTAAATAATAAATAAAGATTCTGGCATCCCTTTTTATGTTCTTCCACGAGTTAATATGAGAAATTTTAGGCGTGAAATAGATAATATTTTGCATCGGTTCAGATTATTTTTCAAAACTATTGTTCGTAGTGATGCATATATGTGCTTCTGATTTGTCAATTTTTTTCTGGCATTTGGTAACAATGCTCTGTGTAGCCTTTTTACAGAGGTCTATAGCAATTGGCATTAACCAGTAGCAGAGATGAATTTATATTCACATTGTAACTGAACTTTTCAGGTTTCAACATTTCCTTTCAATAATAAAGTTCAAGTTTTTATAAGGCTGAGAGTTTTATGTGTTTAATTATGCTTGCAACCTTTCAAACTTTCAAACAAGCTTGCTAATACAAAAAATGTGTTTACTTAGGGGGTATGTGGGGACACCAGGTTACATGTCAGGATTATCAGGACTTGATTGACAGAGGTTGGCGTAGGTGAGTTTATCAATTATTCCCCTTTTTGAATGGTCAGAAATGAAAAGTCATGCTGTAATTGCACAATATTCAAATCCTGATTTGTTTCATTTAGAAGTGGCAAATATTTGTACAAATCAGATATGAAAAAGACTTGTTGTCCTTTGTACACAATAAGGTGATTCAACAACTGTTTTTGGTTATATCATAATATTGTATACTTGACCATGGTCGAATACACTGTAATATTGTATACTTGACCATGGCCGAATATACCAGAATATGGTACACTCGACCATGGTCGAATATACTGGAATATGGTACACTCGACCATGGTCGAATATACCGGAATATGGTACACTTGACTATGGTTGAATATACCGGAATATTGTACACTCGACCATGGTCGAATATACTGGAGTATGGTACACTCGACCATGGTCGAATATACTGGAATATGGTACACTCGACTATGGTTGAATATACCGGAATATGGTATACTCGACCATGGTTGAATATACCTGAATATGGTATACTCGATCATAGTCGAATATACTGGAGTATGGTACACTCGACCATGGTCGAATATACTGGAATATGGTACACTCGACCGTGATCGAATATACCAGAATATGGTACACTCGACTATGGTTGAATATACCGGAATATTGTACACTCGACCATGGTCGAATATACCGGAATATGGTACACTTGACCGTGGTCGAATATACTGGAATATGGTACACTCGACTATGGTCGAATATACCAGAATATGGTACACTCTACCATGGTTGAATATACCGGAATATGGTATACTCGATCATAGTCGAATATACTGGAGTATGGTACACTCGACCATGGTCGAATATACTGGAATATGGTACACTCGACCATGGTCGAATATACTGGAATATAGTACACTCGACCATGGTCGAATATACTGGAATATGGTACACTCGACCATGGTCGAATATACTGGAATATGGTACACTCGACCATGGTCGAATATACTGGAATATAGTACACTCGAACATGGTCGAATATACCGGAATAAGGTACACTCGAACATGGTCGAATATACCGGAATATGGTACACTCGAACATGGTCGAATATACCGGAATATGCTACACTCGAACATGGTCGAATATACCGAAATATGGTACACTCGAACATGGTCGAATATACCGAAATATGGTACACTCGAACATGGTCGAATATACCGAAATATGCTACACTCGAACATGGTCGAATATACCGGAATATGGTACACTCGAACATGGTTACCCGATCAGGTATATTAGACAATCCCTATTTTTTATCGTGTCCTAATTTAGACTAGTCTTAATTTACGCCAATTTCGTATTTCATTTTAGAAATTTTGACTAATGCAATCGCATGAGTCGCATCAGTGTGGATCCCCCCCTTGGTTTTGGTTAGATTGAAATAACTTGTAAACTGTAGTTTAGACTGAATTGGTTGTCACAGCATGAAAGTAACCCAATGAAACTGACCAACGTCTCAATAATATTGACCACTAAGAGTTTTCATTATTGTCTAAAATTTTATGTTTTCTTAAAGATGTAACGCTATGGAGTTTAAACCTTCTAAATCACACAAGAAATTACTGAAGAAAGTGGAAAAATACCTAAACGATAACCCTACAGGTAACGTGGACTGTGAATTGTTTAAACAAGGAAAAGCTATATTCTTTGGAACATTTCAGATTTTTCTTTTATTTTAAACTAATGAAACTATGCCCATCATCCTATGTTTTTTCAAGTTTTTTCTACAGTTTTGAATGATTAGATTTGTTATCATGATTCAATGCATTTTCCTAGAAACAGCAGGAGAAGCAAATGCACCTGACAAAAATGAGGAGGGTAAAGCTTTGCCTGAAAGTTTGCAGGTTGAAGAAAAAGTGAAGGGAAAGGATCTAAGACAACGAACTGGTAAATACATTTTGTGTTTTTCAAAGTGACTTGCAAACTTGTGCATATGATATTGATAATGGAGCAGCAACCGGAAAAAATGTTTTTTTTCAAAATTTAATTTCTTTCTTGTGGTAGAATCCAAGTCTGTTGGAGCGGATCCTAGCAAGCCAAAGTGTCAAAAGGCCAAAGCAATGAGAATCGAGAGAAAGCGACAAAAACTGGCAGCTAAGGGCATCGAGGTACAAGGATTTTCTCATGTGGACATCATGTTGTTTCATAGGAATACAGTAGTGAATGGTCTTTGGTAAAAATTTGTTTATGGAATTATTTTGCAAGTGATGGTCAAACCGCCTCCCTCGGCGTGAAATTCAAGTGATTTTTTGTTCTGTTTTTGATGCTAGATGCCAGAGCAACCAAAACAGCATGAAGCACCAGATGCAAAAACATTAGAGGAACGTATTGCAGCTCATTCACCTTCTGACCAGTCAACACACAGACTTGAGGTAAGATAACATGTTGAAGTTTAGTTTAGGTTTCCTCCTGCATGTAGTCACACTGGATCAATAAGAGATGATTCTTACTGGACCTCTAGGAAGAACAGTTTAGAACTGATAAAGCTATCCAGTATGAATAAAGTTTCCTCCTGTAGTAACGCTGGATCAAGAAGAGACAACATAGGTGCACAATACAATATTCATACGATAACACGGGGTATTTTGTTTAGCGAGTTTTAGTCAAATGCGATCCAAACCTACCAGAATTCAAGAAAACCTATCAGCAGTCGTTTGAACTATTTTGTAAATATCAAAAAGAGATTCACAAAGATAAACCAGAAAAACTAAACGAACCAAGGGTAAACAGATATTTCATATCAACGATTTTCATTTCCGTTTTTCTGATCAAAATCAGTCCAACACCAAATTTACAACCTAAAATCTCCAGAGCGAATTTTTATAGTGTGATTTTCTTTTTTTGATGGATGTTTTCGAGTGGATAAGTTACGGATGTTCAAATTAGAGGGCACTTATGCACAGGCAATTCGTAACTGTTCACTCGTTTGCATCGGTCAAAAGAAGAAAATCTTCCATGGTAACCGGTCTTAATTTAGAGACAGCATACTCGCGGTAGATTTCTGAAAAGCATATTTCTAACAGCCGTACTACAAGATGTTTCGTCTTGTCGACAATTTAGGTGAAGCTCGTAAGAGTTGACATGAACAATGACGATTTTAAGAAAACCCTCCTCGAATCTCACGGCGTTTTTGCCAAGTACCAAGTGAACGTCCACGGTGACAATCCCAACGAGTGCGATTTTGAACAGGTAGGAACATCCATCCAGCATGTATACAGTCCTTCGTCTACGGATTACGTATTGGGAAACTTCAGAAACGTCTTGAGACACGGGAGTGCATTTTCTTCGAATACATTAAATTGTCTTCTTTCTCAACTTAGAGCTTTCTTCATTTCATTTCTCGTTAATAACTTGCACTTTTTGCACGAAAATCTACAAACGGAGTTTTTCAAACATTCTTTCACAAGATTTGTTCAAAACTTGACTGTTTTCGAATGGTTTTCAATTCAAAAAAGTATAAGACCTTTATGAGAAAATGTTTTGAAATGCTTCAAATTTTCTCAATATCTCGATGAACAATTCCAGTATACCACGATGACTTTTATTGGCTACAGTTTCTTCGACTTTTGAAAAACATTACTTTCTAGAATCCTTGAAAATTGCACAAATTTAGGCCTTCCCTGGTTGTACAGTAGTAGTGTGTTTTTCACAACGCTGTGTTGGACTGGTTTTGATCAAACTTTGCTTGTTTTAAATAGAATGGTTTATTAAGCTGTGTTTTCATGTGTTTTCATATGTAATTCTTCGTTCATTCGCTCGTGGCATGTGTTTTATTGTTCGTTACTTTCTTCTCTGTACTCGTTCTTGTGTTGTTTAATTCTTTTTGTTCTTGTGTTAAACGTTTGATTTATAACATGCAATTTTTTTTAAATGTGTTTTCTCTCTGATTTTGCAGTTCAGGCGTTTTCTCGTGGACTCTCCTCTCTTGGTAAGAATAAATAATAGCAACCTTTCTATTATCAAGTTAGTTTAGTTTAGGTTTCCTCCTGAAGTAACATGCACTGGATCAATAAGAGATGATTCTTACTGGACTTCTAGGAAGAACAGTTTAGAACTGATAGAGCTATTCAGTATAAATAAAGTTAGTTTAGTTTAGGTTTCCTCCTGTACTAACACTGGATCAATAAGAGATGATTCTTATTGGACCTCTAGGAAAAACAGTTTAAAATTGATAGACCACTACAAGTAGTAATGGTATTATTAGCTCTAAGATTATTATATTTTCTCTAAATGCTCTTCCTTCCAGTTTGAAAAGCATTCATCAACTCCGACGACAGGCTGGGGCTCGTTTCACGAACAGTTTTTCTTGGACGGCAAATTAATAGCAGTCGGCGTGTTGGACATCCTGCCCAGCTGTGTCTCCTCCGTGTATTTATACTACGACACAGATTACTCATTTCTTTCTCCCGGTATTTACTCCGCTCTGAGGTTTGTGGAAATGTTTGATAGACCATCCTATATACCTTAACATCAAATGTGGTATAACAACTGCCTAAAATAGACTATAAAACAGGAAGGCCCTCAGGTCGAAACGTCACGAAGGCCATCAGGTCGAAACGTCGAGAAGTGTTTTGTCTGTTTTAGGCAGTTGTTATACCACATTTGATGCTAAGTTATTTGAAGACGTTGCCACGCTGCTCCCTGGTTATATTGGACCATCCTATGCACTGTCTTTCTTCTCAGCCAAGAGTTTACAAAACTTAAACTTGGGATACAAACTTGGTTTGTCTCGTCTTGTAGGGAACTGCATTTGGCGAGGGAGCTCAACAAAACCTGTTCTAACTTGAAGTATTACTACATGGGATTTTACGTTCATTCGTGTCCAAAGATGAAGTACAAGGTATTGAAGAGATTACGATACGCTTCCCGTTGGCTCCATGTGTATCTGTAGTTAGAGTTGCTGATGTCACTCAAGAGACCTTTCTTATAATGACGTCAAACGCGGGAAGTATGATGTTACATGAAATTTGATTGGCTCCACGAAACTATCGAGCCAATCAAACCTTGTGTAACATCATACTTTTCGCGTTTGACGTCATTATGAAAAAGGTCTTTTTCATACGATTTTCGGGGGGGGGGGCGGTGTTCATAGAAGAAAGGGCAAAATTTCCGGGGGGGCAATTGGAGTAGGTTTTTTTAGAAAAATTTTGGGTAAATGTATAAATTCTGGGTAAATGTATAAACTCATACACAAATCTACATTTACTTTCCTGCGTTTTGATCTAAAGTTTGTCCCCACATTGCTGCTTTCAACTGAATTATGTTAAATCGTAATCCTCTTGATGAATTTTTGACACAGGCCCAGTACACACCTTCTTATCTGGTTTGTCCCGAAACATACTCTTGGATACCAGTGGAGAGATGTACTCCTAAACTTGATATCGAGAAATACTCTAGGCTCGATGAAACAGACAAAGGTTTGTCGAGTTGACCCTTTGCTGTGCTGTACGGCTGTAATTTTCCTTCAAGCCTGATTACCATCTCGTCGTAATTGTCGTGAACATGTCATTTTCACCGATGAGAAATAGTCCGGATGTCTTTATTTCTGTATTTAAATCGGTCATTCTTGACTGCGCACACATAGAAATATTCTATCACATCAGCCAGCTTGACATGATTATTACGTGATAGGTTTCTACTGTTTCTAGCGAGGGAAAGCATGCCCTAGTGAACATAAGTCAATTTTAGTAGTTTTGTAAAAGAGCAAACGGCTAAGGATGATTTTATTTGCTATATTTAGAAGACGCTGTTGTTGATATCAACACTGTTCGGGTTCTTGCTCTCCGCGAAGGGCGCGGAGAGGTCATGACTTACAAGGTACAACATGTTTTAGGTGTCCTCCTGTGGTAACACTGGAAGAACAGTTTAGAACTGATAGAGCTATCTAGTATAAATCAAGTTAGTTTAGTTTAGGTTTCCACTTGTAGTAACACTGGATCAATAAGAGATGATCCTTACTGGACCTTTAGGAAGAACAGTTTAGAACTGATAGAACTATCCAGTATAAATAAAGTTAATTTAGTTTAGGTTTCCACTTGTAGTAACACTAGATCAATAAGAGATGATCCTTACTGGACCTTTAGGAAGAACAGTTTAGAACTGATAGAACTATCCAGTATAAATAAAGTTAATTTAGTTTAGGTTTCCTCCTGTAGTAACACTGGATCAATAAGAGATGATCCTTACTGGACCTCTAGGAAAAACAGTTTAGAACTGATAGAGCTATCCAGTATAAATAAAGTTAGTTTAGTTTAGGTTTCCTCCTGTAGTAACACTGGATCAATAAGAGATGATCCTTACTGGACCTCTAGGAAGAACAGTTTAGAACTGATAGAGCTATCCAGCATAAATAAAGTTAGTTTAGTTTAGGTTTCTTCCTGTAGTAGCACTGGATCAATAAGAGATGATCCTTACTGGACCTCTAGGAAGAACAGCTTAAAACTGATAGAGCTATCCAGTATAAATATCACGAGTTCAGTTGTAAGTAACGTTAGTTTAGGTAACCAGATTGTTCGAGAATGATAAAACACATCGCATTCCCCCCTGTAGATGTACACTGAGTCTCGATTTAGTTCGAAAAACGACGAAAAGGAAGTGAAAGAGTACGCGCAGCTTATTGGACCGCTAGTGGCGCCCAGAATGGCTCTTTACAGAAGTTAAGTATCATTCCGGTGAACTTTAGTAACCAGGAATATCACAGGAAATATTTTTTGGAAAATACAAGTATGACAATTTGAGATAATACGAGATAAGGTTGCACCGGTTATGATCCCAAAATCGAGAAAGATAATCCTTGATCTAATGGTAGTCGGCTAAGGATTAGGGTCAGGTTTAGGATTAAGGATTAGGGTCGGATTAAAGTTAGGATTATATGCTTCTGGACATGGAAATTCTGCTGTTAAAACCAGTAACCTGGGTCGAGCCTAGTTTTCACGTACATGGTGATGACTTACGGACACTTGACTTCACCTGCTGTGTAATTTTATGCAATTATTGCAGTCTTAATGCAAAGCATTGCTGTAATCACGTTTAGTGTAAGAATTGGGATTCATGTTTATTTTCTATATCAGTGAATAAATGAATGAATTCTGAATGGTCAGCTTTGTCAGTGCTGCTATATCACGACACATTCTGCATAATAGCTTCAATTTCTCTAAACTGATCTTACATTAGGCTATTCAATGACATTATTTTTTACTGAATGGCGCTATATATCATATCATTTCTAAAAACCTTAACTAATCTTTTTCATGCTGGATAACTCTGTCAGTTCTAAACTGTTCTTCCTAGAGGTCCAGTAAGGATAATCTCTTATTGATTCAGTGTTACTACAGGAGGAAACCTAAACTAAACTGACTTTATTCATACTGGATAGCTTTATCAGTTCAAAATTGTACTTCAGCAAGTATCAGCGGTAACCGTCTCCTAATGGACCAGAGATAAATCCAGCGCGAGTCTGTGTTACTTTACAGGAGGGACCCTTAACTAAAGTTACTAAACGCAAGCGATAAGTAAAACTGAAAATTCAACTCTTTTGTCTTGACTGTCTATTTAGTAAACATAAAAATTTAAGATGATTAATATTTTCATTCGTAATATCAGACACTACTGTTTATTGTTTTCCGTCACCTGTTCAAGGATTGACATTCGAGCTTTGTCTGTCCATACAAGGCAAATAAAAATTTCAAGACATGTTGGCTTGGATTTTGAAAAGCGATGCAAGTTCGGTTACATGCAGGGAAACTGATAAAACCGAGTCGAAATTTCTCTCACTTTCTCACTCCGGTTTGAAACGAGTTTCCAGCGAGTCACATGCAAGTTTCTATTAATGATTTTTCTCTTATTAATTTGTACGAATTTGCCTTATCATTGGGCAGCAGACGAGGCAAGAATTGCATTGCTAATGCTTTATCTCTGACTGTGTACACAATACAGCGATATGTTTGACACATTTGCTGTCCTAAATTAATTATTCTTTTTGCCATTAATACGTTTTGCCCATCATCAAAAGATAGTCTTGTTGGTTCGAGAAAGCTCTTGCGTCATATTTTCCATTTAAATGCATTGGCTCACCTCAACATTGGATTAAAGAATCTATCATAAATCTCGTCCATTCAAGACACGAAGTTGCTCTGTGCTAAAGTGTAGGATATATTTCAAGGACGTATGTTTAGTATATTTTGCATTTATTATATATACATTTATGTGCCTGAGCTTTTTAGAGTAATACATCATATCTTGAGGGCTAGTATGGCTGGTATCATTATTTTTCGGAAACTATTTCTGAAAGGCGGTGACTCGGTGCACTGGGCATTGTAGTTTACGACAAGCTGTTGTGGTTTGTTTCTGAAATGCATGAGAGGGATGTCTCGAACGTGGGTGGTCCACTCCAGTGCAGGCAGTATTCTAGAATAGGTTGTTGCGGTTTGTGTCTGAACTACCTGAGAAAGATTTCAAATGTAGTGGTTCAGTGTAGGTGGTAATTTCACAATACCTTGTCGTGGTTTGTGTCTGAACAAACGTGATGATCTGGTAGTACTTCTGCATGCAATACTTGTGGTTTGTGTCTGAACTACCAAAGAAATATTTCGAATGCGGTGGTTCTGTGCATGTAGTAATCTACAATAAACTGTTATAAGCGAGAAAGAAATCTCAAACATAGCAGTTCTAGTGTAGGTCAGTATTCTACAATAAGTCGTGGTTTGTGTTTGAACCAGGGAAAGACATCTCAAATTAAACGCATGGTATAGCTAAATGTAAGTGGTTTTCTGTCGTGACCTGTCGTAAAATATGTCTGCCCGACTTTAGAAACATATCTTGATTATTTGTAGTATTTTTAAGATTAAAATCCCGCTATCTGAAACGCTCAAGAAATTGAGTAGAATTAGCGCGTTATAGGATAGGTTTCTATAGGTCCCGCGGTTACCCGAACTATCCCTTGCGGTCACCTTTCATATGTTGGCATATGCCTACAAAATACGCAAATATATCGCTTACACTTTGGAAGTATCGAGACAAAACCAGTTCATCGTTCGTATGATGAAATAAATATACATGCATGCCATAGTTATTATCGTGTTGAGACGGGGTAACGAGTACATTTTGTATACGGTATAGTGAACAATAATTGCTCAGTCATTTAAATAAATACGGCTGTTGGAAATAATTGGCGGCATTTATCCACTAATAAATAATGTCTTGCTTCGTACGATTGCGCTTAATTAATGACTGGCATGTTTTGAAAATTGCAATCGTAAAAACAGGCGCGCAAGGCGTACAAGTTGATGAGCATTCAAACGGAATTTTTGCTGCAAGCACGTGCTGTCGTGGATTCGCCTATTTTTTGCGGGGTAATTTGGATTTTAGGCGGTAAACAAACTAGGCTTGCTTCATCCGCTTAAAACCTCATCCACTTTCGGCGGCACATCATCGTATAATCGGCTTTGGCAAAAAAACAATGACAGTTTGCTATTTTGAGGCGATGAAAAAGTTGATTACATTTCTGATGCTTGGCAAGAACATACCATTTGCATGCGGTCGAGCACGATATATTTCATGCAGCAGTCTTTTAATTAACATAGTTTATTATTTGTTGAAGGGGGTGCATGTATCACGGAAAATTTCACTGTTTGAAGTTCGACGCGTGCAATTGAGTGAGGTAAGTTGTGCACAGAGACATTTTTTAACCGTACTAGTCTACTAGAGGTCAAGTAAGGATCATCTTTTTTTCATCCACTGTAAATACTGGAGAAAGCCTAAACTAAACAAACTTTTTTATGCTGGATAGCTCTATCAGTTCTAAATTGTTCTTCCTAGAGGTCCAGTAAGGATCATCTCTTATTGATCCAGTGTTACTACAGGAGGAAAGCTAAACTAAACTAACTTGATTTATATACTGGATAGCTCTATCAGTTCTAAACTGTTATGTCAAGAGGTCCAGTAAGGATAATTTCTTATTGATTCAGTGTTACTACTGGAGGAAACTTAAACTAAACTAACTTTATTTATACTGGATAGCTCTATCAGTTCTAAACTGTTCTTCCTAGAGGTCCAGTAAGGATCATCTCTTATTGATCCAGTGTTAGTACAGGAAGAAGCGTAAACTAAACTTTATTACATACTAGACAGTTCTTTCAGTTCGTTCGTTTTTGAGGTGCAGAGAAAGTCCTTTTTTATTCATCCAGTGTCACTACAGGAAGACACCTAAACTAAGGCCGTTTTCCGACGTCGGAGTTTTCATCATTTCATGTGTCGAGTCGAATGCACATAAATGAAAACAAATGCATAAACAAAAAAACTTTAGCTTATTAATAACTGATTACCTTCGGCACACATGAAGAGTTTGACGTTTGAAACGGGCCTAACTTTATTTATACTAGATAGCTTTATCTGTATTCAAATAGCGATTTTACTTCAGGCGATAACTAGAAAATTCGAAACGGGTTAGATCTTAACGCAATAAAAACACCGTCGCACAATATTTTATCATTTTTATACGTGTTGAAGTTATCGCCTGTTTTGCTGATATGCAGATGTGTGCTCTATGGAGAGTCCGTTCAGCAAAAATAAAGCTAGTTCATTAACAATGCCCAATGAGCAGCGTGGCAGCGTTTTTGTAAAATCTCTCAACACACTGTATGTGGTAGTTTTACAACCGCCTAAAATAACAGGCAATTAACGTCTCAAAGTGTCGACTTTCAAAAGAAAAGTTTTTAAAACAAAGCGTCTTTGTTGCAACAGAAGTGAACAGGAGAGTTTTAGCAATGACTTCGAGTATGAGATTCGTCACGGTTTTCGCGCGAAACTCGTTCCTGTTTGCATACGCTCTCTCTATTAAAAACGACTTGTCGTATTGATAAATGTCGTTGTTTTGCCATTTTTTCAAACGATTAACTCATGGCGTCGTAATTGTCGCGAACAAGTCGCTCTCAATGATGTGAAATAGTCTGGATGTAAATTTCTTTTTATTTTTGTATTCACAGTATATCGGTAACTGCCCGACCCCAGTTGGCTGTGCAGTGACCGCAAGTGGCAATATTCTATTGCAACAATAACCTTGACATGTTCACGTCACTTACGAGGGATAGAGTTATCCAGTATAAATAAAGTTAGATTAATTTTGGCTTCATAATAAGAGATCGTCCTTACTAGATCTCTAGGAAGAGCAGTTTAGAACTGATAGAGCTATCCAGTATAAATAAAGTTAGTTTAGTTTAGGTTTCCTCCTGTAGTAACACTGGATCAATAAGAGATGATCTTTACTGGACCTCTAGGAAGAACAGTTTAGAACTGATAGAGCTATCCAGTATAAATAAAGTTAGTTTAGTTTAGGTTTCCTCCTGTAGTAACACTGGATCAATAAGAGATGATCTTTACTGGACCACTAGGAAAAACAGTGTAGAACTGATAGAGCTAATGAGCTATCCAGTATAAATAAAGTTAGTTTAGTTTAGGTTTTTCTCTGTAGTAACACTGGATCAATAAGACATTTATTAGATTTATTGATTTAACTGGAGGCTCCAGGAAGAACATCTCACAACTAACTGATAGAGCTATCAAGTATAAAGAGATTATAGTTTAGTTAATTAAGGTTTAAAATTTTTTTGCTCAGTACCGCGACATCAATATATTCAATCATCCTAATATCAGTGGAGATAAAAGTCAGATATTCGCAGTATATTCGACAAAATATCACTTCCACTTAAAAATGCTCTTATTTTGCCATATCTATCAGCTGAAATTGAAATTGAGTGCTTACAATGAGTGCTGACGCCATAGCCTGTCGCCATCTTAAGTGCTCGTTTTCGAATTTCAAAACAACCAATTTTCCTGACCTGCAACGCGTGTCATTTCGATTAAGTTTAATAAATTTCAATTTTCCGTTTCTCTATACGCTTTTCTTAGCAATTATCAAGGACAACGATGTTTAATTACGTTTAACGGGGGAAAAAGAAAACGTTTATGCAAAATGGCACCTCCGCCATAGAATAATATTTTTGTGTTTATTTGGAATTCTGAAATCGACACCCGAGATACAATCGCTTCATTTGACTGGATTATCTTTCCTGTCAAATTTTGAAGGCAATCTATTCCATGTCAACCTATATTCTTTGCTACCTATATTTGCTTAGGAACGACAAAGGTACCGCCACAACCAGCTGTTCACATACACCTGTATATATAAAAGGTAAACTTTTGCATATATACTAATTTCCTTACATGCGTCGAGCGAGTTTTTTTACGGCCTCAGTTCAAGCCAAATATGCGATCGATGAGACCCACTTGAAAATTGTTTACGCAATTTTTTTTACAGCATACGGGAAGCGTCTGATGTTGCTATTGTTCGAGAAAAGTTACGAAACAGCTGTGGAGGCACGAATTTGCATCAGGCGAACATGGGAAACGATGGAAACAGGAATATCAGAGGGTCGATGAATTGACGGTCCTGTACGGTTCGTATTTAGGTGCGTGGAATTCGTGAATGCGCGTAGAATCCTTCCTTTTTTGTGATCATAATAGGAATCCGCCACTGGAGTCACCCTAGGCTTCGTTGGCGTTACTGAATAAACCAGTCCTATTCCTGGCGTATCCGTTGCTTTCACAAATACGGACAGAAAGAGCCTTGAGACTCTAAGTTATCTCGGAAGTCATCGCAAAACGACGCATTTCTGCTCCTGGTGTATGCGTCGTAGTATCCATTACGAAGCAACTTCTATTCCTGGCATATTTTGAACAAACATTTGGTAAATTTCATTGAAGCATTCCTTCCTATTGTTAAAGAGCAAATTCTACTCCTGGTGTATACGATTTAGCAATGTCGTTGCGAAACCCGTCGCGAGGTGCATTGTGGACGATTTTCCTTCTGCTCGAATTTATCCCGATTCTGGCGGGAAAACAGGAAGATGACGTTATACTCGGGGGGATTTTCTCTGAGCATTTCACCCGTGAAAACAATGGTGGAAAGGACAGGAACAATGACCCGTGCGGTGAGCTAAATAAGCGTGCTACTACGGACAGATTGGCGATGGAATTCGCCGTATCGGAGATAAATGATAGCGGAGATATACTCCCGGGGATTAGGCTCGGCACAAATATGAAAGACACATGCAATGACCTGGATTACGCCGTGAATAACACATTAGATTATCAATTTATCAAGACTAAATTCATTAATAAGTCCTACCAGTGCTCTGCTCAGGAGACGGACTCGAAATGTTGTATTCATCGCAACGAGTCCACTCCGCTGGTTGGAATAATCGCAGGTGCATACAGTCACATCGTGAAGGCAATTGTTAATTTGGTTGGTCTGTTTAAGGTAATGCTCTCCAGTATAAATAAAGTTAGTTTAGTTTAGGTTTCCTCCTGTAGTAATACTGGATCAATAAGAGATTATCCTTACTCTGGTCCTTAGTACAAATGTAGTATGATATAAGACATTAATATAACTAAAACTTCTATTTTTCAATTCTAGGTGCCTGTTATTGGATACAGTTCCACAAGTCCTTCATTGAACAAAATGGACTATTTCCTACGCACCATACCCCCGGACACCGTCACAACACAGGTATAAACAAAGTACTTTCATGTGAAATTTCATGTTTTATTCTCCTCAACCCAGCAGAAATTCTCACTCAAACACCTCCCCCCCACAACTCTCTTCTACTTCGAATGCTTATCAGAGTTTATTATCGCCCGTCCGTGATGCATTTCTGTTCTAGGTGATGGTCGACCTGATACGCAAGCTACGGTGGAACATTGTCCTGGTCGTTTATGTTGACAACGAGTTCGGGCATTACGCTGCGGACGGCTTTCGCACGGCTATCAGGCGTATGGGGGACTTCAAGATATGCATCGCTTTCGATGACAAGTTCTCAAAGGATTCACAGAGCGATATCGCGAGGGTCCTCGAAGGTGAAAATATTTTTCTAGTTTCACTGTGTGAAGAAATGAAACGCCTTCAGCCTCGGTTCGTTCTGGAGCATCAAATGCTCGTTGTCAAACGAACTTTAGGAAGTTTTAGCAGTCGGACTACGAGTATGACTACGAGTACAAGATTCTTGGTTTTCGTGCCAAGCTCAGTGCTGTCTGCCTACGCCATCTGATGAAACTCGTTGTCGTTGGGCTTTTTAATACGAAATGAATCAACAAATTCGTACTCAAAAGCTCGACGACTACACTGGAAGGTGTAGTCCAGTGTATATTAAGATCAATGCCCAGTGTAGTTTGGCTTGCACGCACAACTCGATCCGTCTCATCTGAAAGTATATTTCTACCGTTTAGGTATCAAGAAAGCGAATAAATCGCGTGTAATCGTTTTCTTTGGGACAACTGAGGATTTCGTGTTCATTCATGAGCGTGTTAGCATGGGGACATCATTTGATACCAATAGATATATATGGATATCATCGGAGTTATGGCTAAGGTCAGATCTCATCCAACTTTCAACCAATGTCAAAAATATACTGACCATCATTCCCGAACAAGGTGAGACTCTATGAACGTCTCAAAAACTTTTTCCCTACTGAAGTATGTGATTTAATCGGTTTCACGAAACGAGTGAGGCTATTGGCTGACATCTGGGGGATGGTGCGTTTGTTTTCTTATTCTGTTAGATCGCATACGTCAGAAGTGAAAGCAGAAACAACTTTGTAATCGTTATTCTTGTCGCTTGTGAAACCTCATTTCTTTAACTCTTTCAAGGCTATCCACGAACCTGCTTCGAACGCTACCTTCAGCGCCGTACTGATGTGAACACGACCTGTTCCAATGTCCATCGTAACATGAAGTACGAGTGTGAATTAATGTACGGCCGTCTCGCCCTCTTGGAGCCCAATTGCTCTATCGAATGCTCGAAATATATCCCGCACGTTTTGGACGCGGTCTACGCTATCGCTATGAGCCTGCATAATATGCTCGGCTGTGAAGCTGGGAAGTCATGTAGAGAAAAGTTGAAGACCCTCTCGCACAGGTATGGTTGAAAGCTATAAAATAGTTTGCCAGCTATTTAATAGCTGAGCTTTTAGCTTTATATTTCGGCCGAATGCTATAAATCCTAAGCCTTAAAACTTTGAAAGTCTTCTTAAGTCTTATTTAGACTACACAATAAGTTGTATGCATGTATCATTCTGACGAATGCAAAAGAGTGTCTATGCCACAATCTTCATTCAAGTGTCACGTTTGTACTTTGTTCATATGTTCACATACGCCAGGGTACAAATCGTATAGGACAAATCTAAGTGCTTTGAAAGATTCAGAGGTTTAAACGGTTAGCTGCAGTACTAGAATCTCAGTTGCATTATATTTGTGTTCTCTGCCTGGTTTCCTTTGGTTACAACTGTCTTGAACAATTCTTTTTTACCGATGAGAAATGGATGTAAATTTGTCTTTATTTCTGTATTCAAATTTCCCGAGTGCACAGACATAGAAATATTCTATCACATCAGCCACCTTGACATGTTCACAACACTTACGACTAAATGGAAACCAGGAATTATAAATTAACTTTTAAGTCCCACACAAAATGGCGGAAGGCAGAAAGTACGGACTGTGATGTCACTTGCAAGAGCTCAATTCGTTCTCTTTTGCAGTTCACTTCTCGATTCGCTCAAGAACCTGAGCTTCTTCAGTGATTTCACCAACCACACCATATCCTTCGACGGCAACGGTAATCCACTGTCAACGCATTACACCGTGGAGCAAATTGAAGTAGGGAATTGCAATCACAAGAACAAGACCATTGGTCGTTGGACTTGCCTACGGAACGTCACTTGCAACGGCGAATTGTCGCCGAATATAATCGATATCGTGAACCCAGCCTCGTTCGGGTCCAGCTGCGGTCCAAAATGCAATAATGGCTGGTATAAATCGGCCCAGGACGAGTATCCGGATTGTTGTTGGACGTGCAAGAAATGTACTGGAAACAAGTACATGAAGGCCTCGGATCAGTTCAGTTGCTCGGAATGTCCCGTAGACCGATGGCCCAACGAGAACCGCACGTCGTGCGCCGAGATGGAGCACGATTATCTTGACATCTTAAGCGCCTCGGGTGTTTTGATTCTAGCGTGGAATTGTCTTGGGCTCGCTTTAGTTTTGCTGATCGGAGGCATTTTTCTCAAGTACAGCACGTCGCATATCGTGAAGGCGTCCAGCCGACAGCTGTCGTTGCTTCTGCTCTTAGGGATCTCTTTGGATTTCACGCTACTCATCGCGTTGCTGAGGGAACCCGATGCCACCCAGTGTACTGCTATATTCGTGCTCTCGCACGGCGCGAGCTGTCTCATTACTGGAACGCTGTTTCTCAAGACGAACAGAATACATCGAATATTTAGGAAAAGTGCCATGACAGGTGAGAGAGACGAGTGTACTAAGTACACAGTCAAATTTCAGGCTCTGAAAAAAACTGTGACCATTCGATGTATATACATTACCTACGTATTGATATATCGTTTAAACTAAACTTTTCTTCAGTATACAGATCCAGTAACGATAATCTCTTATTGATCCAGTGTTACTACAGGAGGAAACCTAAACTAAACTAACTTTATTTATATTGGATAGCTCTATTAGTTCTAAACTGTTCTTCCTAGAGGTCCAGTAAGGATCATCTCTTATTGATCCAGTGTTACTACAGGAGAAAACTAACTGAACTAACTACACTAAACAATATCAGAGTCTGTCTATAACATGCTTACTAACGCGATATTTCTTTGTATTTAGGGCGTCCACGATGGTTGGGAAATGCTTGTCAACTCACTATCATTACGATCTTAGTTACGATCGAGATGATGTTGGCCGCAACAATTCTTGTGTTTAAGCCTGACAATGGTGATGTCCGAACGACCTACGTCATGGAAGGCGACATGAAAAAAGCATTTCTGCTTTGCAATTTCTTTGGAAAGTAAGTAAAACACTTTTTTTTAGTCTTAAACTGTTCTTCCTAGAGGTCCAGTAAGGATCATCTCTTATTGATCCAGTGTTACTACAGGAGGAAACCTGAACTAAACTAACTTTATTAATACTGGATAGCTCTATCAGTTCTAAACTGTTCTTCCTAGAGGTCCAGTAAGGATCATCTCTTATTGATACAGTGTGACTATCAAGGAAAATTCTATACACGAAGCCAAATGTTTTATTATTCTTTCAGGACTTTCCAAAATGACATTTTCCATGTTCTAATATGGAGCTACGAATGTGGTATGATCTTTATATGCACCTATCAGGCCTACCTCGTACGCAAAGTACCCGAGAACTATAACGAGGCACGTTACATCACCTTTACCATGGTAACGATGTCGATGAACATTGTTGTATACGTCATCACGACTTCCAGTATGGAGGGCAAGAACCTGGTACTAGTTTACTGCATTTTTCAGAGCCTGAAATCGAGCGTCGCTTTAGCCTGCATTTTTTTGCCCAAAATTTACATCATACTCTTTCAGCCCGAAAAAAATGTCCCGCATAATCCGGTCAAGTCGAAGTTGGGAACATTTGTCGAGGAAAATTCGATGGTTAAGTTAGAACCGAACGAAATTCCCAGCAGCGGGTCTTCCACGCGGGCTGGCGATTCTTCGGAAGGGTCGTCAGGGGGGACAGGGACTTCATCTGCCTCAGCCCGGGGGAGGTCGTATCGAAAGGTGGGTGCGAAGATCGTAGAGGAGACTGTGGACAAGGTCGAAATTTCAAGTGACCTCAACGAATCGCGCGCCAGCGAGCAGGATTTCCCTAGGTCAGCGGATGTCGTAATAGTCAACGGCCTGGCCGATTCTATGACGTCATGTTAGTTCGTATGTAAATATAGCAAGCTTTTGTAATCAATATTTCTTCACCACATGACGAACAATTGGATGTAAAAAGTTTCAATTTTAATATTCCCCAAACTTTGCAACTGATTTCTACCACAGAGGTGGGCATTAGCTAGAAATTACAGACACTTTCTTCGCGGTGAACTATTCACAAGGAAGGAGATTCAAAGCATAACGTGAAAACACATAAGATACTATCATTTTCCTCGGTCAATACACACCATAACTATGCATATTGTATATACGCAGCATCAAAGGAAATATCCACAGATATTGATAAACAAATATACGGTATTTTGAAAAAAAAAATTAAACGGTAAATGCAAAGGCCAATGAATCCTAAAGATGGGAGTTTTCTTCAGAAAAAAGCAAGGAACTTTAATTAGGAAACTGTTAAAGTTCACTAAGTTTCGGTGTATTCGGCACCAAGACCAAGCGACAAATCTGCGACTAATTTGGCGAAAGGCGCCGCTTAAAATTACTTGCTACTCCTGATTACTCCTCGAGATAACTTTAATTTAAACGAATTCTGCGTGAAAAAATTTAGCGTGCTAGTTATTTTGCCTCACATTAGCATTTCATTAAAGGCGTGAAATTTGATGAAAGTTCTCAGTGTTTAGTCGATGATGAATCGCTGTTTGCCAAAGGTCATCCCAGCTTGCGATGCGCCCTTGTTTGTGCCCATCTGTAAACCAATCACGTTCAAGCCTTCCTTCAGCTGGTCGGTCGAGAATTCTCGCGGACTGTACTTGGCTTCTTTCGGGCCAAGGGCTGGCCAATCTGGATGAAGTTCTGCAGCCTACAAGAGTTTAAAGAGTTCGCTTCAAACAAAAGGTACCAATATACCACGCCAACTTACTACGCCACTTTACACTGGATAGCTCTATCAGTTCTAAACTATTCTTCCTAGAGGTCCAGTAAGGATCATCTCTTATTGATCCAGTGTTACTACAGGAGGAAATCTAAACTAAACTAACTTTATTTATACTGGATAGTTCTATCAGTTCTAAACTGTTCTTCCTAGAGGTCAAGTAAGGATCATCTCTTATTGATCCAGTGTTACTACAGGAGGAAACCTAAACTAAACTAACTTTATTTATACTGGATAGCTCTATCAGTTCTAAACTGTTCTTCCTAGAGGTCCAGTAAGGATCATCTCTTATTGATCCAGTGTTACTACAGGAGGAAACCTAAACTAAACTAACCTGACTATAGTAGGACCCTAGCCTAAACACAAAATCATTGCTTACCTTTCTTGCTACAGCATAAATGCCATTAACCACCTACAAAGTCAAGCAAAATCTTAGTTTAACTTTATTTCATAACTGAATTGTTATTTTCATCATTTCTTTCATAGACTAGACATGGACATGAGTTGTACCTGGCCAGGGTTGGTTTTCTCAAAAAGGTCGACAACCTGGAAAAGATCTAGTTTCTTGCAGTTCAGTACTTTAATTCCAGCATCAATGAATCTTTCAATATTTTCTCTCTAGAAAGAAAGAGGTAAGATGTATAGAGGAGTCTTTAGGTCTCTATGCATATAAAGAGGTGTCCATATTAGAGAGAGCTGTCCAAATTAGAGAGAGGTGTCAAAATTAGAGAGAGGTGTCAAAATTAGAGAGAGAGCTTTTAAAATTAGAGAGAGGTGTCAAAATTAGAGAGAGCTGTTAAAATTAGAGAGAGGTGTCCATATTAGAAAGAGGTGTCAAAATTAGGGAGAGGTGTTCATATTAGAGAGAGGTGTCAAAATTAGAGGGAGGTGTCCATATTAGAGAGAGGTGTCAATGTTAGAGAGATGTGTCAAAATTAGAGAGAGGTGTCCATATTAGAGAGAGGTATCAAAATTACAGCGAGGTGTCAAAATTAGAGAGAGGTGTAAAAATTAGAGAGAGATGTCAAAATTAGACAGGTTTCCATATTAGAGAGAGGTGTTCTAACTAGAGGTAGGTGTCTTCTATATTAGAGAGGGGAGTCTATCAAGACATGTGTCCATATGAGAGAGTTGGCCATATTAGACAAAGGAGTATACACTTTCTGTCATATGACATATGGAATTGTCCCCATTGGAGAGCTTTTATATTAGGGGGATGAACCCATGGGAGGATGTGCTGCGTGTAATATTTTTGTGTGTAATATTAAAATTTTTGTACAACTACCTTTCGAAATGAATCCTTCTCTTTTAAGACTTCATTGAACTTTGGGATTGCTCCTTCAGAGATGGTGTTCATTAACCTGAAATAAAAAATGGCTCAGTTTATAGCATTCTCTATTCATTTTCCCCTTGAAGGTGGAAATCTGATATATCCATGGGTTGATTATGGTGGGAAAGGTGATTTTTTGCAATGCAGAATCATAGATACAACTCTTTGTCCCTCATTTTCACTACATAACCTACATTATCCAAAGATATTAACTGCTATCCCTAATGCTAGACAACTCACATGCATAGGTATCGACCATCAGCCAGAGCACAGCACATTCCATCTTTCCCCAGCGGATTATTGTATCTCCACTCGTTGAGTTGTTCAGCCGTCTGTATATCGTCAGGAGGATTACACAGCAATGTGCCAGTCACATCTTCCATCCAAAGACGGGCGTTTTGCTCGGATTGGTCATCGTATTTCGAGTCCATCTGTTAAAATTCAAAATAAAATTATATAAACAATTATGTTGCATTGATAAACTTGGCTAAATATATATATAGGATATCTGAGGGTTGTTCAAGGCTGGCGTTAAAAATAGGCTGTCTCATTTGAAAGAATAAGAGTATCAGTTGTGATGACTGCAAGAGCTGGTTTGATATTATAGCATTGTTGTTATAAATGTCTGTGACAACAGTGATCAATTGACAATCGATATACTTTTTCCCAAAACTGATGGGAATTTATATGTTGAGAATGGCATGTAAATGTCAAAATTTCAAGACGAATTTTTTAACTTCTAACTTTTGCAGAAAATGCTAAAACGTGCTAGATGATGCACAGATTTTCCAGGGAACAGAAACCCTACCTCTAGAATTTATACCCAAAGGAATAAGTATACACTATACATATTATACTGGTGTGATGCAATTTATGGCCAGAACGATCTCGGTGCCCTAGGACATAATCCACTTGCTTTGGAACGATTACTATAGATCGTTTCATTATAAACAATATACACAACGGCTCTAGTTTCTCAGCAGGTAGTATCCTTCTTCAGTGATTTAAGAATGAGAGCGAGCAAGTTTATAAGACGACACTTAATTCATGTTCATGTTTACAAAGGATTTGTAAAGTGTTCATTAAACATCGCTTTGTACTGTTCTGTCACAAATGAAGAGCGCCGTTTGAATCATTAGCTGTCGTTTAAAAACGCTATTAAAATTATGTTGGTGTTAATGAATTTTTCATCCATATAACTTTGCATCGAATTCTCAGGCGACATTAAATGATGTCATGCACTTGTGATCGCTAATGGCTCGAATATTTTGACAGCTAAAACGCCCTATGAATACCTTCATCTTGATTTCCCGACTAAATCCATAACCCATCGGTCGGTTGTATTCTTTAGACATCATTTTAAACAGTAAATATGACACGATCCGTCCTCAAAGACTCAAAGGCAATAGTGCACAACTAACTTCATTTGACTTCTTTATGTCTGGCTTTACCACTACGCTATATATAGCTCAGTCAGAGGTTTCTCCGCCCAGCATTACCACGCAAAAAACCACATCACATCCCACTCTTTCTCCCCCCGGATGCCAAGATATACAATGTACGGTTGGAGATAAAATTACTATTGCTGCCGGAGGGTATTGTTTACGGATTCCTGTTCTCTCGTTGTACATATTGGACAATATTTACATGTAAGTTCAGTGAAATTAATACTGCCTTCCTTTTATATTGAGCTCAATATCAGGAATTCCATTCAAATTACAATCAATAGTAAAGGTGTTCTTTCTAGTGTAAATATTGATATTATATACTTTATATCTGCTGTGTATCCGGGCAGTTTTCAAAATCCCGACAATTCGTTATTTCTGCATGGTTTAAGGCTATGTTGGAACGCGTTTGCATCAAGGAATACTTTAATGAATTCTAGTGTCCACTTAGAGATCGTTTGAAAATGACTACCTACTTCCGATATGGTCGCAGATGACTAGATTATCTTAATGAATTTTGGCAGAACCCATGATTAAATATAACGTGCAGACTTCTGGTCTATCACTAATACTTTTTTCGCTATTAAAATCAAAACGCATCAAAAATCTATGGGGTTTTATTCAACTTATTGTCATCAGACCAGGAATGGCAGGAAAGGCTATCCTTAATCCTTTTCCTGGGCGCGATCTCGCTCCCAGGAAAAAGACACTGCCCCTCACCTGGTGTCAAAAGGTTGATAAAGTTTGATACGTGAGTTACGTGAGTGTATATTGGTTTGGTTTACTGGCTCGAATCACTCGAGACATTGCCGAGACATTGCCATTGAGGATCTTTTTCAAAATGGAAAACAAAATTGTCTATTTATTGAACAACTAAGCTGAAATATTTCGATGCAAATAGTTTAATTTACAATAAGCAGTAATTAAGGCATAAGATGCAGGTTCAATCACTCGCCAGATGTATTCAATATGAGAGTAATTTTAAATTTTGGCTTATCCACCGTTTACGTTAAACGCCTTTCGAACAACCGGCTCCTGATCGATCTATCAGGTATAAACATATATTTTATTAAGACTTCTTGTAGTTCCGCACAGAAAAACGGTTCAAAATATAGCTTATATCCTAGCAACCACATCCTACAAGCGACATCACATTGTTATGACTTTGAAACCACACCGGAAACACTGCAAAGAAGCATCTCGATTTCCGTGAAGCACTCTGATCACCATTAGCTACAGAGAACTACTTTAGGCTCTTAACGTCCGTTTAATAAACAGTGTAAACGCATCCTGGCAATCTATTGTTTTGCACAGCATTATCCTAGACTCGTTTTCTATCACTCCAGTAATTTTACGCGCCATGCGATGACCGCACTTGACCTTTCTATAGGGAGAGTCTGCAGCAACAATGACAAAAGTAATAATCACCGACCATCCCCCTCTCAAGAGGGCATTTTTTCGAACAAGTACAGGAAGGGCAACCACCCCCGACTCACCCCACCTCGGGGAGACTATTCATTACCTTTACAATACGTTGAGGGCGCGGTCTCTCTAGGACAAACCTGTGCTTTATCTGCGGTTAAATACCAAGCGAAAGTTATCAGACTGTTAAAGTATCGGTCATCATGACAAGACGATGTTTTTGCTAATTGCGAAACTTCAGAGTCCCAAGTAGATTATCAATAGGCGATTCTCACGCTGGCATGCTTTACACAAAGGATGCGATGGCTATCTTATCGCAAAATAATACATATACATCTCGTCTTCACTCATCCGGCTATACGAAATACGATATACGATCTCTATGGTTTCATAATAATCTGGGAAATATTTTGAAAGGCACGTAATCTGGGGGAAGAAATTAATCTTTCTTAGATTAGGCAAGCCATAGCACATGCCTGGCTGAAGACTGTGCATGCCAAAGTAAACATGTTCGATTCCTCGCCTGATATACCAAAAAATCTTGCAATATTTTTACAGCAAATTTCGTTATCAATTTCTCCTTTTTTATCGAGAATGTTTGCATTCTAGAAACAGGCGTGCCCATGCAGTGAATATTTTAACGATTACAGCATAATCGGAAATAAGAACGCCTGCATGCATGCTGTTCCTAAAAATTGTCCACAGCTGTTTTAAATTACCTGTGTTTGGACTGTGTAAATTAACGTTTACTTTGAGACGATTTTCCCCTCGACTTTGAACTTTAATCTAAACCATCGTTACGTTTATTCTGGTATTCAGTGAAATCGTGCAATGTTGTTTTCCACAAATTTTGTGCTGAATTATTTTGAGTTGACAACATTTTGCATCGATTCTGAGCTTTATATTTTCGGTTGATTTTTGTAGAAAAAAACTGGGTCGAAACCTTTTTTCCAACCCAGACAAGATATTTCAATTAGCACTGAAAATTATGTCTGAAAATAATGACCGTTCGAGATTTTGATAATCCTGAAGTAACCTAAAGCATCTGTCTTTTAATCGACCACAAAAGCTTGTATTTTGCATGCTCGATCGGTTTAGAGATAAAAACGCAAAATATTTGTTAAGCGAATTAGCGAAGAATAAAGAATTTCTTTTCAGAGACATTCGCTGCAATGTATAATTTCCTGAGGTGATGCTCCATTTATTAAACTCCCGCTAAGTAAGTCTATCGCAAAAATCTTGTTTGAGAAAGTTTCTTTGACCTTTTCGCGAGGAAATAATATCGTGGAATAATAACACGCCTAGCAAAGAGTGATATATGGGTGGTAAAAGAGGCCAAATTAACGAGACATGAGTTAGTCTGCCATCAATGTCAAATAAAGTAAGCCATTATCAGCTGGTTTATTGGTTGACGTGACTGATAACGATTCTCAAGCAGACCATAAGAAATGCTAATTATTTCCTCGTTAGCAAAGCTTTTGCATTCAAATACAAGCAGAGATAACCAAAGTGGAACTCGAAGAGGCTGGTATTTTAGCATTCAAAGTGCAAAGCTATCTCGCTTAGTATTTTAGCTTCATTTCGAGGATAATCTTTTGTGGCAATCAGAGCTTTGAACTTTTCACCTCATCGGTAACTTGAGGTGATGTTCTGCATGAGGCTTTAATAACAGATATGAACGTTCCTTACTGTGCTCGTGAGAAGGATTGCGGTGAACGGTTGTGAACTGATAGAGCTAAATAAAGCTCGCGGACACATTTTTTTAAAGATTTTTCAGAAACTTTCCATAAATGGCGCTGCATGTTGTGAGAACACTGGAGCGATACACATGGAAGATTAGTGTGAAATACGGGGCTGTCATCGAAGTTATTATTCACGGCGGTCCAGCTTTTGTAGTAAAATCAAGGTCATTAAGCATCTTTCCTCTGGTGGCGATAATATTCTGGACTGCTAGCAGTACCTAAATGCTTTCTTCTATAATTTTTGCCAAAGTTTACCGATTTTTGCTGACGTATTTTAGTTCCCGATAGAATTGAACTACAAAACCTTCAGAATAGCAATACCAAGCGATATTATTCCATCCATTGTTTAAATGTTAGTTTAATTGTGAACTTGTTTTGAGTAGTGGCCTGGTTAGTTTGAATACCTCACTTGTTTAAACATTTGCTGGTCAAATATTTTACTCAAATGTTTGGAATCTGTGTCCAGGGGGATTAACCTCGACTCTTTGGTAATGTCAGGCAGGCCTTTTAATCCAATTTGAATTCCGTTTTACGTGCTAAATCATAAGATTTATTGATTGAGTCATTCAATTAATTTTACCCTCGAATGCAATGAAGATGATTTGGTATAAACCGAATCCTACAAGGCTGAACGATGAAATTTATGGATCCTATGAATAGAGTCACAAGATTGAAGCATTAAATCTTAAAATTTCCACCATATTCAGCTTCGAATGCTAGGTTTTGATCAATGAACTATTGAATCTTAAGAATGAATTATGACAATCGGTTACAAATCGCATAGGACTGCAAAGGCAGGGGTCCGTAATGCAGAGAAACGCGCTATTCCAGTCTATTCTAGAACACAAACCACAGCAGTTTGTGGTCAACGGCTTGCGAGAGATGACAACGAAACGACAAATCCATCCGTCTCAAAGGTCTAAAGACTTGGATCACTTTTTTTCGAAATATCTAAGCGTTCTCATCCTTTTGTGGTAGTTATAGTTTAGACAGAAAAACCTCAGCTGTGCGAATACGTGATTTCATGTAATATCCCGGGCGCCGAAGCATGGGATCCATATGTTCTGTCACTACTGTTAATCACACGTCCAACTCGAAACAGTTATTTCGGGCGGACATTTCGGCAGACACTTCAAACAACTACATAAATTACAGCATTTTTTATGCGCACAACGCACTCCAGCGCTGATCGAGTTCTCACGCGCGAATATCTGTTCCCTATCCTCAGTGGAAATACGCCCAGCAATGGTTCGAGCTTGACGCTTCACGCATTAGCGACGTTCTGGTATCAAGGCTAAATACTAAATCGATAAAATTTGCGCTATTAATCGCGATTAGGAACGCTAGATTTGCTAGACATTCTAATGAATATTAATAGTATTTCAAGTGATAGATTTCGGAGTTTGCGTCAAGGCATTCCTGAGACCTTAGGTGCACTTTGAACAAGGGTATGCTCCATCGGAGTAATTCTCAAACTTATTTCAGGCAGCTCATATGCGGCCTTTTTAGTCCAACACGGGACTCCGCGGTCTCCGCCAGCCCAAATTCGATAGAAATTATAGAATCCGAGCGAAACTTACCTTCTTCTTCACTTCAGCTGTCATTCCATAACCAGTTGGTCGATTTATTCTCTCCGTTGCCATTTTCAGAGTCGATCCCGAAACTCTTGTTAGCAAAAATTCGATGCCACAAATCTCAACGTCAACGCCAGGGCCAGATTGTGAGGGATGGGTTGATGTAAGATTATATACTTAACTATTGCAAAGGCGGGTACCACAGTATTGACCCGCGCGATGAAACGCTGCGCTCTGATTAGCTCGCGATTTGACCTTTGTTTTGCCAGACACCAAGGTATTTA